ATATATTAATTTTAATTATATATTTACATATTTGCAAATTATATTAGAGAAACATTAGGAGTCTCCAACGGTGTTGGTCATTCTACCCAACTGCAAATAAATTATATCAATATAAATGTGATATTATATTAAAAGCGCATTATTTATTTAGTAAAAAAACTAAATTCTAAAGTACATGATTTATATTAATTAATAATCTTTAAAGATGTATAACATTTAAAGCATATTTAATAAGATCGGAAACAGATCTATACTCGGCGTGAACAATTTTTGACCATAAAAGAATTCTCAATCAATGACAGTCCGATATAAAAAAATTATTTATTATATAATAATTATGATAAATATTTAATTTAATTTAATTTAATTTATTTAATTTTTAGATATTATTAATTATTTAATTAAGTTTTTATTTATTATTAAAAAATTTATCAACTTTATATTATATTAATCATTAAATAATTTATATAGTTATTAATATAAATTTAAGTGGTATCTAATAATATTTATGCAAATTATTTATTCACATATTCTCTAAAAATAAAGAAAATTTTATGATTAAAATATATTACTTAATTGTTGATATAATATAAAATTAATTATTTTTTAATGGTTAAAATATTATAATACAAATATTTGTCAAAATTATATACTACAAAAAATTATTGTTTTAAAAAATAAAACATCCTATTTTAAGATTTTAATTTTTACAATTTAAAAATTTTTAATTTAAAAAAATAAAAGGTTAGTTTAATATCATTTTATTAAATCAGTTTTCAAAATTTATTTTTATTTTTATGATTTAAAAATTTAAAAAGTACAATTAATAATTTTTTATTATTTTTATCTCCATTATCATGAAATTATGTTTTTAAAATTTTTATTATGACTTTTTTCGTATCATTTCGTTTAAAATAACTTTAAATTAAAATGATTAAATATTTTTAAATAATTTTATTCTCAACTTATTTTTTAAAATAAAATTTTAAATTGATGTTTTTGACTACATTTAAAAACCAAAAGATAAAATTAAATAAAAAAACATTAAAAAAACTGTATAAAAAGTTGAAATAAATTTGTGTAGTAATTTATCAATCATCCCAAATTTACATTTGTATATATCATTCCTTTAAATTAAATTATACCAACAATTTCTTACATTTTGTTGAAATTGCATTTGATGTACATCTAGTTTTTAATCTATACATACAAACAGTGTATAATAGGAGAACTCGCGTTGGGTTTATACATATTTTTAATTTACTTAACATTTTCTATAGTTCTAATTTACACATATTTTTTAAGTAATTATAATAAAATTATTAATTATATTTTAATTTAAACACTAAAAATATATTAAAAATAAAGAATTATATTATATTTAAATTTAAATTTATAATTTTAAGTTTTTTTATTTAGTTATATAGACATAGAAACTAAAGGTTTTATAATTTATTTAGTTATATATAAGTTAAAAATCAAGTTTTTGTTTAGAAACTAAAATATAAACATAAAATTTATGATATATTTTATATATATATATATATATATATATATATATATATATATATATATATATATATATATATATATATATAGTATAAATTCAAGTTTAAGTAATTATATCTCATCCTCCTCCTTACTACCGTTTAAAAAAATCATAATATCCATATTCACACTAAAATTTATATTTTCTGTTAAAGTTAGGACAAATTTAGGTTGGAATCTACATATGTAATCATTTTTTTTTTCTGTTTACGTTTTCAATTAAATAATTTTTACTTTCATCAAAACTCTTATTTTTATTTTTTAACTATAATACAGTAAATTCACTTGTTTCACATTTCCCTAATATGAATTATTGGTGTAAATTAAAAAATAATTATATTTATAATTTTTCTTTCTATCTTTGAAGGTGAATTCATTGATAATTTTTCTATTGATTCAATTTTTACAAAATAGAATTTATATATAATTAAGATTTGATAAAATATATTGAATTAAAATCAATATTTATGTAATAAGATCGATTGGAAACTTTTAATACAATTTTAATTAAAAAAATTCAAAATTATTTAATAATTTAATTTAAATAACACTAATATAATTAAATTTAGTTTGATTTTTATTTAACTTTAGATGATTTAGTACGTTTCAATGTTTCAATTTAATTTAAATGTGAAGTAAGTCTAGTATGACTCGACTTAATTATTTGAAGACAAAATTAAACTAATTATACATAAGTTGATCTTGATTATATTTGAATCTAATTTGATTTGCTCAGCGTGACTTGATTGGACCTAAATTATTCAAATTAGATTGAGAGATTTCACACTTATTACACTATCTTTCCTAAGTATATATCTCTAATATAAGTATATAATTGAAACATATTTTCTTATGTAATAAGATAAATCTTATAACTTTTCGGATACAGTTAGTTTTCATACCACAAACTAAGTCTTAAAGATTTCATTCAACTTTCACATATGATATTTTCATCTAAGTGATTATTATAATTAGTAAAGTCAAAACAATCTCTTTTAAAATCCTAATTCAATATCTCTACATACTTCATCACACAAGTATCCACAACCACATACATTATAGTAGATTATAGATTACATCTTTCACTCGATTAGTCTCACATACACCGATGTTATTTCAGTTGATTATGAGTCACTTTTCTGACTTGACTAAGCCTTAATAAATATATCTTAGTATAAAAAACACACAAAATATTATCACATAATTTAGCTAAAATTCCTTTGCTTGAACGAAAATTTTTTCGTTTGAGTAAAAATTAGGAACTTTTATCTCCATTGCACATTTTTCTTGAACAATAAACTATTGTTTGAGTGAAATATGGACATAATAGATTTATAAAACTAGTTTCTAAGCATTAAACGCTATCCTTTGAGATTTTATTAAATCATATTCTTTTAAAATATCTAATACACAATCCAATATAGTTATCCTACCTTAATACTTCATACACATCTTTTCACATCATAAATCTAATTCAATTTATTCAATCATATATAAATACTAACAATATCAATAATCAAATTCATAATTAACTCTTTGTAATCAAATAATGTAACAAAGTCAATATCACAATCCAAATCATTTATCCTAGGGTGCTAAAAAATTTATTATTAGTTTCCCTTACCTTAATTTTAGAGTCTCTAATTAAAAAAAACATATAATCTCATAGGAAATTTGATCCTATTCGTAAAAAACTCAAATTAACAAATCGAATAAATTATAATACTCTTAAATTAGTTAAGATTCATCTTCACCCAACAAAACTCACATACAAGTTTCTCAATTTTACATGTAAATGATCTAAAATGGATAAAAAGAAACATACTTTATTTAAATTTTTTATCACATAGACATGATCTCCTAAACATTAATACATACTTGAATTTAAAAAAAGATGAGAAAGAGAGTGAGAAAACTAAAAAAAAGTAGAGAAAAGGAATTATAGATAATCGATTAAAATTTTATATTTATAACTCTTTCACTTAACAAAAAAAACTTTTAATTTTATCATTGCTATATTACATTTACTCTTAACTTGATCATTACAAATTTAGCATAACCCCTGCGAACTCAACTTATTTTTCACTTGAGTTGACTTAATTCTACTATAACTTAATCTTATTTAATTTTATTTATTTAACTAATTATTTAAGATGTGAGGGGTGATAACTTTTTTGTTGTAATATATATATATATATATATATATATATATATATATTTTATTTTATTTTATTTTATTTTATTTTATTTTATTTTGACTATTAAATTTAATGATGATTAAATATACATATTTTTATTATATATTTATAATTTTGACTTTTCATCATTTATATTTTTTTATTTTTAATTATTATTTATTAATAATATATTATTCAACTAAAAAATTTATCACTAATTATTCCACGACATCATCTAATATAACTTAATCAATGAAATTAACTTAGATGTTTAAAATAAAACAAGAATCCAATTACTTTAATTATATTTAACATAAAAAATTATAGATTTAGATTTAAAATAATTTCACAAATAAAAACAAAGATAAATCTTACAAACATTTTTAATGTGATAAAATTATCTTAGAACGTAATTACGAATAATAAAATATTATTTTAATGTAAAATATGTATAAATTGTTTATATAAATAAATTTAATTTATCTTAACAATTATGTTAGTAAGAAGCACATGAAAATAATTTTTTTTAACTATAATAATTCTTGTAAACCATTTTAATTAAATAAATATACGTTCGTAACAATTTATTTTACTTTGAATCAACTTTATTATAGATCATATAATTTTTAACACTCTTTTTGAATATATTTTTTTCTTCAGTCGAACTACTTTTTATTTTTTTAATTAAAAAATAAAGAGCAAACAAAATTAAATTAAATGATTTATCATCTTTAAATATAATATTATAAATATAAAGAGTTGATTTAATAACTAATAAATACACGTAAATATAAATATTTAACAGTTTAATTATATTTTACTCATATTATATTTATATCTATCAAAGCATGATAAATTTATCTCATAATTTTTAATTTAAAATTATTTTATAGTTTGATTATATTATATTTATTAAAATATGATAAATTTATATTATCAGATTAATTAGAAATAAAATATTTGTTCTGCTGTCATTTGCGAAATAAAATAAAATACAACATAAAAAAATAGTATTTATTAAAAGAAAACACAAATTGAGAAAATAAAAGTTATTTTTCGGGAAAAAAAAATGGGAAAGCGCCGAGCCTTACCAAATCTGTTACAGAAATTTGATGCTGTATCCAAGTGTACTCACCTGTAGGTGTTGAACACGTGGGTTTTTCTTTTCTTGTTCTTTCTCGTATTCTTGCGCCTATATATAGAAGATAAGCATCAGTTAAGTCTACACTAAACTCTGAGTGTGAGTGTTGTATAGGAACAAAACTGACGAACAAAATGTTGAAGCTTCTGGTTAGTAGAGCAGCTAGTGTCTCACCTTCTCGCAACCACAATGGCGTTGCCGCATTCAGTTTGTATAGGTATCTCCTTTTATTTTTCGCTGAAGTTGACTTACTAAGGATCCGAGTTAATTCAGTTGCGGATCCTCGTTTAGTTTGTGAGATTAGATAGTTTACTTGCTAATCGATTCGATATTTGTGATTTGGATAAGATCGCTGCTACATATACGTGAAACGGTTGAAATTGTGCGCATTGGAACTTTGATTCTTTCTACGATAGACTTGGTTTCTCTCGTTAAACGATGTTAGAAATTAATATTTTTACACGCATTTAGGTTTCTCTCAACTGACAATAGAAAAATAAATTATTTGTACGCTTATGATTAAGTAGTGTTCTGCTTACGAACAGCGATGTGTACGAGGTTACCGTTTGGTACTGAACATTTTAAAATCTTAAATCTGTATATAAGAATGATCGGAGTAACTAAGGACTTAGGAATAAGCAAATTAGCTTATCATTTCCTAAGCTGAGTACTGTTCAGAAATTAAAATTATAACTTGGATTCATTGATTTATCTGTATCATACTAAATATATTTTGGTCTGCTATAACTATTCAAACTGCTGGTTAGATAATTTTCTGGAATTCAGGTCAAGATCAGCTGGAACATTGATTATTTGGTCATATTTTGATATGAATCACAAAGTGTAATTTAGGATCTTTAGGGTTAGAAGAAATTTAGGAAATTAGAAAGAAGGTGGAGGGAAAGAATCACTCTTCCTAAGGGAGACAACACACAGATGATTATATCCTTTGATACAGCCAAGGGTTTTTGAATCACTCAAGAATTTAGGAGAATCACTCTCACTAAGATAAAAGAGATAAACTCTAATTTCTGAATAAAATTCCACTTGTTATTTCTTGATAAAAATGGTTCAGCTGATGAGCGTTGCCATCAAAATTACAAAGATTCAATAAAAGAAAATAAATACTAATAATAACTCATTAATCTAGGAATTGAAAACTATTTAATGAAAACAAATAAAGGCTAATAATGATCCATTAACCTAGGAATTGAAACTACTTAATGACTGATTGTATCTGAAACTGTGGCAACCAAAAGTCAATCAGTTATGCACCCCTTGGTCTCCCAAAGGCTGATGACTAAATTTTCAATTGGACCCTTATTACAACTTAAAACAAAATCAAACTAAAACCCATTAATTAATTAACTCAAAACACAATTTGGTCAACCAACAATATTTGTTGAAGAACTTCCTTTGTTTCCCTTGCTCTAACCCTTATCATAGGTCATGTTCACATCATTCTCTCCCTCTTGAAAAGGATTTGTCCTCAAATCGGATTCGCCATCTACATAAAAAAGAGATAAATTTGACAAATTGAATGTAAAATTAACATTATACTCACTTTTTATGGCTAAATAGTTCTCCCTCACTTCAAGTGTTTCACTCTTCTTTTGATTACTCTTTTTCCTCTCAAGTGTTTCACTAACGCTTTCTTTCTTTCTCTTTTCTTGAAGAAGTTTTTCTCTCATTTTATTTTTATCCTCACACACTTCTTGTGGACTCAAAGGTTTGAGCACAATCTTCTTGTCTTGGTGCATGAAAGAGATCTTGTTGGTGAACCCGTTATGATTAACTCTTTTATCAAATTGTCATGGTCTCCCCAAAAGTAAGTGACTGACTTCCATAGGAATAATATCACAAAGCACCTTATCATTGTATTTTCCAATGGAAATGTCCACTTCAACTTGTTGTCTCACTTGCACCTCTCCATCCTTACTAAGTCATTGAAGTTTATATGGCTTAGGATGTGGTTTGGTAGCTAAATTTAGCTTTGATACTAATCTAGCACTAGCCACATTGGTGCAACTACCTCCATCTATGATCATCATGCACACCTTGTCATTGATTAAACATCTAGTGTGAAAAATATTTTTTCTTTGGCTTTCTTCCATAAGTTTCAATTGACTATCAAGTAATCGCCTAATCATCAATAAATCTCCCTTTGGAATCTCCTCCTCAATGTCTTCACTCTTTTCTCCCTCTTCAACCTCAGATTCACTTATATATTCTCTCTCTAAGAACCATAGTTTTTGTGTTAGGGCACTCATAAGCATAGTGTCCTAGGCTTTGACACTTAAAACATTTCACATCTCTACTTTTTTTAGAGGGTTGTTCTTCATATTTTGAATGAGTCTTTGTAGGAATAGATGTGGAACTACTAGAAGTAACAGTCCCATCTTTCTTGCCTTTGTCCTTCCAACTTGAAAATCCAAAGTTGGTAGAACTCTTCTTAGTCATTTCTTTTCTTTTGAGTTGTTGCTCCACTCGAATTGCTTTATGAAGTAAATCCTCCATATCAACAAAATCCTGCAACTCAACAATATCACATATATCAATATTCAAACCACCAATAAATCGGGCCATAGTTACCTCTTCATCTTCTTCGATCTTTGCTTGAATCATGAGCATGTCTATTTCTTTGAAATACTCCTCAACCCCCTTGTTGCCTTAAGTAAGTTTTTGGAGTTTAAATTTCAAGTCCCTTGCATAACTAGCCGGCACATACCGCTTCCCGTGATCTTTTTCATCTCAGTCCATGTATTAACCATTGATTCTTCATTTCTATCTCTCTCCTTTTGTAACTTGTTCCACCAAACAAGAGCATAGTCAGAAAATTCCGTTGTTGCAACCCTCACCTTTTGGGTCTCCTCATAATTGTTGTATGAGAAAACATGCTCTATTTTCATCTCCCACTCCAAGTATACCTCCGGATCACTTTTTCCTTTGAACGGAGGAATGTTAAGCTTGACTCCTTCAAGCCTACTTGGTCTTGCTACTCCATCGTTCATTCTCCTATTTCTCCTTTCTTCTTCGTTTTCAGGATTTCTATTCTCCAACCAGTTCAATATTTCATGGAGCTCATTGTTATGTCGTATCATTAATCCTTCCAAATGTTGTACCAATACTCTCATTTGAAATGGACTAATTCTTGCTTCTTGATTGTAATTTTCCTCTTCTACCATCAAATTGATGTTTAAACCCTTAAACCTGGCTTTGATACCAAATTATATGAATCACAAAGGGTAATTTAGGATCTTTAGGGTTAGAACCTTGTAAGAAATTTAGGAAATTAGAAAGAAGGTGTAAGGAAAGAATCACTCTTCTCAACGGAGGCAACACACAAAGGATGTGAAAGTCCTTTGATACAGTCAATGGTTCTTGAATCACTCAAGAATTTAGGAGAATCACTCTCACTAAGATAAAAAAGATAAACTCTAATATTTCTGAATAAAATTTCACTTGTTATTTCTTGATAAAAGAAGTGTTGCCATCAGAATTACAAAGACTCAATAAAAGAAAATAAATACTAATAATAACTCATTAATCTAGGAATTGAAAACTATTTAATGGAAACAAATAAAGACTAATAATGATCCATTAACCTAGAAATTGAAACTACTTAATGACTGATTGTATCTAAAATTGTGACAACCAAAAGTCAATTAGTTATGCACCCCTTGATCTCCCAAAGGTTGATGACTAAATTTTCAATTGGGCCCTTATTACAACTTAAAACAAAATCAAGCTAAACCCATTAATTGATTAATTCAAAACATAATTTAGTCAACCAACAATATTTGTTGAAGAACTTCTTTTGTTTCCCTTACTCTAGCCCTTATCATAGGTCATGTTCACATGTCCACTAACTTTTTATTACTTTATTTCATTAATGTAGATTTTAACTCAAGTCTAAAAGTGTTTTTTGAGCTCTGAATTCATTTTTATAATATGTAGTAGGTGTGTTCATTCACTACAATTTGCGACTGTAGACGCAGAAGAGGTATCAGGTTCTAGGCCTGCTGAAGTTTTGAACCTGGGTATGCATCCAAACTTTTGATGTTTTTGTTTTTTGCAGATAGACATTAGTACTCTTATAAATGTCATGATATAAATTTGGTGATCCAAGATTTGAAAAGGGTTACCATGATAAAACGCGGTTAAACTATATTTTTCATGATTCCGTCTGCAAGGTGTCAAACCTGCAGTTTGTTAAATATCATGTTCTCAAAGAATTTTAAATATGATGGAAACAAAAGGATTCCTTAAAGTATTTCTCATACATTTTCTATGTATCCAAATCTGAATGCTACTAGTGTTATTGTAAATTTCTGCAACACCAAGTACTTATCAATAAATTCATTTTAGAAAACTTGCTGCGCTTTGATTGATTGGTTATCACTGAATGTATTAACTTATCTTTCAGTGCAAGGTAAATGGGTAGGTTCTTCAAATTCGAATACAGTTGTGGATCCGTTAAATGGAGACTCATTTATTAAAGTTGCTGAAGTTGACGAAACAGGCATTCAGGTGAATCCTTGTAACATATTATATATTATTTATGTTGTTAACTAATATTTATTTTGAAGTATTTCCTTTTATAGCGCAAATAAAAACTGCTGCTTAGTGAGAATTCAGTTTTTATATGTTTAAGACTGGATTCTTTTTATTACTTATCCTTCAAACTAAGAAATATAAGGTATTGTGCTATTAGTCATCAATGGTAGGTTCTAGTTCAAACCTTCAACCTCAGCTCGTGAGACAAGGTTCTCATCATTTTGTGAAAAAATGAGAAGAAATAAATTTCAATTTGGAGGCTTTATATGAGTTGGTACTTAATTGGAATTCAACAGTTAATCTGGCAGCAGATATTGACTAAATTTTCTTTTACTTATCAGCCCTTTGTGGAAAGCTTATCCAGCTGTCCCAAACATGGTGTACACAATCCTTTTAAGGCACCAGAGAGGTAGGTGCAGAGATTACTTTGTATCTCTTCTTAATTTTCCTTATGATAGAAACATATAAAAATATATATTTTCTTTGTTGGGTTTATCTTAGTCTTGGTTAAAAATAAAAAACATTGATGGGATCCTCATCCTATAGTATAAACCTTTATGCTTTAAGTTGTCTATTATAGGACTTTTGCCCTAATGGGATTTTGCTGCGGAGTTAAGTTATGCATAGGTGGATTATCTTGATTAATCCCAGAGGTTTCAAACTTTTTGGTAAATGATACAGCAGTTTTCTTTTGAAACGGAAACAGAAGCGATTTTCCGATGATTTTGTTCGGTGTCAATGGAAGTGCTTAGGTGTGTTTACATAATTCCTGATGGTAGAATGAACTTTCTATCCTATCTGGTTGGTTTTAAACTTCTCCTAAGAGGGGTAACTAAAGTACATGGGACCCAGGTATTTTAAAGCTGCCTATGATAAGAATGAGAATAAATAATTTTTCTCATTTTTCATTTTTACTTCGAAAAAGCAACTGAATTGGGCATTTTAGTTTCAAGTATTTTATGCATTAGAGCATGATATCTATTCTCAGGTTCTTATTTTGGCCCTCTTTATGACATTTAATATGGTTTTTGCTATAAATATTTTGCAGATATCTTATGTATGGAGACATATCTACTAAGGCAGCTCACATGCTATCACTTCCTAAGGTTTTAAATTAAAGAAAGATGATTAATTTTATCATTATTTTTTTAATGTTACTTTATTATATATTGTTACCTGTTGTATTTAAGATCAACATTTTCTTCTTTAATTGGATGCTTTAAATAACTTATACTGCATGGCCTTCAGGTTTCAGATTTCTTTACAAGGTTAATACAAAGAGTTTCTCCAAAGAGTTACCAGCAGGCTTTTGGAGAAGTCTATGTGACACAAAAGTTTCTAGAGAATTTTTGCGGGGATCAGGTATATCAAATAAGACATGCTTGTGCTAAATAAATGAAATCTTAAGTACCAAATGCCATTCTTTGTATGGAATGATGAAAGAATCTAAATTACCCATTGACTGACAGATATGATCAATTTCCTTTATTTTGCTCATGCTTTGATTCTTCATTAGTGGGAAAATTAAACACTGATACTTGCACATGTGTAGAGACAGTCGCTCAAAATCTCGTAAGTCCTGTATTGATTTCTTCTTTGTTGTTTCATTTAACAAAATCTTGATAGGTTCGTTTCTTAGCAAGATCATTTGCAGTACCCGGAAATCATCTTGGACAACAAAGTCACGGTTTTCGTTGGCCCTATGGTCCTGTAAGGATTATGTTTTGTTTGAAATTTTCACGATTATCATTGGTTTACCTGATATGCTATGTACTAAAGGCAGAAAATGAGTTTGTCATTCTCTAACCAGTGCTTTGTTTGGTGTGTCAAAATTATAAATTACCTTGTAGTCACGCAATTTACTTTGAGTAATTGGTTAAATGTACTCTAAAATGGGAAAGAAGAAAATTAAAAGCAAATCTTCCAATATAAAACCTAGTAATGTGTGATAAATATGGGACTTCAATTTATTATTACAAAGGTGGACTATGGTGTAACTGTAAATATTTCAATTCAGATGCAGAAGTGGCTGATTCCCTTTTTGTTCTTCAGGTCTGTTATCCCAAAAAGAAAAAAAAAAAAAGAATGTTGCATGGGATTTCAATTAGTTACATATGATAATAAGGCATAACACTGGACTCAGGTATTCTTGCCTACTAGAAAACTTAAGTCTTTTATGAGGTAAATGCTGTGATTGCTATCTTTGATCAAAAGTAGTTTTTTTTCTTGTACAAAAAGGTTTATGTTGTATAGATTTGACTTGACTTCTACTCAAGATAAAACATTGAAAATCATGAGACGTTTTCTTGTTTTGAATTGAATTTTTCTTAGATTAGTGCTGCAATGTGGAGAAGTTTTAGAGTTTTTTTCATGGGTGTCTGATTTAGTATGTGAATTCATAGATTTTTTTTTTTTTCAGACATCATAAACATTTACCTATCATTCCTACTATAATCTCAAAGCAGAAAGTGTATTCTGTAGGTGGCAATTATTACTCCTTTTAATTTTCCCTTGGAGATTCCTGTCCTTCAATTGATGGGTGCACTCTATATGGGCAACAAACCAGTCCTTAAAGTTGATAGCAAGGTGAGTTCTTTTGACTCTGATTTGGGGACACTTTATGACATTTAATTCAAAATTGATACAGGGCTAGCTTTAGGGCTACATGAGATATTTAATCCAATCAGTTATGGTGAAAATAGTTGTGATGCAATGTTTTTTTTTTCTTACAAGTGTGCGTTTATGTGTGTTGGGGGAGGGGTTCATGCCTAAAGAAACCATTGTATTTATTGCCTTTTCACATTCTTGTCTTCATCTTCAAGCAGTTTGATTTCTGAAATGTTAACTCTTACTTGCTTTTAATATTTTTTTTTTGCAGTTATAATACTGAATTATTGACTCAAATTGTTGTAGGTGAGCATTGTCATGGAACAAATGTTGCGTCTGCTTCACACCTGTGGCTTACCTGTTGAAGATGTAGACTTCATAAATTCTGATGGGAAGACAATGAACAAGCTGTTACTGGAGGTTGGTTGTTTGTTCATCCAATGCTTTGATTCCGCAGGGGATAATATTTGTACATGATTACATGTTTATGGTATTGGATCATGAAGTAGTATTGAATTTACAGGCAAATCCACGAATGACCCTTTTTACTGGTAGTTCAAGAGTGGCTGAGAAGTTAGCCCTTGATTTGAAGGGCCGTGTTAAATTGGAAGATGCTGGATTTGACTGGAAAATACTGGGTCCTGATGTCCATCAGGTTTCTTACAATTTTTTTTTTTGGACATGATAAAGGCACTAACTCAATTTTCTGTTCATTAATAGTTTCTCTATGGTTTCTTGGTTCAGGAAGATTACACTGCGTGGGTGTGTGATCAAGATGCATATGCATGCAGTGGTCAGAAATGCTCTGCCCAATCATTATTATTTATGCACGAGGTCTGTCACATTCGGTATATATCTTGAGAATTTTGTTCATGATTATATGTCTTCAAGAACTGCTGTGAAGATATACATTAACTTTTTATTTTGTAAAATACACTTTATATGTATTGTGTCTCTACTAACTAGAAGGTTTGATTTTATCTGGTTCAGAACTGGTCTAAAACATCCTTGCTGTCGAATTTAAAAGATCTTGCTGAAAGAAGAAAGTTGACAGACTTGACAATTGGTCCAGTCCTCACAGTAAGTATTACATGTCTATCATTTCCCCCTTAACTAATTGAACCTGGATTTTAGATTTAAAGTTGTTTTTGGTGGCTTGCTCGAAGTTTGTGCCATTCTTCTAGTTGAATAATGTTATTAAAACTAGACCGATCATCTACTCGGTCAAGATATAGATCACTAGTTGAACCAATAGGTTATTGCTTAAACTACATGTACGGTATTTATTGAAAATATAAATCGTATTATAGAGAATATGTAGTACATAAATCATCTGTCATATAATTAATCAAATGTCTTAGATTGGTAAATATAAATCCTTTTCCATTGACTGAAACTGGTATTTGGTTCTCACAACATGGACTATTTTTTTTCTTCAAATTTTAGAACTGGAGCCAAGTTAAAACACGTTGATTGCAATTCCCGTTTGAAAGACAAACCGAACCTGTTATAGGTTCTGTTTCTGGCATCTGGTCAAACTGAACAGTTCAGTCAAAATTAATAATACCAGAAAGATATAATGCATCTGCCATCTGGTACAACAATAAAATATAATGCATCTAAACAGGATGTTGTAATATTTATTTAGTTTTTCATTTACTTGATTTGGAGGTCTTGATTTTTCATCTCATGTGTTGCAGGTTACGACTGATTCTATGCTTAAACATGTCAGTAAATTGCTTGAGATACCAGGATCAAAGCTGCTCTTCGGAGGTCGACCTTTGGAAGATCATTCAATTCCATCTATTTATGGTGCTATTAAACCAACAGCTGTTTATGTTCCTCTTGAGGAAATTATGAAGGATAACAATTTTGAACTTGTGACAAAAGAAATATTCGGACCCTTTCAGGTATGGGAAGGGAGACTAAAAATATGAGAATAAAGTTTGCAGGTGCATGTTGTTTAAAACAAAAATAATATTAGTTTGTTCTATTGAGATATAAATAATTTCTTTTAATATTTCCAGATTATTACAGATTACAAAAATAGTCAACTATCAGTTGTATTGGATGCTTTGGAAAGAATGCATAACCATTTGACAGCTGCTGTAGTTTCGAATGATCCTTTATTTGTACAGGTAAGAATTTTATTACTCAAACTTCTTACTGGTTCTAGGGCATGTGATAAGAAACAATTCATCAATTTTTTAAATCTAGGTCTCACTCATATCAACTTCATATCAAATTTTCTCATTTTTGTCAGAAAATCATGAACTCCTCGTTTTTCATATTTGATTCACGAAACAAAATTATAGAGGTTTAGACGATTACACTATATATCAATACTGCACATTTAAAAATCTATTCTGCATATTATATAAAATTGCCTGCAAGATCTTTTCGCGGTAACCGGGGTTCAACTCCAAAATTGAGATGACTTGTCTGCTGAGCTCATATATAAGTTGATATATTCTGAAACATTATCATGAATGGCCATTGTTTTATGTTGGGATCTCCACATTTGTGATTAAACACATATTTGCAGGAAGTCATTGGCAAGACGGTAAATGGTACTACGTATGCTGGTTTAAGAGCAAGGACCACCGGAGCTCCACAGAATCATTGGTAAATTGATATATATATATATATATATATATATATATATAACTTTTTTTACTTGCAAATAAATGACCAGTGATGTCATGTTGGAAATAATAATTTCATTGCAGGTTTGGACCCGCCGGTGATCCTAGAGGTGCAGGAATTGGTACTCCAGAGGCCATAAAACTTGTATGGTCTTGTCACAGAGAAGTTATCTATGATTTTGGGCCGGTGTCAAAGAATTGGGAAATTCCTCCATCTACTTGAAAAGAAAGTCTTATGATAGGAACAATAGATGAGGAATGCAAAACTAGGAGTCCTGTTTGTGATTGAAAGGATGAGATTAGGAATGTAAATGGGGAGGAAGTTTATTAGGCCATAAACCCTCACTATATTTTTAGATTTTTGAATAAATTTATGGAAATTGAGTTTTGATTAAGCTTTTCTACATTTAATATATTGTTTTGCTTATCATTGGTTGATGTTCTGACATGATAAATGGAAGCAACTCTTTACTTAAAAATTATACTATATACTATTTAACAAAATAAATGACAAAACCTGTTTACGTAAAATAGTATCTTATTAAAATTTATATTTTTCTAAAGCATGTTATTTATAATCCAAAAATAAATATCCTTTCCTAATACTCTGTACTCATCTTTCTTGCCTCATAAATCTAATTTAACTTATTCAATTATATACAAAATCATCAATAGTCAAATTTTTAATCAACTTTCTATAAATTTGTGACAAAATCACCATTAAAGTCTAGAACATCTATTTTATTGTGTTAAAACATTTACTATTAACTTTCCTTTTTTTTTTTAATTTCACAATTTTCGATTTCAAAAAACTTTAAAAGCAGCTAATCTTGCAGAAAGTCAAATTCCACTTATAAAAATCTCAAATTAATAAATTAAGTATATTATAAAATACTTTAAAACTAGTCAAATTTATTTTTATCGAACAAAACTTACGTATATGCACCTTAAACCCTACATACAAACTTCTCAATTTTCATATAAATACTCTAAAATTATCAAACAAAAACTTATTTTTTTTGAAATTTTAATTTGGTAGAAACAATCTTATCTACTCCAGAGCACTAATGTGTGATTGAATTTTAAAAAAATGTGAAAGATAGCGTGGGAAAGTTAGAGCAAAGGGATAAAAAAGAATTGCAGAGAATGATTTGAATAGTTAAAATTTTATATTTATAACTCTTTAACTTAAACAATAAATTATAAAAAAAAATTAAAGAGAATGTGAGAAAATTAGAGCCAAGGTAGATAAAAAGGAACTGTAAAAAGAGAATGATTTGAATAGTTAAAATTTTGTATTTATAACTCTTTAATATAACCAATAAAACTTAAAATTTCATCTATGTTATAATATATTTATCTTTAATTTGCTTAAATATAAGTCTTAAAAATTTGATCCAAATTGAGTTAACTCAACTTTTATAGATCTTATTTGATTTTATTAAATTTAACTTAATCTAACTTAACTAAATCTAACATATAGATCTTATTTGATTTTATTAAATTTAATTTAATCTAACTTAACTAAATCTAACATGCTCTAACTTAATCTAACTTAACCTTATTTAACTTTATTATATTTAACCTGATCTACTTTACTTAATTCGTTATAACATATGATAGAATTTTTTTAGGAAATAAAGAAAGCCAAAACTCTCCAAAGTTTTATAATTTAGGTATATATTTATATTTATGATTTTAGTCAAGTTAATGATTATTAAATATATTTATTTATATATTTATAATTTAAATTTTTAACTTTTTTATATTCTTTTATTTTTTTTCATATTTATTTATTAATTATATACTATTTAATCAAATTATTGAAAATAGTAACTAATAATCCTATACCATGGTTGAATCCAAATTATAATGACTCAACTTAACTTTTGATTTAAGATTTTTAAAATAAAACAAGAATCCATTTTATTTTTAATCCAAATCCAATTAATTTGATTATATTTAATATAAAAAAATATTGATTTAGATTTAAAATAAATTCATAAATAAAACAAAGATAAATCTAACAAACATATTTAATGTAATAAAATTATTTTAGAACATAATTACAAATAAAACTTATTATGAATAAAATATATTATTTTAATGTAAGATATGTATGAATTGTTTATATAAATATAATTTATCTTAAACAATTATGTAAGTAAGAAGCCCATTAAATAATTTTTTTAATTATAATAATTATTATAAAAAGTATTTATAAAATTTCCTTTTATTCAAAAAATTTATCATAATATTTAATAATTTAAAAAAAATATATTTTATATTATTTTGAAAATATTTATGAATTTTATTTAATCAAATTCGTAAAATTCGAAGGAATTTAACTGTAGAGTATTAATTTCTTTTGATTTAAAGTTTATATCAAATTATAACCAAAAGAAATTGAATTATATTTAGTTTTTATGTTTATATATAATTATTTGATAAAGATTTGTGGACAGAACGACGGTACTTTAGATATGTTTTAATAGAATTATTTATTCAGTAGTCATTTGCGAAATAAGATAAAATACAACCTAAAAGTAGTATTTATTAAAAGAAAACATAAATTCAGAAAATAAAAGTTATTTTCCGGAAAAAAATAAAATAAAATGGGGAAAGCGCCGAGTCGTACCAAATCTGTTACAGAAATTTGATGCTACTATATCCAGGTGTACTCACATGTAGGTGTTGAACACGTGGGTTTTTATTTTTCTTTCTTGTTATTTTTCGCATTCTTGCGCGTATATATAGAAGATAAACATCAGCTAAGTCTACACTAAACTAAACTGAAAGTTTGAGGGTTGTATAGGATCAAAACTGTAGAACAAAATGTTGAAGCTTTTGGTTAATAGAGCAGCTAATGTTTCAACTTCTCGCAATCACAATGGCTTTGCCGCATTCAGTTTGTCTAGGTATCTCCTTTTATTTTCGGCTGAATTTGACTCACCAAGGATCCGAGTTTATTCAATTGCGGATTCTCTTAAGTTTGTGAGATTAGCAAGTTTAGTCGTTAATCGATTCGCTATTAGGTCTGTTCTGTAATTAAGTAGTTCTGCTTGCGAACGGCGATGTGTACGAGGTTACCGTTTGGTACTGAACATTTTAAAATGTTAAATCTGTATATAAAAATGGTCGGAGTAACTGAGGACTTAGGAATAAGGAAATTAGCTTATCATTTCCTAGGCTGAGTACTGTTCAGAAAGTAGCTTAGCTCTAAGCTGAGTACTGCTCAGAGCTCCAAGCTGAGTACTGCTCAGAGCTCCAAGCTGAGTACTGCTCAGAAATTGAGTACTGTCCAGAAATTGAGTACTGTTCAGAAATTAGCAAGGCTAAAATTATAAATTGGATTCGTTGATTTATTTGTATCATAAACAATATATTTTGGTCTACTGTAACTATTCAAACTTCTGGGTTAGATCATTTTCTGGAATTCCGGTCAAGAGCAGCTGCAGCATTGCATTACTTTATATTGTTTGGTCATATTTTGTTGTACACTAACTTTTTATTACTTTATTTTATTACTGTAGATTTTAACTCAAGTTTGAGCTCTGAATTCATTTTTACGATATGTAGTAGGTGTGTTCATTCACTACAATTTGCGACTGTAGATGCAGAAGAGGTATCAGGTTCTAGGCCTGCTGAAGTTTTGAACCTGGGTATGCATCCGAACTTTTGATGTTTTTGTTTTCTACAGATAGACATTAGTACTCTTATGAATGTCATAATATAAACTTGGTGATCCAAGATTTGAAAAGGGTTACCATCATAAAAAGTGGTTAAATCCTCTTCCATCTATATTTTTCATGATTCCGTCTGCTAGGTGTCAAACCTGCTTGTCAAGTATTTTTCAAATCCAAAGGCAGTTTGTTAAATATTATGTTCTCAAAGAATTTTAAATATGATGGAAACCAAAGGATTCCTTAAAGTATTTATCATACTTTTTCTATGTATCAAAATCTGAATGCTACCTAGTGTTATTGTAAATTTCTTCAACACCACGTACTTATCAATAAATTCATTTTCTATCAAACTTGCTGTGCTTTGATTTGTTGGTTATCACTGAATGTATTAACTTATCTTTCAGTGCAAGGTAAATGGGTAGGATCTTCAAATTCGAATACAGTTGTGGATCCGTTAAATGGAGACTCATTTATTCAAGTTGCTGAAGTTGACGAAACAGGCATTCAGGTGCATCCCTGTAACGTATTACGTATTATTTATGTTGTTAACTAGTATTTATTTTGAAGTATTTTCCTTGTATAGCAGAAGTAAAAAATGCTGCTTAGTGAGAATTCAGCTTTTATATGTTCAAGACTGTATTCTTTTTATTACTTATCCTTCAAACTAAAAAATATAAATATAACGGTATTTTGCTATTAGTCACCACACCTTTATTTTTAATAGTAGGTTCTATAGTTCAAACCTTCAACATCAGTTTGTAAGACAGGATTCTCATCATTTTGTGAAAAAATGAAAAGAAATAAATTTCAATTTGGAGGCTTTATATGAGTTGGTACTTAATTGGAATTCAACAGTTAGTTTGGGAGCAGATATTGACTAAATTTTCTTTGACTTATCAGCCCTTTGTGGAAAGCTTGTCCAGCTGTCCCAAACATGGTGTACACAATCCTTTTAAGGCACCAGAGAGGTAGGTGCAAAGATTACTTTGTATCTCTTCTTAATTTTCTTTATAATAGAAACATATAAAACTATATATGTTCTTTGTTGGATTGTTTGTCGTGGTCAAAAATAAAAAAACATGGATGGGATCCTCATCCTACAGTATAAACCTTTATGCTTTAAGTTGTCTATCATAGGACTGTTGCCCTAATGGGATTTTGCTGCGGAGTTATGCATAGGTGGATTATCTTGATTAATCCCAGATGTTTCTACCTTTTTGGTAAATGATACAGCAGTTTTCTGGATAGCAAATAACATGTCAATTTAATTATTTTTCTTTTGAAATGGAAACCTGAAGCTATTTTCCGATTATTTTGTTTGGTGTGAATGGAAGTGCTTAGGTGTGTTTCCATAATTCCTGACTTAACAATTGTTGGATGGTAGAATGAACTATCTATCTCATCCGGTTGGTTTTAAACTTCTCCTAAGAGGGGTAACTAAAATACATGGGACCCAGGTATTCTAAAACTGCCTATGACAAGTATGAGAATAAACAAATTTTCTCATTTTGCAACTTTCATTTTTACTTAGAAAAATCAACTGACTTGGGCATTGTAGTTACAAGCATGATATCTATTCTCATGTTCTTATTTTCACCCTCTTCTTGAAATTTAATATGGCTTTTGCTATAAATATTTTGCAGATATCTTATGTATGGAGACATATCTACTAAGGCAGCTCACATGCTATCACTTCCTAAGGTTTTAAATTCAAGAAAGATGATTTAATTTTATCATTATTTTTTTAATGTTACTTTATTATATATTGAAACCTGTTGTATTCAAGATCAACGTTTTCTTCTTTCATTGGATGCTTTAAATAACTTATACTGCATGGCCTTCAGGTTTCAGATTTCTTTACAAGGTTAATACAAAGAGTTTCTCCAAAGAGTTACCAGCAGGCTTTTGGAGAAGTCTATGTGACACAAAAGTTTCTAGAGAATTTTTGCGGGGATCAGGTATATCAAAATAAGACATGCTAGTGCTAATTAAATGAAATGTTAAGTACTGATATACCATTCTTTGTATGGATAGATGAAAGAATCTAAATTACCCATTGATTGACAGATATGATCAATTTCCTTTATTTTGCTGATGCTTTGATTCTTCATTAGTGGAAAAATTAAACACTGATACTTGCACATGTGTAGAGACAGTCGCTCATAATCTCATAATTCCTGTATTGATTTCTTCTTTGTTGTTTCATTTAACAAAATCTTGATAGGTTCGTTTCTTAGCAAGATCATTTGCAGTACCCGGAAATCATCTTGGACAACAAAGTCATGGTTTTCGTTGGCCCTATGGTCCTGTAAGGATTATGTTTTGTTTAAAATTTTCACGATTATCATTGGTTTACCTGATATGCTATATACTAAAGGAAAAAAATGAGTTTTTCATTTGCTAACCAGTGCTTTGTTTGGTGTGTCAAAACTATCAATTACCTTGTGGTCACGCAATTCAGTTGTACAATAATGGCCACGGCAGGAGTGGCTGATTTCCCTTTGATTCTTTTAGGCTTGTTATCCCAAAAAGAAAAAAAAAGAATGTTGCGTGCGCTTTCAATTAGTTACATATGATAATAAAGGCAAAACCCTGAACTCAGGTATTCTTACCTACTAGAAAACTTAAGTCTTTTATGAGGTAAATGCTATGATTGCTATCTTTGATTAAAAGTAGTTTCTTTCTTTTTTTCTTGTACAAAAAGGTTTATGTTGTATCGATTTGACTTGACTTCTACTCAAGATAAAACATTGAAAATCATGAGATGTTTTCTTGTTTTGAATTGAATTTTTCTTAGATTAGTGCTGCAATGTGGAGAAGTTTTAGAGTTTTTTTTTCATGGGTGTCTGATTTAGTATGTGAATTCATAGATTGTTTTTTTTTTCTTTTTCTTTCGGACATCATAAACATTTACCTATCACTCCTACTGTAATCTTAAAGCTGAAAGTGTGTTTTGTAGGTGGCAATTATTACTCCTTTTAATTTTCCCTTAGAGATTCCTGTTCTTCAATTGATGGGTGCACTCTATATGGGCAACAAACCAGTCCTTAAAGTTGATAGCAAGGTGAGTTCTTTTGACTCTGATTTGGGGACACTTTATGACATTTAATTCAAAATTGATACAGGGCTAGCTTTAGGGCTACATGAGATATTTAATCCAATCAGTTATGGTGAAAATAGTTGTGATGCAATGTTTTTTTTTTCTTACATGTGTGCGTTTATGTGTGTTGGGGGAGGGGTTCATGCCTAAAGAAACCATTGTATTTATTTCCTTTTCACATTCTTGTCTTCATCTTCAAACTGTTTGATTTCTGAAATGTTAACTCTTTGCTTTTAATATTTTAATTTTTTTTTCAGTTATAATCCTGAATTATTGACTCAAATTGTTGTAGGTGAGCATTGTCATGGAACAAATGTTACGTCTGCTTCACACCTGTGGCTTACCTGTTGAAGATGTAGACTTCATAAATTCTGACGGGAAGACAATGAACAAACTGTTACTGGAGGTTGGTTGGCTGTTCATCCAATGCTTTGATTCCGCAGAGGATTATATTTATGATTCTATTTCATGATAATGTCAATGTTCATTTTGCGGATGATATTTGTACATGGTTACATGTTCCTTTTATAAGATGATATTGGATCATGAAGTAGTATTGAATTTACAGGCAAATCCACGAATGACCCTTTTTACTGGTAGTTCAAGAGTGGCTGAGAAGTTAGCCCTTGATTTGAAGGGCCGTGTTAAATTGGAAGATGCTGGATTTGACTGGAAAATACTGGGTCCTGATGTCCATCAGGTTTCTTACAATTTTTTTTTTGGACATGATAAAGGCACTAACTCAATTTTCTGTTCATTAATAGTTTCTCTATGGTTTCTTGGTTCAGGAAGATTACACTGCGTGGGTGTGTGATCAAGATGCATATGCATGCAGTGGTCAGAAATGCTCTGCCCAATCATTATTATTTATGCACGAGGTCTGTCACATTCGGTATCTTGAGATTTTGTTCATGATTATATGTCTTCAAGAACTGCTGTGAAGATATACATTAACTTTTTATTTTGTAAAATACACTTTATATGTATTGTGTCTCTACTAACTAGAAGTTTTGAATTTATCTGGTTCAGAACTGGTCTAAAACTTCCTTGCTATCGAAGTTAAAAGATCTTGCTGAAAGAAGAAAGTTGACAGACTTGACAATTGGCCCAGTCCTCACAGTAAGTATTACATGTCCATCATCTCCCCCTTTAAGTAATTGAACCAGGATTTAACATTTAAAGGTTTTTTTGGTGGCTTGCTCGAAGTTTGTGACATTCTTCTAGTTAAATAATGTTATTAAAAACTAGACCGATTGGTCAAGATACAAGTCAATAGATCACTAGTTGACTATTGCTTAAACTACATGTACGTTATTTATTAAAAATATAAATCTTATTATAGAGAATATCTAGTACATAATCAAATGTCTTAGCTTGGTAAATATAAATCCTTTTCCATTATCTGAAACTGAGACTGAAACTGGTGTTTGGTTCCCACAACATGCACTATTTTTTTTTCTTCTTCAAATTTTAGAATTTAAAAAGTGATTCCCCTAGACCCAAGTTCAAACAAGTTGAATGCAATTCCCGTTTGAAAGACAAACCGAACCTATTATAGGTTCAGTTTCTGGCATCTGGTCAAACTGAACAGTCCAGTCAAAGTTAATAATACCAGAAAGATATAATGCATCTGCCATTGGGTACAGCAATAAAAGATAATGCGTCTAAACAGGTTGTTGTAATATTTATTTAGTTTTTCATTTACTTGATTTTGAGTTCTTTATTTTTCATCTCATATGTTGCAGGTTACGACTGATTCTATGCTTGAACATGTCAATAAGTTGCTTGAGATACCAGGATCAAAGCTGCTCTTCGGAGGTCGACCTTTGGAGGATCATTCAATTCCGTCTATTTATGGTGCTATTAAACCAACAGCTGTTTATGTTCCTCTTGAGGAAATTATGAAGGATAACAATTTTGAACTTGTGACAAAAGAAATATTCGGACCCTTCCAGGTATGGGAAGGGAGAGTAAAAAAATATGAGAATGAAGTTTGCAGATGCATGTTGTTTAAAACAAAAATAACATTAGTTTGTTCTGTTGAGATATAAATAATTTCTTTTTATATTTCCAGATTATTACCGATTACAAAAATAGTCAACTATCAGTTGTATTGGATGCTTTGGAAAGAATGCATAACCATTTGACAGCTGCTGTAGTTTCGAATGATCCTTTATTTGTGCAGGTAAGGATTTTATTACTCAAACTTATTACTGGTTCTAGGGCATGTGACATGAAACAATTCATCAATTTTTGAAATCTAGGTCTCACTCATATCAACTTCATTTTAAATTTTCTCATTTCTCATTTTTGTTAGAAAATCATGTACTTCTCGTCTTTCATATTTGATTCATGAAACAAAATTATAGAGGTTTAGTCGATTACACTATATATATATACTGAACATTTAAAAATCTATTCTGCATATTAGATAAAATTGCCTGCAAGAATTTTTCGTGGTAATTAGAGTTCAATTCCAAAATTGATATGACTTGTCTGCTGAGCACATATATAAGTTGATATATTCAGAAACGTTATCATGAATGGCCATTGTTTTATGTTGGGATCTCCACATTTGTGATGCAACGCATATTTGCAGGAAGTCATTGGCAAGACGGTAAATGGTACTACTTATGCTGGTTTAAGAGCAAGGACAACCGGAGCTCCACAGAATCATTGGTAAAATGATATATATATATATATATATATATATATATATATATATATATATATATATATATTTAACTTTTTTTACTTGCAAATAAATGACCAGTGATGTCATGTTGGAAATAATAATTTCATTGCAGGTTTGGACCCGCCGGTGATCCTAGAGGTGCAGGAATTGGTACTCCAGAGGCCATAAAACTTGTATGGTCTTGTCACAGAGAAGTTATCTATGATTATGGGCCGGTGTCAAAGAATTGGGAAATTCCTCCATCTACTTGAAAAGAAAGTCTTATGATAGGAACAATAGATGAGGAATGCAAAACTAGGAGTCTTGTTTGTGATTGAAATGATGAGATTAGGAATGTAAATGGGGAGGAAGTATATTAGCATGTAGTTTATTATGCCATAAACCCTCACTATATTTTTAGAGTTTTGAATAAATTTATGGAAATTGATTTTTGAATAAGCTTTTTTACATCTAATATATTGTTGTGCTTGTCATTGGTTGAGGTTCTGACATAATAAATGGAAGCACTCTTTACTTCAAAATTATACTATATACTATTCAACAAAATATATGACAAAAAATGTTTAAGTATAATCGGATTTTTCTAAAAATTATATTTAAATATATTATAAATGCAACGTCTTTTTACTTATAGTTTATATACTTTTATTTCAAAAAATTTACATTTATGTAACAGATATTATTTCCAGGGTGTAATATATTAGTGTGTTAAATGATTTTAAATTAGATTATTTATTTATATAAATATGATTTATGAATGGTCTTCAAAATTGGAAAGAAAGATTGAAAATTTGACCAAAAGGGGACTTCCGTGACCTGTAACTCGTCGTTACCAGAATTAACAAGAACACAGAAAACTCTCAAAATGAGAAACTTCCATAAAGTTATTCTTTGTAGGCTAAGGCTAGACAATCCTTAAAATAATAAAAGTAAATATATTAATAAGATTTTACTTCCTACTAATCATCTTAATGATTCACTAAGCTTCATTAATCATCAGAATTAAAATGTGATAGTTTTTTGTTTGGTGAGTTTAGGGTATTGACAAAAACTTTTTTTTAAAATATCAATTATGATGTAATTTCTTTAATATTCATCAATTTATTTTATTAAATTTGCTTCTCCCTTTTAATTTTAGACCTAATTATAGAATTCCAATATCATTTTTTTCTAATCTCCATCAATAATAATAATAATAATAAGTGATGTTATTTAAAAAATAATAATATAAAATAAAACATTTAATAAATAATACTTGTTTTAACAATTTCCATGTAATAATAAAAGATCAATTTAAAAAAAATTATAATAATAGTTTTAAAATTGTATAAAAGTATTTTGATTAATCAACTGTGTAATTTGTTTTATAAAGATTTAAACATTACAATATTTCGACATTTTTTTTTTAATTCAAGCATAGATTAAAATGACAAAACCCTAAACCCTGGCATTCCAGTAGAAAGGGGAAAGGCTGCGCACCGTTTGGTGATTATTGTCCCTCCTCCTTTTGCTGTTCTCCACTTTTCTCTCTGGTCTTCGATTCCTTATCATTTTGGGGCGTTTTCTTAATCCCTTATTGGTTTCTCTCTATTGGCTACCTTGCTCTAGTCTGCTTCCTCTTATCAACGCCTGCCAGAATATCCTTCGAATTGCGCCTGTGCCTGTATCAGAGGTAACTCTTTATACACCTGTGAATGTGAATGAATTGAACCTTTAATTTTACTTTCCAATGTTATTTATGTTCTTGCTTTTATCACCTTCATCAATGAAGGTGTGCTGCATGCAGTGATAACTGTATAATACTTTAGGTTGAGTGTGTTTTACAACATTGAAAGACATGTTATCTAAGAGTGCGAGCTTCACACAACCATGAAGTTGTGTTTTTGGTGACCGGTTGGTCATGGTTTCAAATCTAGAAACAGCTTCTTTGTATATGCAAGGGTAACACAGTGTACAATGACCCTTTCCCGTATCTTGCGCGGAGCCTTTGGCGCTGGAATTTTGGTTACCGTCACATGACACTGCAGTTGCTAATCACAATTTCTGGTAACTGGACATGATTCCATCCCATGTTTAGCAGTGAAAAAAATGTTGAACTTGAATCCCTTTAAATTTAGATAGATCCATGTGTAGCTTTGACATCAACAGTTGCTTCAGTAGCCAATATGCTGTATGGGCTTAGATTCTGTCATCTTTTTTACGGTTCTGATTCCTTGATTTCTAACGATTATTACTGTATTAATAGTTTTTTATATGTCATTGAATGCCACCCTCAATTCTTATTAGAGATTTCATATGTTTCTAAAATTCTTTTAGTATGATGTAAACTTTCCATTTTTTTGTCTCTCTCTCTCTCTCTCTCTCTATATATATATATATATATATATATATATATATACACATATACGTATATATATATATATATATACATATACATACATGAGTTGTTGTTTCTATTCTTCTTCCATCAAAGTTTCAGCTTTTGAAATTATATGGATAGGGCCTATTTACGGGTCTTATCACAAAACAAACCTTTGAACAAACTCATAGGCTTGGCCAAGCCACACATTTACATAGGTCAGGCTAATCCTTTTAGAGAAGGCTTTATCGCTGGTAAAATAGTTGAGCTTAGGCTTTGTATTTTCAATCAAGGTCAGGCTTGGGCTTCAGAAATCTTGGTCTGATCTGATCTCTTTCCACCCCTTGTGTGATGTTCAACTGCCCCTTTGATCTATAAGTGCGTTTTCTTTATGAGCTTTTGTCACTTCTCATGCATTCCTTTTCCATGTTTTGGTTTTTCTATTCTGAAACTAAATAAAATGAAATGCTTCTTTGATGTTTTCTCTTTCACAGTCATATACGAGTAACTGTTTTCATTTCTGCAGTTAAGTAAAATGAAATTCTTTTCTGGTTTTGTGTCTTCACTTGAGTGTCTGAGGCTTATTTTTTTTGTTTTTTTGCAGGAATCTTGCAATTTCAACCATGACTTTGTTAGAGGTAATCAAGGATGCTTCAATCAATTCAAAACCGCTTGATTTACCTTTGGATTACCCAATTGTTCTGAACCCAGATAGTATCTTACCCAATTTAAAGCCAAAAGATATAGATGAATCTTCTTCATCACTCATAAAGCCCCTTATCGGATGGAATGTTCCGCCAACTGATGCTGAGATCACTGACATTAACAAAAAGTTCTTTACACAGCTGAATGCTAAGTTCATGAACACTAATAATTTGGATAAGGGTGAGTTTATTAGTAGTTTGAAGTCTTATCTAGAAAACATCAGGGACAAAGTAGGGGTTGTGATTGAGGTCGATACGTCCAGTAGTGATTATAACAGGATTTTGATTGATAAGCTTGGAACATTCGTGGGTAAAGATGTTGCTGGCCTGGTATTGAATGGGTGTGTATCTTTGGAGATTTGGGACGTGATTGAGGCTTTGATTGTTAATGTTACTATTGAGCATTCTTGCTATTCAAACCTGATTACCAAATTAGTGGAAAAAAGAGGTCTTATTTGCTCTGTTTGTGCATAAAGCATGTTTGGGATCTTGGTTCATCAGAAATAATCACCATTTTGAGGTATTTTCTTTCTCCATCCAAAGATGCTTATGACAGTATGGTAACTGTGAAGCTGGAGTGGGAGAGCCAAGCAGTGTTAGCCATTGAGACAGCAAGTGATAGCAAGCTGAAGACGAAGAAATTGGTTATGGCAAAGGAGGCTTCCATTTTGCTTATGATGGCATATGATGGTTTCTCTGCGTCTGAGACTTGTTTGCATTATCTGATTGCTTCATCCAACATCAATGACGTGGTGCTATCCCCTTCATTCGGTAAGTTGAATGGAAAAGAATTACTAAATTTGATTCGCTATTTAGCCAAATGGTTGAAGAAATACCAGAGGTTTCCACAAGCACGACCATGTCCGAGAGCCTCGTCGGTTTTGAATTTGAAGGCTTGCGATTGGGTTCCTAAACTCGAAGATGTTATAAAATATCTTGGCTTGGTGCTTGATGAGAAATTTTCGTCATTGGTGTTACATCCATTGTTTCACGAGGAGCTGAGATCAATTGAAGAAATGGTTAGTTGTTTAACTTCTGAAGCCAAATTTTGTAACTTAATGGCTGATGTAATCGACATACTAAAGATCGATCGTGAAAATTTGTAAGCCTCTACCCAAGCAGATTCATCTTGATTTGTTTTTTCCATCTTTGCTAACGATGTACTCCTAAATGAACAATGGTCAATGAACGCACATCTTTATTTTTGTATATTTTTCACACAACAGTCGATAGAGACCAAACATAAATCCGAGACGTGTATTTTTGTGGTTAAGTAAGGATCAAGATTGCCATTTCATTTGGGAGATACGTGTCTTCACAGTCTATTTTTGATATCCATGAAAAATATTATTTGACAAAATGCCTTTTCTTCATTTTTTTTAGGATTCTATGCCGTATATAATACTAACTGAAAATAGGGAAACAGTATCAATACATGCATTAAACTACTTGTAAAATTTATCTTTAGTCCTTTTCTAATAATAATAGTAGTCCCATACATAAAACGGTAAAATCATTATAATGAAAAGTTATAAGTTAAAAATATATTAAATGTCATGATAATAACTTATATTAATAATGACTTTAATAGTTTAGAAATTATACTAGTATTCATTGGTTTGAACCAATCCAATCAACCAAGATTCTCAAAACAATATTTTTCTCAAAACAATTTCATAACATAAACAAAAATATCTCCCTCAAAATATGATAAGATCATATGTTTAAACCGAAAGAAAAAAAAACTATTTAAATAAAATTATATGTCAATTTTAATAAATTAATTTTACTTAAACGTCTACTTAATCAATTATATTTTATTTTTAATTGATTAAAACATAGAGGTTAAAACATATAAATTTTTCAATAAATTATTTTAACTTATAAAAACACATTTATTCCATTAAAACAGTGTGGCCAAAAAGATTTGAATCCAATGATAGATTTTAACTGATAAAAGTGTATTTAATTGAGTAAAATAGAAAGAACAGAAAACTTTTCGAATCCAATGGTACAAACATGTTTTAATAGACTAAAATAGCTGAGACAAAAAATTATTCTAAGACTTGAAATCATATTAATTGATAAAACATTAATCGATTAAAATAATTTAACACAAAAGTTACTAAGTCACACAAAAACATTTTAAGAAGATTTAATAGATTAATTTTTCGAAAACAATTTTTACCAAACTTGATCAAAGCATTTAAACTTATTGGAAACATTGTTTAATCAATTAAAACTGCAAAATATAAAAAAAATATTTAGTTTTAATGATTTTAATCAATTAATTTAAATTTTTATCAATAAAAATACGACCTAAAACATCTTAATATATTAAAATCATATTAAAAATGCAAAGCTAACCATTTAATTTTACTCTTCCTCATGTTTATGTATAAATTTGTTTGAAGATTTAATTAATAGTTTACTATTTTTTTTTTAGTACTCATTATTAATCTTAATCTTAATTTAGTTTACTTTATATTTGTTCAAAAATTATAATATATTAAATCATATAATCTAGAAATTTCCAATAAAACGGAAATCTCTCTTAAAAAAAATGCAAAACCATTATACATATAAATGAAATAGTTTTGGAATCAATCTTAGTTATTTTTTTCTTATGTTTATATACTTCATTATATTTTAAACATTTTTTCAAATAATATTTTTTCAAATAAATAGTTTTGGAATCCTAAAAAATGAAGAAAAGGCATTTTTTCAAATAATATTTTTCGTGGATATCAAAAATAGAATGTGAAGACATGTATCTCCCAAATGAAATGGCAATCTTGATCCTTACTTAACCACAAAAATACACGTCTCGGATTTATGTTTGGTCTCTATCGACTGTTGTGTGAAAAATATACAAAAATAAAGATGTGCGTTCATTGACCATTGTTCATTTAGGAGTACATCGTTAGCAAAGATGGAAAAAACAAATCAAGATGAATCTGCTTGGGTAGAGGCTTACAAATTTTCACGATCGATCTTTAGTATGTCGATTACATCAGCCATTAAGTTACAAAATTTGGCTTCAGAAGTTAAACAACTAACCATTTCTTCAATTGATCTCAGCTCCTCGTGAAACAATGGATGTAACACCAATGACGAAAATTTCTCATCAAGCACCAAGCCAAGATATTTTATAACATCTTCGAGTTTAGGAACCCAATCGCAAGCCTTCAAATTCAAAACCGACGAGGCTCTCGGACATGGTCGTGCTTGTGGAAACCTCTGGTATTTCTTCAACCATTTGGCTAAATAGCGAATCAAATTTAGTAATTCTTTTCCATTCAACTTACCGAATGAAGGGGATAGCACCACGTCATTGATGTTGGATGAAGCAATCAGATAATGCAAACAAGTCTCAGACGCAGAGAAACCATCATATGCCATCATAAGCAAAATGGAAGCCTCCTTTGCCATAACCAATTTCTTCGTCTTCAGCTTGCTATCACTTGCTGTCTCAATGGCTAACACTGCTTGGCTCTCCCACTCCAGCTTCACAGTTACCATACTGTCATAAGCATCTTTGGATGGAGAAAGAAAATACCTCAAAATGGTGATTATTTCTGATGAACCAAGATCCCAAACATGCTTTATGCACAAACAGAGCAAATAAGACCTCTTTTTTTCCACTAATTTGGTAATCAGGTTTGAATAGCAAGAATGCTCAATAGTAACATTAACAATCAAAGCCTCAATCACGTCCCAAATCTCCAAAGATACACACCCATTCAATACCAGGCCAGCAACATCTTTACCCACGAATGTTCCAAGCTTATCAATCAAAATCCTGTTATAATCACTACTGGACGTATCGACCTCAATCACAACCCCTACTTTGTCCCTGATGTTTTCTAGATAAGACTTCAAACTACTAATAAACTCACCCTTATCCAAATTATTAGTGTTCATGAACCTAGCATTCAGCTGTGTAAAGAACTTTTTGTTAATGTCAGTGATCTCAGCAACAGTTGGCGGAACATTCCATCCGATAAGGGGCTTTATGAGTGATGAAGAAGATTCATCTATGTCTTTTGGCTTTAAATTGGGTAAGATACTATCTGGGTTCAGAACAATTGGGTAATCCAAAGGTAAATCAAGCGGTTTTGAATTGATTGAAGCATCCTTGATTACCTCTAACAAAGTCATGGTTGAAATTGCAAGATTCCTGCAAAACAAGCAAAACAAATAAACCTCAGACACTCAAGCGAAGACACTAAACCAGAAAAGAATTTCATTTTATTTAACTGCAGAAATGAAAACAGTTACTCGTACATGATTGTGAAAGAGAAAACATCAAAGAAGCATTTCATTTTATTTAGTTTCAGAATAGAACAACCAAAACAAGGAAAAGGAATGCATGAGAAGTGACAAAAGCTCGTAAACAAAACGCACCTATAGATCAAACGGGCAGTTGAACATCACACAAGGGGTGGAAAGAGATCAGTAATAATGGTTAGAAATCAAGGAATCAGAACCGTAAAAAGGATGACAGAATCCAAAATCAAGGAAAGCCAAAGAGAAAGAGGGCAAGTCTATTAGTTAGGATCATAAGCCCATACAGCACATTGGCTACTGAAGCAACTGTTGATGTCAAAGCTACACATGGATCTATCTACATTTAAAGGATTCAAGTTCAACTTCAGTACTTTGAAATAGAACAGATAGACCAGCTTCGGATGTGGTATTGTTGCATAAGACCCGTTACAAGGGCAAAGGTACCGATTCCAGCATGGTACTGATTCTAAGATCTTCAAATACACTTAGTATGAACAATCATCATACACCTAGTATGAACAATCATCATACGAACAATTATCATATGCCATCGTCATACACCATCATCATACACCATCGTCATACACCCAGTACGAACAATCATCATACACCATCGTCATACGAACAATCGTCATACACCCAGTACGAACAATCGTCATACGAACCATCTTCATACACCCAATACGAACAATCGTCATACGAACCATCGTCATACACCCAATATGAACAATCATCATACACCCAGTACGAGCAATCGTCATACACCCAGTACGAACAATCATCATACGAACCATCGTCATACACCCAGTATAAACAATCATCATACGAACCATCGTCATACACCTAGTATATGAACAATCATCATTGTATCCTCATACACCTAGTATATGAACAATCATCATTGTATCATCATACACCATTGTATTATCATACACCTAGTATGAACAATCATCATTGTATCATCATACACCTAGGTGTATGAGCAATCATCATACACCTAGTATCATGATTGTATCATCATACACCTAAGAATATTAACAATTATCATACACCTAGTATAAATTAATGTTGTTCGCATCATGTCCAGTTACCAGAAATTGTGATTGGCAACAGCAGTGTCATGTGACAGTAACCAAAATTCCAGCGCCAAAGGCACCGCGCAATGTAAAGGTACGGAAAAGGGTCATTGTACACTGTGTTACCCTTGCATATACAAAGAAGCTGTTTTAAAATTAAAGGTTCAATTCATTCACATTCACAGGTGTATAAAGAGTTACCTCTGATACAGGCATAGGTGCAATTCGAAGGATATTTTGGCAGGCGTCAGACTAGAGCAAGGTAGCCAATAGAGAGAAACCAATAAGGGATAAGGAATCAAAGACCAGTAAAAGGAGGAGGGACAATAATCACCAAATGGTGCGCAGCCTTTCCCCTTTCTACTGGAATGCCAGGGTTTCATTTTAATCTATAATAATGATTGAATTTAAAAAAACAATTGTTGAAATATTGTAATGTTATGTTTAAATCTTTGTAAAACAAATTACACAATTGATTAATAAAAATTTGTTGTTGTTGTTGATTGTTGTTAGAATTAGAAGGAAAAGAAATCATAAGAGAGTTAAATCTTTCAAAAGAAATTAACCATAATAAAAATAAGATTTTTAGAATATGAAATTTATCAAAATACTAAAACCCTCTACCATGGGTTATAAATAAGACTCTTGGGGTATCCAATCCTTAGAGGAGAAAAATGTATGTTTTACTCAAATAATCAAACTCTTTTGAAGTTCTTCATGTATACGAGTTTTCTCTGTGATCCTTCAATATTTGTAAGCTATTTTCTTATCTTATCTTTAAGTTTATTATCAAGTTTCTTTAAGTTTATTATCAAGTTTACTTCTTTATATCTCTATTTTATCCTGCCAAACAACAAGATCTATATATGGTAAGGAGATAGTGTATTTTTTTCTATGCCAGAAAGCAGTAGGGTTAGTTTCACATATTTCTTTACTTATTCTTTGTTCATATGATTTTATAATTTCTTGGATTTTTGGTGTAGTAATTTGTTCTTCTATTCTTTTGAATTTTATCTCTTTATTTATCATATTTATTTGTTTCTTTTTAACATCTATTTTAGTTATTAAGGTTAATAAATTTATGTAACTATCATTATTATTATCATTTACTTCCCATCTTTTTGTTGATTTTGACATTTTTTTTATCCAGGATTTTTCTAAGGTTATTATAGACAATGTTTCTGGTTTAAGGTAATAGTCATCTTGAACGTTTGCTGATTGGGAGGCTGTTTGAGGTTTAGAAATAATGTCTTGAGTAGGTTGATAGGAAGAGGAGGAGGTAATAAGATCTTTTGGGCTTATTAGAGTATGAGAATATTGCAAAGGGGTGAATCTATTTGAAGTATTTACTAAAGGACTTTTGGATATTGGTGATGGAGTTTTTAATATTTCTGCTAAGGTTGCCTTAACTTGTGGACTTTGTGGTCTTAATGATAGTGTCATACCTGCATTTGTTGATCCCAGTGGGGGACCATATTGATCTCGACTTAATGGCTTTTCATTCATTGTTGTTTATCTTGTAAAAATTCTCCGGTTAAAAAATCTGGTAAAGAATTATTTTTCCCTTTTATATGTTCTATTAAAGCAAGATAATAAAACCTGTCATCTTGCAAAAATATGTTTAGAAATCAAATTTTGAACATCTTTTATTAAAACATTGGGTGTTGCTTTACAATCAATTCTTATTAAAAACTTTTTATTAAATAAATCATCTTGAAATGTTTGTAAACATAAAGACTATTGATAGAATTTCTTTCTAGACAGTGGAATACTTTTGTTGTGTTGGATGACGAGATATCCGAATGATACCTGACAACTTGTTTTTTAGAGGACTCTTGAATTTTTTGTTTTAAATTCCCCCATATCCTAGTTCTGATGTTTCTACTATTAAAGAGGCTTCTGGATTTGAAATTCCTAACCAAGGGATTTTCTTGACTAGTTCTTTTACTTTAATTATTGATTGAGTGATCTCTTCTTCCCATGATGGAGGATTTTTTCTCAATCTTTTGAATAAGGATGCACAGATGATCCTCCTATTGGGAATAAAGTCTGCTATGTAATTTACATATCCTAAAAATCTTTGTGGTTGGTTTTTATATTTTATTTCATTTGGAAATTTGGTGGTGAATTCTAATGATCTTTGTATTGGGGTTACAGTATTTCGATAAATTTCATATCCTAAAAATCTTATTTTTGATTGGAATATTTTTAGTTTCTTTTCTGAAATTACTAGAATTACATATTTATCCTTATACTAATTACATTTTTGTCCATGAATTATGTCGAATCTTCTTTTAAGATAGTGTTGTCACATATCATTACTTTTGTCGGCCATAAAGATCTTTTTTTACTTTTAAAGATTCCTTGTGGATAAGGATGCCAGTTGTTTAATTGAACATGCTGAATGGGTTCGAATGACTGCTGCTCCCATCTGAAGGTGTCTTGGAAGTTGTTGATTTATTTTTTATGAGTTTTTCCATTTCTTCAATACTAGAGGTTGTTTCTAATTCTTCTAATAATCTTTGTTTTTCTGCTAAAAATAATGACTCTCTTGTCAACGTTGTCAGAGTTTTATCTTCTTGCTTTTGTTGATAATTGGCTTGCCAAATATCGATTCTCTGTTTATTGATAATATCCAGATTAAACTTCTTCCACCACTTTATCTTGTTCTGTCTTGATAAAGCTTTGATGTCAGCATTTTCATAGAATTGTTCGATTGTAAAGTCCCATGCCATAATCCAGGCTATTGATTGGGTGACAATAAAAGATATTAATCTATATCCTTGCTCAAATGAGGTCTTTTGTCGAAAATAATTATATTTTTTAGAACGGAAAGATGGTTGGGAGTGGCCCCATATGTGAAAACCACTTGATAAACCATTTTGGAAATCTCAATGAGATACCTTTTTTGAACCAAATAAACTAGGAATGATTTTCTGGGTATACATACAGAGTATTATACCAGACGTCCATGTAGTCATAATAATCATAGGTTTGGGGGTTAAAAGTTCAGGAAAAGGATTTTAGATGGTAAGGTGGATGATTTCATTCTTCGGGTGATAAAATTTTTAAAATTTTGAGTTTGGAATATCGAATAACTCCTTGTTCATCACGTTTATGAATAATCTCGGCTGAGTCAGTGTCTATTAATATGAACTCATAGAAAGTACGATCTTTGACTATACTAGTGGGTAGATCTTTGACTATAATAGTGGGTAGGTAATAAAATTCTTTTGGAAAAAGATATTGGGACATGATTTTGGCATTTTGTTTGATCCAGGGATTTTCTAAGGTTATTATAGACAATGTTTCTGGTTTAAGGTAATAGTCATCTTGAAGGTTTCCTGATTGGGAGGTTGTTTGAAGTTTAAAAATAATGTCGTCACACACCCAGTATGAACAATCATCATTGTATCGTCATACACCCAGTATATGAACAATCATCATTGTATCATCATTGTATCGTCATACACCCAGTATATGAACAATCATCATTGTTTCGTCATACACCCAGTATATGAACAATCATCATTGTATCGTCATACACCTAGTATGAGCAACCATCATTGTATCTCATACACCTAGTATGAGCAATCATCATTGTATCGTCATACACCTAGGTGTATGATACACCTAGTATCATGATTGTATCATCATACACCTAATATAAATTAATGTTGTTCATACACCTAATAATATGAACAATTATCATACACCTAGTATAAATTAATGTTGTTCGCATCATGTCCAGTTACCAGAAATTGTGATTGGCAACAGCAGTGTCATGTGACAGTAACCAAAATTCCAGCGCCAAAGGCACCGCGCAATGTAAAGGTACGGAAAAGGGTCATTGTACACTGTGTTACCCTTGCATATACAAAGAAGCTGTTTTAAAAGTAAAGGTTCAATTCATTCACATTCACAGGTGTATAAAGAGTTACCTCTGATACAGGCACAGGCGCAATTCGAAGGATATTCTGGCAGGCGTTGATAAGAGGAAGCAGACTAGAGCAAGGTAGCCAATAGAGAGAAACCAATAAGGGATTAAGAAAACGCCCCAAAATGATAAGGAATCGAAGACCAGAGAGAAAAGTGGAGAACAGCAAAAGGAGGAGGGACAATAATCACCAAACGGTGCGCAGCCTTTCCCCTTTCTACTGGAATGCCAGGGTTTAGGGTTTTGTCATTTTAATCTATGCTTGAATTAAAAAAAAAATGTCGAAATATTGTAATGTTTAAATCTTTATAAAACAAATTACACAGTTGATTAATCAAAATACTTTTATACAATTTTAAAACTATTATTATAATTTTTTTTAAATTGATCTTTTATTATTACATGGAAATTGTTAAAACAAGTATTATTTATTAAATGTTTTATTTTATATTATTATTTTTTAAATAACATCACTTATTATTATTATTATTATTGATGGAGATTAGAAAAAAATGATATTGGAATTCTATAATTAGGTCTAAAATTAAAAGGGAGAAGCAAATTTAATAAAATAAATTGATGAATATTAAAGAAATTACATCATAATTGATATTTTAAAAAAAAAGTTTTTGTCAATACCCTAAACTCACCAAACAAAAAACTATCACATTTTAATTCTGATGATTAATGAAGCTTAGTGAATCATTAAGATGATTAGTAGGAAGTAAAATCTTATTAATATATTTACTTTTATTATTTTAAGGATTGTCTAGCCTTAGCCTACAAAGAATAACTTTATGGAAGTTTCTCATTTTGAGAGTTTTCTGTGTTCTTGTTAATTCTGGTAACGACGAGTTACAGGTCACGGAAGTCCCCTTTTGGTCAAATTTTCAATCTTTCTTTCCAATTTTGAAGACCATTCATAAATCATATTTATATAAATAAATAATCTAATTTAAAATCATTTAACACACTAATATATTACACCCTGGAAATAATATCTGTTACATAAATGTAAATTTTTTGAAATAAAAGTATATAAACTATAAGTAAAAAGACGTTGCATTTATAATATATTTAAATATAATTTTTAGAAAAATCCGATTATACTTAAACATTTTTTGTCATATATTTTGTTGAATAGTATATAGTATAATTTTGAAGTAAAGAGTGCTTCCATTTATTATGTCAGAACCTCAACCAATGACAAGCACAACAATATATTAGATGTAAAAAAGCTTATTCAAAAATCAATTTCCATAAATTTATTCAAAACTCTAAAAATATAGTGAGGGTTTATGGCATAATAAACTACATGCTAATATACTTCCTCCCCATTTACATTCCTAATCTCATCATTTCAATCACAAACAAGACTCCTAGTTTTGCATTCCTCATCTATTGTTCCTATCATAAGACTTTCTTTTCAAGTAGATGGAGGAATTTCCCAATTCTTTGACACCGGCCCATAATCATAGATAACTTCTCTGTGACAAGACCATACAAGTTTTATGGCCTCTGGAGTACCAATTCCTGCACCTCTAGGATCACCGGCGGGTCCAAACCTGCAATGAAATTATTATTTCCAACATGACATCACTGGTCATTTATTTGCAAGTAAAAAAAGTTAAATATATATATATATATATATATATATATATATATATATATATATATATATATCATTTTACCAATGATTCTGTGGAGCTCCGGTTGTCCTTGCTCTTAAACCAGCATAAGTAGTACCATTTACCGTCTTGCCAATGACTTCCTGCAAATATGCGTTGCATCACAAATGTGGAGATCCCAACATAAAACAATGGCCATTCATGATAACGTTTCTGAATATATCAACTTATATATGTGCTCAGCAGACAAGTCATATCAATTTTGGAATTGAACTCTAATTACCACGAAAAATTCTTGCAGGCAATTTTATCTAATATGCAGAATAGATTTTTAAATGTTCAGTATATATATATAGTGTAATCGACTAAACCTCTATAATTTTGTTTCATGAATCAAATATGAAAGACGAGAAGTACATGATTTTCTAACAAAAATGAGAAATGAGAAAATTTAAAATGAAGTTGATATGAGTGAGACCTAGATTTCAAAAATTGATGAATTGTTTCATGTCACATGCCCTAGAACCAGTAATAAGTTTGAGTAATAAAATCCTTACCTGCACAAATAAAGGATCATTCGAAACTACAGCAGCTGTCAAATGGTTATGCATTCTTTCCAAAGCATCCAATACAACTGATAGTTGACTATTTTTGTAATCGGTAATAATCTGGAAATATAAAAAGAAATTATTTATATCTCAACAGAACAAACTAATGTTATTTTTGTTTTAAACAACATGCATCTGCAAACTTCATTCTCATATTTTTTTACTCTCCCTTCCCATACCTGGAAGGGTCCGAATATTTCTTTTGTCACAAGTTCAAAATTGTTATCCTTCATAATTTCCTCAAGAGGAACATAAACAGCTGTTGGTTTAATAGCACCATAAATAGACGGAATTGAATGATCCTCCAAAGGTCGACCTCCGAAGAGCAGCTTTGATCCTGGTATCTCAAGCAACTTATTGACATGTTCAAGCATAGAATCAGTCGTAACCTGCAACATATGAGATGAAAAATAAAGAACTCAAAATCAAGTAAATGAAAAACTAAATAAATATTACAACAACCTGTTTAGACGCATTATCTTTTATTGCTGTACCCAATGGCAGATGCATTATATCTTTCTGGTATTATTAACTTTGACTGGACTGTTCAGTTTGACCAGATGCCAGAAACTGAACCTATAATAGGTTCGGTTTGTCTTTCAAACGGGAATTGCATTCAACTTGTTTGAACTTGGGTCTAGGGGAATCACTTTTTAAATTCTAAAATTTGAAGAAGAAAAAAAAATAGTGCATGTTGTGGGAACCAAACACCAGTTTCAGTCTCAGTTTCAGATAATGGAAAAGGATTTATATTTACCAAGCTAAGACATTTGATTATGTACTAGATATTCTCTATAATAAGATTTATATTTTTAATAAATAACGTACATGTAGTTTAAGCAATAGTCAACTAGTGATCTATTGACTTGTATCTTGACCAATCGGTCTAGTTTTTAATAACATTATTTAACTAGAAGAATGTCACAAACTTCGAGCAAGCCACCAAAAAAACCTTTAAATGTTAAATCCTGGTTCAATTACTTAAAGGGGGAGATGATGGACATGTAATACTTACTGTGAGGACTGGGCCAATTGTCAAGTCTGTCAACTTTCTTCTTTCAGCAAGATCTTTTAACTTCGATAGCAAGGAAGTTTTAGACCAGTTCTGAACCAGATAAATTCAAAACTTCTAGTTAGTAGAGACACAATACATATAAAGTGTATTTTACAAAATAAAAAGTTAATGTATATCTTCACAGCAGTTCTTGAAGACATATAATCATGAACAAAATCTCAAGATACCGAATGTGACAGACCTCGTGCATAAATAATAATGATTGGGCAGAGCATTTCTGACCACTGCATGCATATGCATCTTGATCACACACCCACGCAGTGTAATCTTCCTGAACCAAGAAACCATAGAGAAACTATTAATGAACAGAAAATTGAGTTAGTGCCTTTATCATGTCCAAAAAAAAAATTGTAAGAAACCTGATGGACATCAGGACCCAGTATTTTCCAGTCAAATCCAGCATCTTCCAATTTAACACGGCCCTTCAAATCAAGGGCTAACTTCTCAGCCACTCTTGAACTACCAGTAAAAAGGGTCATTCGTGGATTTGCCTGTAAATTCAATACTACTTCATGATCCAATATCATCTTATAAAAGGAACATGTAACCATGTACAAATATCATCCGCAAAATGAACATTGACATTATCATGAAATAGAATCATAAATATAATCCTCTGCGGAATCAAAGCATTGGATGAACAGCCAACCAACCTCCAGTAACAGTTTGTTCATTGTCTTCCCGTCAGAATTTATGAAGTCTACATCTTCAACAGGTAAGCCACAGGTGTGAAGCAGACGTAACATTTGTTCCATGACAATGCTCACCTACAACAATTTGAGTCAATAATTCAGGATTATAACTGAAAAAAAAATTAAAATATTAAAAGCAAAGAGTTAACATTTCAGAAATCAAACAGTTTGAAGATGAAGACAAGAATGTGAAAAGGAAATAAATACAATGGTTTCTTTAGGCATGAACCCCTCCCCCAACACACATAAACGCACACATGTAAGAAAAAAAAAACATTGCATCACAACTATTTTCACCATAACTGATTGGATTAAATATCTCATGTAGCCCTAAAGCTAGCCCTGTATCAATTTTGAATTAAATGTCATAAAGTGTCCCCAAATCAGAGTCAAAAGAACTCACCTTGCTATCAACTTTAAGGACTGGTTTGTTGCCCATATAGAGTGCACCCATCAATTGAAGAACAGGAATCTCTAAGGGAAAATTAAAAGGAGTAATAATTGCCACCTACAAAACACACTTTCAGCTTTAAGATTACAGTAGGAGTGATAGGTAAATGTTTATGATGTCCGAAAGAAAAAGAAAAAAAAAACAATCTATGAATTCACATACTAAATCAGACACCCATGAAAAAAAAACTCTAAAACTTCTCCACATTGCAGCACTAATCTAAGAAAAATTCAATTCAAAACAAGAAAACATCTCATGATTTTCAATGTTTTATCTTGAGTAGAAGTCAAGTCAAATCGATACAACATAAACCTTTTTGTACAAGAAAAAAAGAAAGAAACTACTTTTAATCAAAGATAGCAATCATAGCATTTACCTCATAAAAGACTTAAGTTTTCTAGTAGGTAAGAATACCTGAGTTCAGGGTTTTGCCTTTATTATCATATGTAACTAATTGAAAGCGCACGCAACATTCTTTTTTTTTCTTTTTGGGATAACAAGCCTAAAAGAATCAAAGGGAAATCAGCCACTCCTGCCGTGGCCATTATTGTACAACTGAATTGCGTGACCACAAGGTAATTGATAGTTTTGACACACCAAACAAAGCACTGGTTAGCAAATGAAAAACTCATTTTTTTCCTTTAGTATATAGCATATCAGGTAAACCAATGATAATCGTGAAAATTTTAAACAAAACATAATCCTTACAGGACCATAGGGCCAACGAAAACCATGACTTTGTTGTCCAAGATGATTTCCGGGTACTGCAAATGATCTTGCTAAGAAACGAACCTATCAAGATTTTGTTAAATGAAACAACAAAGAAGAAATCAATACAGGAATTATGAGATTATGAGCGACTGTCTCTACACATGTGCAAGTATCAGTGTTTAATTTTTCCACTAATGAAGAATCAAAGCATCAGCAAAATAAAGGAAATTGATCATATCTGTCAATCAATGGGTAATTTAGATTCTTTCATCTATCCATACAAAGAATGGTATATCAGTACTTAACATTTCATTTAATTAGCACTAGCATGTCTTATTTTGATATACCTGATCCCCGCAAAAATTCTCTAGAAACTTTTGTGTCACATAGACTTCTCCAAAAGCCTGCTGGTAACTCTTTGGAGAAACTCTTTGTATTAACCTTGTAAAGAAATCTGAAACCTGAAGGCCATGCAGTATAAGTTATTTAAAGCATCCAATGAAAGAAGAAAACGTTGATCTTGAATACAACAGGTAACAATATATAATAAAGTAACATTAAAAAAATAATGATAAAATTAAATCATCTTTCTTGAATTTAAAACCTTAGGAAGTGATAGCATGTGAGCTGCCTTAGTAGATATGTCTCCATACATAAGATATCTGCAAAATATTTATAGCAAAAGCCATATTAAATTTCAAGAAGAGGGTGAAAATAAGAACATGAGAATAGATATCATGCTTGTAACTACAATGCCCAAGTCAGTTGCTTTTTCTAAGTAAAAATGAAAGCTGCAAAATGAGAAAATTTGTTTATTCTCATACTTATCATAGGCAGCTTTAGAATACCTGGGTCCCATGTATTTTAGTTACCCCTCTTAGGAGAAGTTTAAAACAAACCGGATAAGATAGAAAGTTCATTCTACCATCCAACAATTGTTAAGTCAGGAATTATGGAAACACACCTGAGCGCTTCCATTCACAACCAAACAAAATCATCGGAAAATCACTTCAGGTTTCCGTTTCAAAAGAAAAATAATTAAATTGACATGTTATTTGCTACCAAGAAAACTGCTGTATCATTTACCAAAAAGGTTGAAACCTCTGGGATTAATCAAGATAATCCACCTATGCATAACTCCGCAGCAAAATCCCATTAGGGCAACAGTCCTATGATAGACAACTTAAAGCATAAAGGTTTATACTGTAGGATGAGGATCCCATCAATGTTTTTTTATTTTTGACCACGACAAACATAAATCCAACAAAGAACATATATAGTTTTATATGTTTCTATTATAAAGAAAATTAAGAAGAGATACAAAGTAATCTCTGCACCTACCTCTCTGGTGCCTTAAAAGGATTGTGTACACCATGTTTGGGACAGCTGGACAAGCTTTCCACAAAGGGCTGATAAGTCAAAGAAAATTTAGTCAATATCTGCTCCCAAACTAACTGTTGAATTCCAATTAAGTACCAACTCATAGAAAGCCTCCAAATTGAAATTTATTTCTTTTCATTTTTTTCACAAAATGATGAGAATCCTGTCTCACAAACTGAGGTTGAAGGTTTGAACTATAGAATCTACTATTAAAAATATAGGTGTGGTGACTAATAGCACTATACCGTTATATTTATATTTTTTAGTTTGAAGGATAAGTAATAAAAAGAATACAGTCTTGAACATATAAAAGCTGAATTCTCACTAAGCAGCAGTTTTTACTTCTGCTATACAAGGAAAATACTTCAAAATAAATATTAGTTAACAACATAAATAATACATAATACGTTACAGGGATGCACCTGAATGCCTGTTTCGTCAACTTCAGCAACTTTAATAAATGAGTCACCATTTAACGGATCCACAACTGTATTCAAATTTGAAGATCCTACCCATTTACTTTGCACTGAAAGATAAGTTAATACATTCAGTGATAACCAACAAATCAAAGCACAGCAAGTTTGATAGAAAATGAATTTCTTGATAAGTACGTGGTGTTGAAGAAATTTACAATAACACTAGGTAGCATTCAGATTTTGATACATAGAAAAAGTATGATAAATACTTTAAGGAATCCTTTGGTTTTCCATCATATTTAAATTTCTTTGAGAACATAATATTTAACAAACTGCCTTTGGAATTGAAAAATACTTGACAAGCAGGTTTGACACCTTGCAGACGGAATCATGAAAAATATAGTTTAACCACGTTTTATGATGGTAACCCTTTTCAAATCTTGGATCACCAAGTTTATATTATGACATTCATAAGAGTACTAATGTGTATCTGCAAAAAACAAAAACATCAAAAGTTCGGATGCATACCCAGGTTCAAAACTTCAGCAGGCCTAGAACCTGATACCTCTTCTGCATCTACAGTCGCAAATTGTAGTGAATGAACACACCTACTACATATTGTAAAAATGAATTCAGAGCTCAAACTTGAGTTAAAATCTACAGTAATGAAATAAAGAAATAAAACGTTAGTGCACAACAAAATATGACCAAATAATATAAAGTAATGCAATGCTCCAGCTGCTCTTGACCTGAATTCCAGAAAATGATCTAACCCAGAAGTTTGAATAGTTACAGTAGACCAAAATATATTGTTTACGATACAAATAAATCAACGAGTCCAATTTATAATTTTAGCCTTGCTAATTTCTGAACAGTACTAAATTTCTGGACAGTACTCAATTTCTGAGCAGTACTCAGCTTGGAGCTCTGACCAGTACTCAGCTTAGAGCTAAGCTGCTTTCTGAACAGTACTCAGCTTAGGAAATGATAAGCTACTTTCCTTATTCCTAAGTCCTCAGTTACTCCGATCATTTTTATATACAGATTTAACATTTTAAAATGTTCAGTACCCAACGGTAACCTCGTACACATCGCTGTTCGCAAGCAGAACTACTTAATTACAGAACAGACCGAATAGCGAATCGATTAACGACTAAACTTGCTAATCTCACAAACTTAAGAGAATCCGCAATTGAATAAACTCGGATCCTTGGTGAGTCAAATTCAGCGGAAAATAAAAGGAGATACCTAGACAAACTGAATGCGGCAAAGCCATTGTGATTGCGAGAAGTTGAAACATTAGCCGTTCTATTAACCAAAAGCTTCAACATTTTGTTCTACAGTTTTGATCCTATACAACCCTCAAACTTTCAGTTTAGTTTAGTGTAGACTTAGCTGATGTTTATCTTCTATATATACGCGCAAGAATGTGAAAAAGAACAAGAAAGAAAAAGAAAAACCCACATGTTCAACACCTACATGTGAGTACACGTGGATATAGCATCAAATTTCTGTAACAGATTTGGTACGACTCGGCGCTTTCCCATATTTTTTTCCGGAAAATAACTTTTATTTTCTGAATTTGTGTTTTCTTTTAATAAATACTTTTTTTTTTATGTTGTATTTTATCTTATTTCGCAAATGACTACTGAATAAATAATTCTATTAAAACATATCTAAAGTACCGTCGTTCTGTCCACTTACCTTTATTAAATAATTATATATAAACATAAAAATAAAATATAATTCAATTTGTTTTGGTTATAATTTGATATAAACTTTAAATCAAAAGAAATTAATAGTCTACAGTCCAATTCATTCGAATTTTACAAATTTGATTAAATAAAATTGATAAATATTTTAAAATAATATAAAATATATTTTAAGAAAAATTATTAAATCTTTATGATAAAAATTTTGAATAAAAGGAAATTTTCAAAAAGAATATGAAAATATTGGAAAACCCAAATTATAAATATTTTAAAAATATATTTAATGATGATTAAGTTTTGGATTAATGTATATGTAAAGTACAAAATTTGAAAAGATTATGATCCTCCTTGCCTCTTAAAACATTTCGGTCATAAGAAATAAAGTAAAATAGATTAAGTTAAATATAGTAGAATTGAATACGATTAAGATATAATAAGTCAATTTGAATCAAATTAGATCTAGTTAGGTTAAGTTGAGTAGAATCAAATCGAGTTACGTGAGATTTAGATAGATTAAGTTAGGGTAGTCAAAATTGTGAGAACTCAATTTAAGTGAGTTAAAAATAATGTATATATTATAGCAAGAATAAAATTTAAAGATTTATTGATGTTAAAGAGTTATAAATATAAAATTTTAACCATTAAAACTTCATTCTCATCGAACTATTCTTTCTCTCTTTCTCTACCACTCCTTTTATATGTTTTTGTTCTAATTTTCTTATGACTTCTCTCATCTTTTTCTAAATCCAAATACGTATTAGTGTTCTCGCAATAAAGAAAGTAATTTCTACATGATCAAAATTTTAAATAAAGTAAGTTATTTTTTGTTTATTTTAGAGCATGCATGTGCGTTTTATAAGATAAAAATTAATTTAACCAGTTTAAGAGAATTATAATATGCTCAATTTGTTAATTTAAATTTTTTATGAGCTGAATTTGATTTCTTGTGATATTAGGTACTTTTGGAGGATTTTGGATTGGAACCGGAGACCTAAGAATAAAATAAGAGAAGTTAATAATAATTTTTTTTATTACTATAGGATAGATTATTTGAACAGTGAGAGTGACTTTGTTATATTATTTGATTTGTAGATAGTTGATTTTTAATTTAACTATTAATATTGTTGGTATTTGTATGTAATTAGATTTATGATATAAAAAACATGGGTTGAATAACTATATTTTGATTAATATGTATAATATGTTTTAGAAAAATATGATGTAATAGAGACTTAAAAGATATAATTTGATACTTAAAAATTGGTTTTAGGAGGTATTTTACAAATCTATTATCGGTATATTAGTATGTTATTCAAGGGACATTTGCATTGGAGATATTTACAATGAAAAAGGCTTATCTCATTTGTATTATTTTCGCCCAAAAAAGATGTGACAAAAGAAATATTCTAGGGAGGGAGACTAAAAATATGAGATTAAACTTTGCAGATGCATGTTGTTTGAAGCAAAAATAATATTAGTTTGTTCTATTGAGATATAAATAATTTCTTTTTATATTTCCAGATTATTACCGATTACAAAAGTAGTCAACTATTAGTTGTATTGGATGCTTTGGAAATAATCATAACCATTTGACAGCTGCTGTAGTTTCGAATGATCCTTCAATTGTACAGGTAAGAATTTTATTACTCAAACTTATTAATTGTTCTAGGGCATGTGATATGAAACAATTCATCAATTTTTTAAATCTAGGTCTCACTCATATCAACTTCATATCAAATTTTTTTCATTTCTCAATTTTGTCATAAAATCATCTCTCGTGTTTCATATTTGATTCACGAAACAAAATTATAGAGGTTTAGACGATTACACTATATATCTATACTGCACATTTAAAAATCTATTCTGCATATTAGATAAAATTGCCTGCAAGATTTTTTCGTGGTAATTAGAGCTCAACTACAAAATTGAGATGACTAGTCTGCTGAGAACATGTGCAGATGCCAATGAAGTTGTTTCTATTCTTCTTCCATGAAAGTTACAACTTTTGAAATTAGATGGATAGGGGTTATTTAGAGGTCATATCACAAAACAACCTTTAAACAAACTCATAGGCTTGGGCAAGCCAGACATTTACATCGATCAGGCTAATCCTTTTAGAAAAGGCTTATGACTGGTAAAAGAGTTGAGCTTGGGCTTCAAAAAGCTTGGCCTGATCTGATCGATTTACACCCCTTGTGTGATGTTCAACTGCTCGTTTGATCTATAAGTGCGTTTTGTTTATGAGCTTTTGTCACTTCCCATGCATTCCTGTTCCTTGTTTTGGTTTCTCTATTCTGAAACTAAATAAAATTAAATGCTTCTTTGATGTTTTCTCTTTCACAATCATGCACGAGTAACCGATTTCATTTCTGCAGTTAAATAAAATAAAATGAAATTCTTTTCTGGTTTAGTGTCTTCACTTGAGGGTCTGAGGTTTATTTTTTTGCCTGTTTTGCAGGAATATTGCAATTTCAACCATGACTTTGTTGGAGGTAATCAAGGATGCTTCAAACAATTCAAAACCACTTGATTTACCTTTGGACTACCCAATTGTTCGGAACCCAGATAGTATATCTTACCCAATTCAAAGCCCAAATATAAAGAAGAATGTTTTTCATCACTCATAAAGCCCCTTGTTGGGTGGAATATTTTGCCAGCTGATGCTGAGATCATTGACATCAACAAAAGGTTATTTACGCAGCTGAATGCTAAGTTCATGAACACTAATAATTTGGATAAGGGTGAGTTTATTAGTAGTTTGAATTCGTATGTAGAAAACATCAGGGACAAAGTAGGGTTTGTGAATTGAATGGGTGTGTGTCTTTGGAGATTTGGGACGTGATTGAGGCTTTGATTGTTAATGTTTTCATTGAGCATTCTTGCTATTCAAACCTGATTACCAAATTAGTGGAACAAAAGAGGTCTTCTTTGCTCTACTTGTGCATAAAGCATGCTTGGGATCTTGGTTCATCAGAAATACTCACCATTTTGAGGTATTGTCTTTCTCCATCCAAAGATGCTTATGACAGTATGGTAACTGTGAAGCTGGAGTGGGAGAGCCAAGCAGTGTTAGCCTCGTCGGTTTTGCATTTGAAGGCTTGCGACTGGGTTCCTAAACTTGAAGATGTTATAAAATATCTTGGCTTGATGCTTGATGAGAAATTTCCGTCATTGGTGTTACATCCATTGTTTCACGAGGAACTAATATCAATTGAAGAAGTGGTTAGTTGTTTAAATGCTGAAGCCAAATTTTGTCACTTAATTTTCTCGAGGTTTGTATGTGATAAATTTAAACACTAACTTCAAGTTGATGATAAAAAAAAAAAAAAAAACTAGAGAATTTGTTGGAAGGGAAACTGATTAGCCAAGAAACTGAAAGACTCAAATTAATGTAAATGATTTCATATAAATAGGATTTAGATTACTCTAATAGTAGATAATAATCCATGCCTTAAACTACTAGTAAAATTGATCTTTAGTAGTGTTTTTTTTTTTTTTTAATAATAATAGTAGTCCTACATGAAACAGTAAAAAATAATATACCAGTGACATGATATAACAGTAAAATCAAAATAGTAAAAAATTATAAAATAAAAATATATTAAAAATCATGATAAGAAGAGCATCTCAAAATGACAGTATAAAAATTCACCTTAATTTCTTAAATACGATTCATAGTGTAACGTTATAATTAAATAATTCTATTTAAATTTTTACAAATTCATTCTAATAGTAAATTATTATAAATAATTCATCATTTAATTATTACAGTAAATTTTTATAAATTATTCATCATTTAATTATTATTTTTGATTTTAATGGGATGCACAGTAAATATTCTTTTTTTTTCTGATTTATTGTATTCTTTAATTTATTAAATTTTATTAGTAAGAATCCAAAAAAACTGAAAAAAATTAAGAAAAATAACTCTTAAAAACATTGGTGTTTGACTTTTTAAAATATTGCTATTAAGTAGAATTATTCTAATAACTTATTATTATAATAATAACATAATAGTTTTATTTTGAATCAATCTAATCAACGAACCAAGATTTTAAATCAATATAATTAAAGTGATTTAAATTTTTAACTTGATAAAATATCAAATGAATTAAACTAATTAAATTTGTAAGCATTTGTAACAAGAAACAAAATCTAACTAATAAGATAATTTATTTATCATTAAAATTTAATGACTAATTTTATCTTATTCTTATTTATTTTAAATTTTATCTTGTCATCATTTTATTTATTTTTAATAAAGTGAATGTAATAGTATTGTCCAACGAAGGAATTATTGTAAAATTGACATACATGTGATATTTATATCAATGGGATTTAATACATTACTATTATATACAAACGTGTAACATAACATAATCATATTGACGAAGAATAATATATTAATTCAATTTTCAAATACAATAAAATAAAATAAATATTAAAAATAATAAGAAAATAAATTTGAAAATAAACGAATAGGAAGGGAGAAAGTGAAGAGAAATTGAGAAATACAAAAGAAAATAGAAGAAAGGTGGTAACCATCAAATTAAAAACTGATAAATTGAAACAAGAATTAATTGTTTAAAACTTTATCCTAATACTATTCGTAGATTAAAGTAAATAATAAGAGAATTAGCATGAGTTGTTATGTTATATTACCAGAGCCAAATCAAATGTCCTTCTTCGAAAATCGTCTGTTGCAGTAACAATGGATCATCGCCAATGGCGTCCCACTCCTCCCCCCAATCTCTGCCCCACTTGCTTCCTCTCCCACTTCCCCTTCTGCCCCCCTCCACCACCCTATCACCCCCACCCATTCCCACCCGATCACACTCACCAACCCCCTCTCCCTTACGCCCCGGCCAACCCTAATTTCCCCAACTTCAAGAGACCCCGAATCCACGACAACAACGACAGCAACAACAACCCTCTCAATTTCTCCGACGACCAGCGCAGGCTACAGCTCATTCGAGATCATGGAACCAACCCCTCTCACCTCCACCCTCACGCGCCACACCAACCACAACACACTCAGAACGCCTTCCCTCCACACGACGCCGTTCCGCCTCACCAACCTCACAATGCCCAATTCAGACCTTCCCCGCAACCCTTCCACCCTTATCCAGAACCCTCGCAACGCCTTCCTGATGCTTCCGCCGCCACTTATCATCACGCTCACGCTCCTCACGTTGGCATGCAGCCACCACCGCCTCACGTTAATTTCCCTTCTCACGAAGGCAACCACCACAATCATCACCAGTTGAATGGAAGTGTTGGTCACTATCCTTACCCGTACCCTGCGAGTAACCATAGCAACAATTCTTGTGATAATAACATGGAAGCTTCTAGATTCTTCAGGGGTCACTCTCAGCCTCCTCTTCCTTCTTCGCCGCCGCCGCCTCTTCCTATGGAACCATCCATGAATCAATTGAAAACGTACTTTTCACCGCCGAAGAAACCGGCTTCTCTATTTCCCGTTCACTTGAGCTCATCTCCTTCGTCTTACTCGCAAGTATCAGAACCTCACTCCTTACCTCAGCCCTATTACCCCACCGGTTTTCCTTCCGAGGCATGTTTCTCATTTTTCTCAGTATTTGTAATTTTGAGTTGGTGCATTTGCATTTTTCTCTGAGTTTGCGAGTGTTTCTTATTTTAAACAGGACCCGTCGAAGCAGTACTTGGGAGATTCCCAACCTTTTTCGTTAAACCAGTTTTCTGCTGACAGACCTAAATTTATCGATGCTTCACATTTATTTCGACATCCTCATCGGGCTTCGCGGCCTGATCATTTTGTGATAATCTTTCGAGGTCTTCCAGGTGTGCTCAACGCTGGAGTTTCGTTATTTGTTTGTTGTGTTCATTTGTTTTTGCAGAGTTCTTTTGTACGTGTTGTGTTGAGGAAGTACTGTTGTTCAAGTTTACAATATGCTATTTGTTTGTTTATATAAAATGAATGGTATAGTGTAGATTCAAATTCATCAGTAGTGTGCTTGCATGTTTGGTTATTTCCTTCTTTTGAGATCTTTGTTGCGTGTTTGAGTCTGTTACAGGTAGTGGTAAGAGTTACCTAGCAAAGATGTTGCGCGATCTTGAGGTTGAAAATGGCGGTGATGCTCCTCGAATTCATTCTATGGACGATTATTTTATGACTGAGGTTGAAAAGGTTCATGAGTTCTTTTTGCTTTTTATTTAGACTGAGTATTCGTGTTGTCCTCTATGGGTTTTAATCAGTTCATAAGTTCTGGTGGAAGTTGTTTTGATAGTTGTATTTTCTATTGAAAAGGTTGAGGATAGCGAGTCATCAAAATCTTCAAGTTCAGGAAGAAACAAGAAGCCTGTGACAAAGAAGGTCATGGAGTATTGTTATGAACCTGAAATGGAGGAGGTAGCGTTTGCATGTATTGAGCAATTGTATTTTATCATTTGTTCACTTGTTTAGAATTGTCGTACTAGAGTTTTCTTTGTCCATGAAATTTCTGTTTGGAAATGAGTTGTAGAGAGAACATTATATCACTGAGTGTGCCAGTTTTTTGTTTTATTGTATTGATTTTTTAAAATTTTTCTTTTTTAAATTATCCGAGCACAGTAAGACTTCCTTTTTGGATTTGAGCATTGAGGCTTTTTTGTGTACAGTAATTTTCTTGGAATTGATTTCAAATTGAATTATCAGAAACAGTAAGGATTGGTACATAGGGGACAAGTGGAATCTAATTTTTGCAGTGTAGAGTGTTTGGGAGCTGGTTTGCATGTTATATGGTAGCAAAATTGGAACTAGGCCATCGCAGATTGGTTGCTGGGAATTTCTTTTGTTCTTTATTTATTTTTGGCTACTTGTCATCTATATATATGATATTGCTTGAGAAACACTGGAAAAGTCTTTTTTTTTTTCTATTGTATGTTGTGATATGCATTTGCTTCAAGTTTTCTGTGAATACCTTGATATGCACTTAATTACCTTGTCTGCTTATGTTTTTTTTTACACCCAATCATGACAGGCTTATCGGTCAAGCATGTTAAAAGCTTTCAAGAAAACTGTCGAGGAAGGAGTTTTCACCTTCATTATTGGTATGCATCACATAAAAAATACGATAGCTAGGTTATTCTTAATAAATGTTTCCACGATTCCAGATATTATCTTGTTGAGGTCATTGTTTTGCTCTTGATAGAAAATTATGCCTTTTGTCCTGAATTGCATACTCATTATATGTTGGTTTCTTCTTAATATAATTGCAAGATTACTGATTTGATCTGCTCTGGTAGATGTGTATATGTGAAATTACCTAAATAATCTTTTATTACGGAAACCAAAAGAAATTGTTTTCTTAGGTGAAATTATAATAACTTAAGCATCGAGTCAGAGGAAATCATTGAGGGATCTATGGTGGCTTGTAACAAAATTAATAAGTTCAATGCTGTGGCTTCATTTTAGATTAAGTGGTGATGCAGTGTCCATGCACTGCCTTTTTATTCACTAACCACAGATGCAGTTTTTTGTTCGGCAATGTGACCCTTTTCTTGGTGGTATTTGTGCCTCATCTTAGTGGATGACCGCAATCTGCGGGTAGCTGATTTTGCTCAATTTTGGGCAACTGCAAAGGTATACCCTTTTTTCTTTCTCGCAACATCTGCCATGTGTGCTCAAGACGACTCACAATATCTTTGCAATACTCTCTCCGTATGCTCTCAAAAATAGGTGCAGACATATGTTTCATGTGCCTTGTAGTTTACCTAGTTTTGTAAAGCATATATAGTTTCTTATCATGATTTTGTATGGAAAACTAGCAAACAAAAGGGTAGAAGGAAGAAGTGCATTCGTATTAATAAATAATGCAAATAACTAAGTTTTACCGTTGAAAGTGATCTATAATTATGCTTTCTAGTTCTTTGTCTTGTTTAATTTCAGAGAGACCAATCAGTGACTGGCCAAGGATAAGGATCTAAGATGTGGAGGGTAGGGTTACTTGGTTTAGCACAGTAGAAACCCAAGAATAGACTGTGCCAGGATATGCTGTTTATTATGTTATTTTCTATTTTGTGTGGGATCCACCAATAGTGAAGGGTGATTTCGGGAGAAGTGTTAAGATCATGATTTTCCTTTCTGTTATTCTTTTTGGCCTCTAGCTTTGGCAGGTATAGTTGTCTCCATGTAGCATAGCTCTGGGGGTAGGGAGTTCATCATTTTCTGGTGTAACTCTCCTTCATTCCTATCTTATTGCAATTCCAATAAGACTGTTCACAAATTTGACTCCCATCATGAGACTTTCTATGACTCATGTTATGCACAAAGCTGTTAAAGATGAAAGTAACTAACTGTTACTTTAAATAGGGAGGTTGATACTACTTCCTGTACCATGTGCTTTGTTTTAAATGTGCTATCACCTACTGAAGTTCCAGTCTATTTGTATTTGAATTAAAAGTTGGTTTATTTGAGGTGCATGCATAAATGCTAGTAGCCTATGTACTGTTCTAGCTATTCATACATATTTCTTTCTAAAATGATATATGAATTAAAGAGATGGTACATTCAATATGTTTCCTCTGCTGATGGATATTCCTCTTGCTTTCAGAGATCGGGGTATGAAGTTTATATCTTAGAAGCTACGTACAAGGATCCAGTGGTGCGCTTGTTCTTTCTGCAGAGCATCATTTTATTTTTCTTTTAACCACTGACCAAACTGATAATTTAGTATCATAAATAACAGATATTTTTCCCATCCTTAAATTCTTTTGCTCTTTCAAAACATGGGATTAACTTTTTGTATATTGAGTATAAATGCTTTGGTGGTTATTGAGGACTGAGTTATCTTATCTAGGAAAATATTTTACAGTCATGGGTTTGATATTTTTCTTCAGGGTTGTGCTGCTCGGAATGTCCATGGATTTACACAGGAAGACATAGAAAAGATGTCTAAGCAATGGGAAGAAGCTCCGTCCTTGTATCTACAGCTTGATGTGAAGGTTTGTTGTAGATTTGGTGTTATTTGGTTGAAGGTGTGGCATTATCAAGCCATAACATTAGTGCAAACTGTATTAATAACATCTTCTAGTGTCTTCATTGTTTATATTTTATTAACTTGACAGTCATTATTTCATGGGGATGATCTAAAGGAAAGCAGAATACAGGAGGTAATTGAAATATTTGCACATATTTATCACTTGAGCCTTTATGTGTAATTTGATTATCAAGACTTTCAAATATTATTCTATTTTTTGGAGTGTGGGTTATTGATGAATTATGGAGAGAAAAGAGAAAAAGGCACAACCAAGGGAAAATAATATTTCCTAGAAAAAATTATGTAGAATGTTTAGTCAAAGGGGATGCTAAAGGCAGGAAAGTGGTCCAGCCTCCCTGTGAATAAAAAATAGTCACGTAAACAAAACAAAAACTATATATCAATGAGGCTGTGAGCATCACTACTTCCAGCTGCTACCAAAATTTGATTTTGTAATTTTTGTGAAAGTCTTTGAATTGTTTAAAAAGAAACTGCTTAAAAAATTTTAAGGATACACCCATCGTTGCCAATACTTCCAAAAAAGTTATTCTAGAATAAAGCAAAATAGCTGGGCAATATTATAAAAATAGATGAGCTTTGACTTCTCATCTAAGTCTAGCTCTACATGACATACATACAACAGTAGGGAGAAACTGTGAGGTATATGAAGTCAGTACCTTGCATATGAAAAAGTCATTCTAGTTACCATGTTTTATTTTTTGGGTTACATCCTGTAGGGAATCAAGAATTGAACAGAAAAAGAAAAGAAATATTTTTATTGAATAGAATGAAAATAACGTAAAATAGGAGAGAACTTTCTCCTTCAAGGGTTTCCCCTTCACAAAGGATTTCTCCTTTCACAAAGAGTTAATGCTCAATTTACAAAACTATGAACTGCCTTCTCCTATCCTTCTTACCCTATTTATATCTAATTAACACCTTAAGCAACTAACTCATTAATATGCTAACTATCTTACTAATTTCTCCTTCACTTTATACCCTAACAATACACCCCACCTAAAATCATCCTTGTCTTCAAGGTTGGGATAGTGGAAGTTTGATCCCATTGCCTATCCTCATTACCATGATCTTCATTTGTCCTTCCTGTTTGCATGTGATACTTTTCTGCTACGGGAATGAGAACCAGTAGCTACTGCATTTAAATTCAAGAAATTATTATTGAAATAAATTATTATATGACATGTTTGAAGGTATAAAATGAATCTCACATACATACATAATTACTCACTAAAATCTGTTAAATAAATAGGTTTTCTAAATTTTTATATTAATATAGTGTCATAAGAAAATATCTAGGAATATACGTCAGAGATTTCTTGTTGATCTGTCCTGTGTATATGAAGTGTATACTGTTAATGGAGTGGTTTCTAATTGAATGATGTGTGGTTACCATATGAATTACAGTACCGTACAATATTGCTGGAGATATTTTATTTATTTCTTTTAATGCTTTCTGTTATTAAGTTTCGATTATCTGTCTCATTTTCTGGGCCCTGATTATTGGTTCGTCTGAATCCAAGTGTCTTTACTCTGATGTGTGTTCATAAGAGAGTGATCGACACAGGCAGATTATTTTTAATAATGAAATCCTCTATTGAATACAAGTGGAAATATCTGGGCTTGACTGCTTTGTTTGTTGTTATTTCTCTAGTTGTCTAGGTATAAGAATTACTAGATTTGTTTTAATTTGTAGTATGTTGTATGCTTTTGATTCCTTTCAGGTGTGGAATATGTGCTAGTGAAATATTTACATGCCTTTTATTTGATTTTATAGCTGAAGATTCTATAATATTTTACAATTAGAAATTCTGTTTGTTTATACAAAATTTTCAAGTAGGGCGCCTGGACTGACTGGTTTCATATTGCACATGTTCCAGGTTGACATGGATATGGAAGATGACCTGGGTGATGTAAAACCTCCAGTTCAAGGAAGAGAAGCTGAGAAAATTGTTGATCCTCCTGTTGGGGAAGATGCAAGTAGGGTGTTCTTATCAGTTACTATTTATGTAGTTTCATCTATTATGCTGTTAGCCTGACTATTTTGCAGTGCATCCCATCACTGATATCCAGCTCTACTGTAGCTGTGTATCTTATTTTTCATCATATATTGGATGTGATTGAGCTGGCATAGAGCTGTAACTTTGACGTGCCTAACCTTGCTAAAAATAGGGCCTTAAGTATTCAGGTTAACACGGGGGTGGGTGGTGTCTCCATCTTGATTTCTTTCCTATTCTTCCTCTTTCATGACACTCCTTTTTCACTCCTTTGTACGTGACTCAAGAACAGCGTTACAAAGTCATTATTATTTTTAGGGGATAATGTACAATTTCTATTGATAATTAGCATGATATAAATTTCCATTTAGGTAGGACATGATTAGAAGGAAATCAAGGAAAAATTAAGACCTATTTTATTTTCTAAACGAAGTAAACAATTTGGTTTTAAAGCTGTTTTACTGTCGCTTGTCCTTGTATTTGTTTAAGGTGAGAAATACTAACCTCTCTTCAATTGAATATTGTGTACTGAAATGTCTGCATGATTATACAGTGGAGTCTTACTATTTTTTATGGGATTTCTGGAGTATTTCACCTTATTAGAATGCATGCTCACCATATCCCTACTTGCATGCATATTGTTTTCAATTTCATATTTTAAATATAAACTTGTTTTGGGTTAAGCAAGTTTCAGGTTATGCCCTTTTCTTAGGATCAACCCTTTCTTCCTCCCTTGAACTGAAAATGCATTTGTATTCAACTTTATACAAATTAAATATTTCCATAATACCATCCCTGGATTATAATTTGATTAGAATTTCTGGGTGGGTTTAACTACCTTGTCATGTTTTTTCTGTCGGACTAACCCTTTGAAGTTTAGGTTTCCTGAAGGCTGGAAAAAATTGGGGTGCTGAAGGGGAACATCCAACAGAAGTCAGGGAATTGGGTAAAAGCAAATGGTCAGAAGATTTCGGTGAAGATGACATTGATCAAACTGAAGGTATGAAGGGCAATATTAATGCTCTGTCTGGGTTAATTCATCAATATGGCAAGGAACGAAAATCTGTACATTGGGGTGATCAGGTATGATATATTTGTTTTATGCTGTTATCTGAAAGCTTAGAAAGTACTATTTGAAGTCTCCTTCAATATTTTATATTTTGGTACCAAAAATTGCATTCTTGTTTAAATTCCTTTGGAAAGAAGGAAGGGAAAGGGGGTGATGCAGAGATTAAACCTAAGACATCAAGTGCTCTGGTAAAGATGAAGGCATGAGCTACCAACTCATTGGTGTCTGTTTTTTTGAATTATATTTGTCTTTCTATTTTTTTCTCTTGCTTGAGGCGTTGAGGGCATTGAAATGTACAAAAAAGAAAATGAGTTAAACCATTATATTTAAGAGAGAATTTCAATTATTAGGTTTGGTGTGTGTTGAAACACGGCTACAAGAAACAGTGGTAAAACCTGCTATTTTGGCTTTCATTACTTAGCCATTTCCTTAATCTCCACACCCCCGTCCCCCTCTCTTTGCAATTATCCTTTCAGGGTGGCAGGCCTGGGTTTTCAATTGGGGCTGCAAGGAAGGTAAATGCATTGTCTATAGTGATCGGACCTGGTGCTGGATACAACCTGGTTAGTGGTTTGATGTCATGCTTCTTAAATTTTAGAAACATCATTTGCTATTATTTGTTTATCCTTTTCTCTTTGGTGTTACTTCTGATAAATCCATCTTTCAAGATTTGTACTGTCTGTTTTCCATCCTTTTCCGGAAATAAAAAGGGTGTATGTTTAAGCATTCTATTTGCTGATTTTGCCCCAAATTGAAGATTTTTTCACCAAGGGTTTTAGCTTTTTCATGGGAAAGATCCTGTATGATAAATAAAGCCTTGCATTTTATATTTATGTACAGAAATCTAATCCATTACCTGAAGAAGATAGTCCAAGCCGTAATAGTGTGGAATCAAAGAAGCATAGCATATTTCAAGAACGAATCCGGGCTGAACGAGAATCTTTCAAAGCTGTTTTTGATAGGAGAAGACACAGGATTGGCGGACTTGATGTGGAGGAGGACTAAAAGAGAGTGACCCAACCCAATGCAAGAGGCTTTCACAAAGTATGCGCTGGACAAGTTATTTCCAGGATTTGAACCCGTCACAAGACAGACAGTTCTTACCTGATGTGACTAAAACAGACGGGTTAAACTCATACTTCCATTTGTTAGAGAAGTAGTTTAATTGACAGAGTAGAGTTGAATTGTTTGGTTGGCTGGAAAAAGGTGATACCCCGCCTCAGTTTTTGTGAAATGATGTAAATTTTTATCCAAGAATTAATATCAAATATATACACCTGATGTAAAAGCTCAAACCCATCTTCTGTGAGTGTAGGTTTTTCTTTTCCTTTTATTTCCTTGTACCAGCTCGTTCTTTGACATTTAAAGACGTTAAGTACCAGCTTGTGCGTGATGATTTTGTAGATACGGCGAATATACGATGGGGGATGTATTTAACTAAATTTTTATACACCGAATCCCATTTTACTTTGTATAGACATTTCATTTCCGCTGTTCTTTAAAATTAAGATTGAAAGCATTCCTGGCATTCTCTGAACTAATCCTGGTCTAAAATGATTGAAAGCCAGAGTTGCTTGCCTGACTTAATTTCCTGAGTAGGCATTACTTGCAACAAATAACAACCTGCATGGCAAGATGCATATAAGCAAAATATTTCTGGAAAGGTAGTAAGAAGCAGTAGTGATGTTAATTTCGTAATTATGACGGGTCATATGGTAATTGGAGATGTGCGCTATCCACAGTGATTCACCCAGGCCTTCCTTTTCTATATATCATGTATGTGTGCAGTTCGTGAATGATAGTCATTATTCACCATCGGGGATGTATTTTCACATAATGCAAACTTGTGATTTGAGTTGATCAAAGTCATAGTTTTTATTTCTATATAATTACGTTGGTTATTTAGTTTCTGTTTATGCAACGAATGAGAGAAAGAGAAATGCTAGTTGACCTGATAATTTTAATAAAAAGTTAATTTCTCAGGGTTTGGCTTCAAAGCCTGGGTGGGGATATTCGGCGTACTGAGATCACTTCAGACGAGGTTGAAATGAAAGTCATGGTCTGGAAAAACTTCTTAAAAAAAATACACAAGTACGTCACCCCCTACTCTATTTGCTGATAATTAAGTGAACAATTTTGATATTTGAAAGATCGATTCTTTAGTCCACATTTCTAACAAATCCCTTGATTGATATTGTGGGAGGAACCTCCCTTGTGAAGTAGCGAAGAAGTTTGTTCTAGACTGCTTAGAATTTTTTGTGGTAATAGTTGGTCTTACATATTCACTCTAATAAGGTAACTTATGTCTTTGATAAAAAACAAAACATCAACAAGATAATGGAGGTTCCCATAGAGGTGGAGGAAAACAAGGGTACTATATCTATCAAAACTTTAAAACAAAATGTTCCTTCCTAGGTTTCTTAAATAAAAAGTTTAATTTATGTGTTGAATACAGGACAACACACATTTCACAAAAATAAATTACCTTAATTTATTCAAATTGAAATTAAACAATGAAATTAAAGTTACTTAATAGTAATTCCTTGCGCACTGAGTAGAGCATATCAAATTGACCCTCTAAACTAAAATTAATAATTTAAAGTTTTTTTTTAAAGTATTTATGTATTGATTAAAAAAATGACAGTAACGGATATTTAAAAGGTCAAGAAAAATATTTATCCTCCATAAACGAATTTTGTATTTACAATGTAATAAAAAATTTAATAAAAATTCAACCTTTTCCCCCAATGCTACACATTTTTTTTTTCCAGCTAGTGTGGTCCCGTAATAAGAACAATCCACGAAAAAACGAGTAAATAATGAGTTGTGTGATGGATGTGTTCAGACTCCGCCGAAAGAAGGTGGCTGGAGATAAGCAACGGAAGTAAATAGTAGGCCAATACTCCGATATATAAGGTTTGATTGTGGTAAAAATTGAAAGGAATCAAAGGGAAGGTAGTGGGAACGAATTCCTCCTAAAAAATATTTTATTTTGGAATAACTCATGTTTCGAATGTCAATGTTCAAGCAAGTAAAGTTGCCAATCTTGAGCACAATCCACTACGATTCCGGCGATAACTCTGGCACGCTGCCGTAACTTTGGTGCGATTCTGCATCTAATCAGCCGCGACTTAGTACGACTCCGCCACCTATCGCTGCGACTCTGCCGTTGATCCTCCTCTGTTCTCCACTGATCTGCTGAGTTGTGAGTAAGACTAATTCTCGGTCTGACGTTCGCGGTCGAGGGAGACCGTTCGCAATCTCCTTGCGAAACACTTGGGTAAGAACTCGGTTTATTTCTTTTCCTTTTTGTTGGTTAGTCATAGGTTTTTGTTCATGCATGTTACAACTGAATCCTCCATTTCTCTTAAATCCGAAAAGTAGGTTTTGCATGTTGGTCAGGGTTTCAATTAATTGTTTCTTGTAGAGGCATAGTGAATACGTTGTGTATTACTCAACAGCCATTGTAGATGGTTTAAAGTAAGACAATTGAATAAATGATTTAAAATAACTGATTTAAGGATGGTGAGAGGTGTGGGGGAAAATGAGTGCAAAGAATGTCGGTCCTGACAGGAGGAGAAAAAAATGGGTGAAGCTGTCGAGCTTTGTAGGGAAATGGAGAATGAGGGTGTGAAACCTTAATATCTTTTGCATCAATGCTGACGTCTATGTTTGACTTGTGATTTCATGATTGTTTTGGAATTTGTTGTTGTTCAATTTTTATTGACACATACGAAAAAACAGTATGTAAGTTATATTATTAAGAATGATTGATCCTAAGCAATTTTGGTGTGCCCAGGTTGTTCCCTTATCAATCTTGCTGTTGTCAAATTCATAAAAAGGAAAAAAAAAGGTTACTCTTTTGTTTCCCCTATCTTGTCTATGTCCTTCATATATGTTATGTTGACCTTGCCTTACCTCTAAACATGTAATACATGATGACTCCTTACTACTATAATACAACTGTCTAATATATAAGTGCAATTAAGTAGAATTATCAATTTGTGGGCCAAGGTCTAGGCTTAAATGAATTTGTATACGCGGAAATAAGCAAGGGACATCCTCTATGCGTATATGTTGAATTCCTATGATTTTTCCAGTTCAATACCCAGTTTTCCAATACCATCTCTGGTTTGATTCCTATGCTCTACGAAATGATTTTGTTCTTAGTATAAAAGAATGATTCAAAATTTCGCAAGTGTATCCAATGCTCAGAACACATTTTGCCTCTTTTAATTTGTACCTGTAAGTGTTATTTAATTAGTTAATTCTTTTTATTTGTTCTGCAGTGCTGACATATCACATCTAAGAAGAAAGTTATATCTAGTAATTTTTCTGGAGTATCAATATGGTTATTATGAATATTTAATCTAATTCTGTGGATCTTATTACATAAAAATAATTGAATTCTTTTTTATTAATAGTACCATAATCTTAATGCCACGTTGTTTCCGGGTCGGTATTCACATGCAATATTGTGAAGAAAATATGTTATGGGCATGGTGTCAAATGACTTCTCCTGTACATCAAATGTCTCAAATTAACCAGTTATTGCTCTGTATCTCATTTCCTGAAGTTTATTTACGTAGCTAAAGATGTTAGTTTCTAAAACTACTGTAGTCCCTTGATCATTGAAGATTAATGCAAACTGTCTTACGCTTTTCTGGGATCTGGGGCAACATCACCCTCAAGTATCTCCTTTCAAATAGAATCACCCGTAAGAAAGAGATTGTGGAGGCTTATAATGCTGTGTTACTGATTGTATTTGTTGTGACCAACAAGCAAGCCTTAGTTTCACTGCCATATAGTATTTCTGCATGAGTCGTGTCTTTAAACAAAAGCAATCAGCCTTAGTTTTCTTTTATTATTACTACAACTTATAAGTTATATTTTTAACATTTGCAGCTGACGTGAAAAAGGCTATGGCCTCAAATCTGGTTTTGTACAGAAGGCTCTGTAGGTTTTTCCAACTGTTACCCCCTACTTGTTCCATTCATGCAGTTCCATTCCTTTCTGTAAAAGATTCAGAATTCAAGTCCTTCTACAAGAAGAATAGCCTTCTTCCCCCTTTCTCATCTTCGTCTAGAAACTTTTGCTCTCGCAGTTTTCATCTTGATGAATCTCAAGCCCCCCTGACTATTGATTACCGGTATGTAAATTGTTTTTCATCTATTTATGTTGTTTATTGTAATTCTATGTAGTCAATGGTGCTGCTGTTCCAGCATATCACCATCTCCGGAAGGCATCCACACCATACCTTGTGGGCGTCCGCGCTGCTGCCGGTCAGCTCTGCCACCTTCAATCTCAGTTTCAGTTTCAGACTGAGGCGGTGGATAAAGGGGGCGGCTGACTGATACTAGTGGTGGTGAATTGGATTTCAGTAGAAATGGACCGTGTGGGCCAAATTTTTTTTACTGTTCTTATTCTTTCTGCGTTGGTGGTTTTGGAGTCAACAACGCCCCATAATCTGGAATTGAATCCTAAGATTTGATTATTGGAAACCACAAAAAGTCGAACTTAATGGTTTTTAGCTGTTTCTTTAACAAATTCTTTTCGAGCTTTCAAATTTTAATCATGGTTTTCTTTTTAAAAAAATAATTTTAAAATTCAAAGCATTCCTGGAGTTAGTTGGGGTTTGACAGTGTTGTATTTGTGAGTTTTCAAAGCATATTTCAAAGATTTCATGCCACTCACGTGCTAATGCCCCATAGGATGTAGGATATTGAAATAGTTTCGCGTTGTTTTTTCAGTAGGTGGAAATGACTTTGCTAACTATTAGTGTGAATGCAGTTCTGTACTGGAGGAGGGTGAATTCCACAGACTGGCCGATTCCACAATACATAGCGTACAAGAGAAATTAGAGGTATCTCTAGCATTGCTATGTGTTTCATCACAAATTTTGCTTAGGTTATCAAGCTCGTGCATTTTTTGAAAAATGAAACCAGAATGAAATAAATTATGCTTAAAATCCTTGGGGAAGATTGTCTAACGTTATGGTTGTTTCCAGCTATGAAAAGTTGAGGAGCCAAGAAATGCAACTATTTCACTTTCCTCCTGTGTGATATATAACAAAGAAATGTGTTGATTTTGGATTTGGACATAATTGTATGCAACTATGTATGTAGATATTATATAACATTCACGTATATAATAACAAAGAAATGTGTTGATTTTGGATTTTGGACAATTGATTATATCCTTAGATATAATGATTATGTATGTAGATATTATATAACATTCACGTATATAATTTATTATGTCAAGGGATATAAATTAAAATCAATTATATCTGAAATTTTTAATTTATATTTTCTATTTATTTGTTTAATATTTATAATAATAAATAATTAAAAATTATATTAAAATAACAAATAAATTTATTAATAATAAATACATTTATTAATAATAAATAAATTTATTTTATTTTTCATTTATTTTCACTCTGTTTCTCTTAATCCAAACAATCATTCCCTTTATTCTCTTTCTCATTATTTCTTAACTTTTCTACTTCAAATCCATTTTACAATCCAAACAAAGCCTAAGTGTGATGATGGAAGTTGACAGCCACTACAAATTCAATTCATATGAATTTAAGCTATATTCGGTATTCATTTTGTTGTTTTTGCCTGACAGGATTATGGAGACATGGTTGAAGTTGATGGATTTGACATAGACTATGGGGTAAGTGTTTTTTTTTTTTGTTGTGTGTGCGTGTTAGATTAAGTTATAAATAAAGGATAAATAACAATAATTACTTGTCAACAAAAAACTATCCTAGAACATTAGGTATACTAGAAGGTAAACATGAAGTTGTCTTGTTTATCAAGTGGTTATTTTGAACAGTCACACTTTTAATATGATAACATTTTCCTAAATGATATTTGGTGCAATTGTTTGGTCTTTCGAAAACAATATCAGTTTTGGTCTTTTTTCTTTTATGGTTTTAATTATTTTCTTCCTATTCCTTCTAATATTTTAATTATTTTCCTCCTATCACTTTTAAGAAGTGGCTTCTTTGCATGTTGGCGTATTATTTGTTTTGACTTGGCTTTCCATTTCAGAATGATGTTTTGACTGTAAAACTTGGCGATCTTGGCACCTATGTATTGAACAAACAAACACCAAATAGACAACTTTGGCTGTCTTCTCCGCTGAGGTATTGTGTATGTGTTATCTGTCTATGTTTGGTCAATTTTTTTACCTAGGATGTTTTTTAAGGTTTTAGTCTCTGGACATGTGTGTTCATGTATTAAATTGCGTTTGAATAAGTTTTACCTCAGCCAGATAGATAGACTTCTTTAATAGTATCTTTATGTGTGAGAATGAAATTGGAGCAAAGAGAATATTGAGGCAATTCTTTGTGATTTGTGTATTGAATTATCTTATTGGTTGAACTTAGTCAAATCCTACTATTAGTTTAATTTCTGTTTAACTGTTCAACTTGTAGTGTGGGGATATGAGTAGTATTTTATGCCAGGTTCAGTGACACAGTTTCTTCTCTTTTAGGAACGAAGTTCAAATAATCCCTTTGATAAATTGTGAGATCAGGCAGCAGTATCATTGTTTATGTTCTACAATTCTATTAGAATATAAATATAGTCCTTTGCATCTTAGAAATGCTATTACTGTGTATAATAATTCTGGCCAATCTTGTCGGTTTGTACCACAACGGATGTGTCTTATAATCATATATCTACCCTGTCTGCTTTTATCTTCAGAGTCGACACAATCAACCTTTAAGTGATTCCGTGAATGATTGTAGCCTTGACGTTTTAGAGGTCTTTATGTGATTCCAAGACTTCAAAGGCAGTTTTATTTTACTAGAATAATTCTGCCTCTTCTGTTTATTAATGTAGCTATAACATGGTCCAAAATATGTATAATGAATTATATGAGGATGACATGTATATATGATCTCTTGGGCTTGTCTTGTGCAGTGGTCCGTCAAGGTTTGATTGGGATCGGGATACCAAAGCTTGGATTTATAGGCGGAACAAAGCAAACTTGTATAAAATTTTGGAAGGTGAATTGGAGCAGTTATGTGGCAAACCTATAGTTCTTTCCTAAGCTGTTGAGAAGGTGACGCCAGATCTTTATTTTTTGGTTAGAGGACAAATTAATAGTGGGAGTCTAGGGTTTTTTTTTTTTTTGCCATACATGTCTTGCACTTAACTTTTCAGTTATACCACTTTTTCAACCATGAAGTGATTGTAACTTCTAAATAATCAATCAATAGTGATAAATAATTTCTTCTTTTTAAGTTAGACTAATTTTTCAATCTGGGTATCAATTTACTTCTTGTAAGGGATTTAGTGGCAATGGGCATTTTGGTAAATTAATTGGCATCCAGTTTTTGAGGTTCAGAGGGATTGTAGGCTTGCATATAAATGTTGTTCAGGGATGGCAAAATGGTAGACTGATGCATGTAAATATTGTCTATGAATGTTGGGTCCGTCTAGTGTATCAATTTGATGGGTTAAGTGTGGAATAGATTGATCCCGTCTAATCCATTTTGAAAAAAAAATAAAAATATTATATATATTTTTAATGTAAAATATTATAGTTTAAATTATAAATATTATTCAAAGAATTTTAAATTATGAATTATAATTAATTATTTTAATACATAAATTTAGAAAAAAATTAATTTATCTAATAAAAATATTACTTAATAAATCAATAATTTATAAATTATTGGTATAACTAGTGATGTATTTTTGTAAAAATTTATTAAAAAATTAGGATATATAGTTTGATCTGATTGACGAATAAGGTCATTTTGTCTATTTTTTGCTAATAGAATGGATCAAAACGGAATAACCTCACCTGTTAAGGGAAATGGGAAATGAAAAAAAAGTTTGGCACAAAATTCAAAAGCCCTAACGATGTGCTGGGCCATGTTTCACACTAGTAGGACATCAAAAACCCTCATGGAGAAGGGAATTGGAACATTGCAATCACGGTAAAAACAATTGTGCATATTGATCATAAATCTCCCAAAGAAGGAAAAATTGAATATAATATTTGCAGCATACTTGAAATGGCTATTGTTTCTACATTCCAAACTTACCATTTGCATCTGCTTATGGAATAAGAAATACCTTGTTTCATGGCATTGGTTCGAAGTCACGTGTTATAACGTACAAACTTAGCCTACTGCCATAAACTTGTAAGAATATCTTCTCATTGTTACTTAAGAGTAATTTATTGCGCACTGAGTAGAGCATATTGAATTGACCCTCCAAACTATAATTAAAATTTTGAAGTTTTTTGGTTATAGGAACGGAAGATATTTAAAAGATCAAAATGAATTTTGTATTTACAATATAATAAATATTTTTTATTAAAAAAATCCTTTTTTTTTCTCTCTTAGCATAGGAGGCGATGTTAACAAAACCTAAATATTTATTTTTATTTAGCGTGGTCCCTGTAAGATAAGAACGATCCAAGAAGAAATACGAGTAAATAATGAATTATGTTATTGATGTTGTTCAGACTCCGCCGAAAGAGGGTGGCTGGAAATAAGCAACGCAAGGAATAGTCTGCTTTTGTACGTGTTAGAAGACTACACAGGTCAATACTTCATCCCGCCCAAAAGTTTTATGTTGGAATAACTCAAGTTTCGAATATCAATGTTCAAGCAAGTAAAGCAACCCTACACATCAACTTGACCATCAAGGAAACATGTAAACTAAAGCACGCAACTATACCACCATATACATATATATATATATATACACCATTCGCAGGTTGCATGCAAATTATAACATTCGCGTTTCTTCAATACCAAATTCTAACAATCTTAAGGTTCATATCAGTTTTAGTTTGTTCTGAATGGCCAGTGCTAGGGACACTACAAGGGTTGGAGTAGGAACAAGGGCACGAACTCCAGTTGTAGAAAGGATAGTACCTAATTCTGGATGGACACAGGACTCTGCGGGCCATTACCTTCTGGTGGATCTTCCGGGTATTTCAAACACATAATTCACTTCTGAACAAAGAATACGTATGAATTAAGAAGAGTGATATTCGATAAACCCAATAGAGAGATACCAATGTGAATAGTTTATTTATACACTTTTGGCTTGCTTCTTTGTTTCCCTCGAGAATCACCCAATGTCTGCTTTTAAGGTGCACGCCACGCCTGCATTTTGTTTTCTACCAAGAAAACTATTTTGTTAGTAACTTTTGCTAGGACTTCTTGTGGAGTTCTCAATATGGATTGATATCATGTAAACGAGAATAATTAACTGACATTTTTCTTTTTCTCGTCTGGCTTCTTCAGAATTCAGGAAGGAAGAGGTGAAGCTCCAGGTTGATAGCTATGGCCGTATTGTTGTAATGGGAGAAAGGAAAATAAATGAGTGGAAACAGGATTATTTTCGGCTGACTTTTCCTGCTCCAGTGGATGCTGATATGGATAGGATCGCCGGAAAGTTTGATGGAGGAATCCTTTATGTCACTATCCCGAAGCAAGTAACGCAACATAGCAAAGAAAATAAGATCAGGAAAGCTGAAAGTGGCAAAGTTGAAAGTGTAGAAGAAAGCGGTAGCCATCGGCATGGAAATGGTGAAGTTGAAAGAGCAGAAGAAAATGATAGCCATCGGTGTGGAAATGGTAAAGTTGAAAGAGCAGAAGAAAATGATAACCGTCGGCATGGAAATGGCAAAGTTGAAATAGCAGAAGAAAATGATAGCCATCGGCATGAAAATGGTAAAGTTGAAAGAGCAGAAGAAAGTGATAGCCATGCATCCAATGATCATGAAGGGAGGAGAGATCCCAGTCATGACAAACATACAGAGCAAGAAGTAAAAAGAAATGAAAATAAGTACATCGCAGAATTTCCTGAACAAGTAATAAGGAAGTGGGAGCAAGAATCCATGTTAAGAGGTGCAGTTGAGGTTTTGAGGAAAAACAAAGGAATTGTAGTAACAGCTGTTATAGCCTTTTCATTGGGGTTGTTCGTATCTCAAAAATTAAACAACACTGCAAGTTAAGTCCCTTGACCTGAATCGCCGAATGTATATCCCTCACTTCATTTCACCTCACGTGTCTTTTATGTAAATAGAATTCACGTGTGTAAAAGAAAGTACCATGCATATATTCCATCATTAATAATAATATTTGCTATCTTAAAATCTGTATTCACAATATGATTTGGTTTGCAACGTCATCGTTTATCGCAATAAAAAAATTGACTCATTGATTAAGAGGGTTCATTGGGAGAGGTTCGTGCTTGTAGCTAGCTCTTAATATACCCTCATCACAATCCACCGTCATAATTTATAATTGCTCATCCTATGGTTTAATATCAAATGGCTACTACATGAAAGACTCTGTCTCACCTCGTAATTTATTCGCGCATAGAATTAGGAATGTAATGGTTACCATAAGACAGGCTGAAAGTCTCAACTCGCAATTAATTCGCACAGAACTTTGAATCTACAATTGCGTCAATTTTCCTTGACAGGGCATACATAACTCAATCATCAGTTTATGGCAAAGGCAATCTGATCTAAGTCAAGTATTAACTTCTAATAATCTAATCCAAACAAAGTTTTTGAAACCATTTCAAATTTCATCTCTGCATCCTCGGCCCTCAACTAAGTAAAAATGGAGAATCAAAGAAAGAGGTTATGCATGCATATCAGATACAGTTGGTGCATCTCATCAAGGCAGTCTTAGAGAAAATGCAATCACAAAAAAATTATCTTCCTCCAAGAGTCCGGGCTCCTTTTTTTCTAGAATGCTCAGTTCTTCTATCAAGCTACTATTCAATAATCTTACGTGGATTTGAATCCTCTCAAAATATTAAAGCTATAAACCAGATGACATCACCTCTTCTTTTCAGCACCTCCTTCGCATATGATTTTTTTAAACTACAGTGTTTTTTTCACTGACCTCATCCAGTACCTTGATCTAAACCAATTCCGCTAATTTGGAAGAGCATCATCAAAAATTACTTTTATCTTACAGGATCAGATACCGCAAGTAGTCCGCCAATTTAAAAAGAGTAAAAGACCGCATTGGATGTTGATTCGGGAAAGAGAAGCTTCTTTGGCATATGTGCCATAAAGTTGTAAATTGTGACCTAATGTTCCTAACTTGCGAGAGTTTATCTAAAATAACGAAATAAAGCTTCCCTATCCTGAGCTTAACAGAGAGCCACTTTGCTTGCAGAAGTTAAATTGTTTGGCCGCTTCTTCCAGTCACAAACTATTTCCTTCCAAATCCTCCTGCTTTCTTTTAAAATATTTAAATATATTAATCTATAACCTTGCAAAAAAAAAATCAATTTCTCCTTAAAAGGTAAATGATAGATCAGAATAATACAATACCTCATGAGCCAATTACGAAATGCTAAAAAGAAAGAGCTTGTTGAACACAGTTGGGATATAGAGGGGAATTGTACCTCTGGGAGCTTCCCGAACACTTGTATAACACTAATAGACAATAGTTGCTTGACTTAGAAAAAGGAAAGGTGCTTAGAGTTTTGAGATATAGATGTTGATAGCCGATGCATGGTGAAGAATAAGAAACCAAAGTAGAGGGGGTATAAAGGTGATGCTTTGTCGTTGAACTTTATTCAAAATGCAAGTGCTTTTTGACAAAAGGAAGGGCCCAAGGTTGGGACGCGGAATCATGTGCTTCTGCCACGGCTTTTAACTTCCTTTGACAATTTGATACGGTTATTGGCTAAAGAGCCTATAGAGTTAAAGAGGGCTAATTACAATCTACGTCCAAATACTGTTATGAAGGGTGATGGGCTTAGATGTGACTATTACACACAATCTTGTAAGAATAATATGCTACATGAATACTTGTTCTTCAATGCAAGAATAATATTTCAAAGTGCAGTAGTGCCTGGAAACCAGTAGGTCTAACGTGAAGGAACAGTGAGCAAAAAGTAAAGTTTCTCGCTACTCTTGTCGAAGAAGGGGAAGGGTATATAACAACAACAATAATAAAAAGCGTTTGTGAAAATAATATGACGATATAACGAAGACGTAGTAAATCCAAAATTGAAACCTTATCAAACAAAAGGCATAAAATTCTTCTCTCAACACAAATATAATGTAACCAACACAAAACGCACATGTTCATTAGCAATGGATGTCTCAAACCATAGAAATATAGAATGAGGACTTTTTGTCTGTGACTGGGAGATTGGGGTAAGAGAGAGAATTAGGAATTAAGAATTTGGAACTAGGGGAGGTACTAGGGTCATTCTGGCAAGCCATAGAAATAAATAATAAAATATTAAAACCTTAATCCTAATATATTCTAAAAATAATGAAGAAAAAGAGTGAGGTGGATGACGAAGGCTGAGTGGAGGGAATTGAAAAAGTTGGAAAGAAATCCTTCGCGAGAGAGCATGGAATCTGATCTACCCACTGTCATCACATCAAAGATCAAAACCCTCCTCCATAAGAAAAAAAAAAAAAAAACACGAAAAATATATAAATATAATTAAAAACAAAAAGCACCGCACAACGCAAAACGAACCTTTCCTCACCTCTGTCAAACGCTGATCACAGTCAGTGACCGCTATCAACGGCTTACAGTGTGAGTGTGTTCAGCCACATTCGGCGCATCGAAGGCTCAACCAAGATGAGAAGATGACGACGCCTTTTCAGCAACCACCCCAAACCGTACGGAGATTGGTCGTGGAAGTGGTGGACGCGCGCAATCTGCTCCCCAAGGATGGGCAAGGTAGCTCCAGCCCTTACGTGGTGGCGGACTTCGACGGCCAGAGGAAGCGAACCAATACCCGGTTCAAGGAGCTGAACCCCGTCTGGAACGAGCCTCTGGATTTCATTGTGTCCGACCCGGATAATATGGAGTTCGAGGAGCTCGAAGTTGAGGTCTATAACGACAAGAAGTTCGGCAACGGTAGCGGACGCAAGAACCACTTCCTCGGGAGGGTTAAGCTGTACGGAACTCAGTTTTCCAGAAAAGGTGAAGAAGCTCTTGTTTACTACACGCTGGAGAAGAGGAGCGTCTTCAGTTGGATAAGGGGAGAAATTGGCCTCAGGATTTATTACTTAGATGAAATGTTTGTGGAAGAGGAGAAACCGCCGCAGCTGCAGCAGGAGGAGCAGGGTGAGAGACCGGAGCAAGAGCAGAACAGGCCGCCGCCGGGAATGGTTGTTGTTGAAGAGGGACGTGTTTTCGAGGCGCCTGGACCGATGGAGCAATGCATGCCTCTACCCACTGGTCCGCCTCATTCGCCTCAAGTTGTGGTTGTGGAGGAATCGCCGCCACCAGTGGTTCATGTTCCGCAGGATCCGCCGTTCCCGGAAATGTGTGAGCCTGCGGTGTCGGAAATGCAGTTCCATCCGGAGGTTAGGAAAATGCAGGCCATCAGAGGGGAGAGGGTGAAGATTTTGAAGCGGCCGAACGGGGATTACTCACCTAAAGATATCTCTGCAAAGAAAACGGGTAATGAGTCCGAGAGGGTTCATCCGTTCGATCTGGTGGAGCCGATGCAGTATCTGTTTGTCAAAATCGTTAAAGCGCGTAGGCTTTCTCCTCCCAGTGAAGGCCCGTTCGTGAAGGTTCGGACGTCAAGCCACTACATGATATCGAAGCCCGCGAGTTACCGGCCCAACGAGCCCACTGATTCGCCGGAGTGGAACCAAGTCTTTGCGCTGGGTTACAACAAGACCGACGCTAACAGCGCCACGCTGGAGATTTCTGTCTGGGATTCCCCGGCGAAGAGTTTTTTAGGCGGTGTTTGCTTCGACCTTTCCGATGTTCCGGTCAGAGATCCTCCCGACAGTCCCTTGGCACCGCAATGGTACCGTCTCGAAGGAGGCACCGCCGATCAGAATCCCGGCAGAGTTGCCGGCGACATTCAGCTCTCTGTGTGGATTGGCACGCAATCAGATGACGCGTTCCCAGAAGCGTGGATCTCAGATGCACCGTATGTTGCACACACTCGATCCAAGGTTTACCAGTCCCCGAAGCTCTGGTACCTTCGCGTGACGGTGGTGGAAGCGCAGGACCTGAATATTGCGCCGAATCTGCCTCCACTGACAGCGCCGGAAGTGAGGGTGAAGGTGCAACTAGGGTTCCAATCGCAGCGAACAAGGCGAGGATCAATGAACCACCGAAGCTTATCGTTCCACTGGGACGAAGACCTTCTCTTCGTGGCCGGGGAGCCTCTGGAAGATTCTGTCATCGTTCAGTTAGAAGATCGAACTACCAAGGAACCGGCGCCGCTAGGCCACGTCGTGGTTCCACTGAGCTCCATCGAGCAGCGAATCGACGAGCGCCACGTGGCAGCGAAATGGTTTCCGTTAGAAGGCGGGCCCTACTGCGGGCGAGTGTTCATGCGTGTCTGCCTGGAGGGCGGGTATCACGTGCTGGACGAAGCGGCGCACGTGTGCAGCGATTTCCGTCCCACGGCGAAGCAGTTATGGAAACCGGCGGTGGGTATTCTAGAACTGGGGATTCTGGGCGCTCGCGGGCTCCTTCCGATGAAAGCAAAAGACGGGGGAAAGGGCTCCACCGATGCGTACTGTGTCGCCAAGTACGGGAAAAAGTGGGTCAGAACGCGCACCGTAACCGACAGCTTGGATCCACGCTGGAACGAGCAGTACACGTGGCAGGTTTACGACCCCTGTACGGTCCTCACCGTTGGAGTGTTCGACAACTGGCGCATGTTTGGTGACGTGTCAAAGGACAGGCCCGATTGCCGTATCGGCAAGGTTCGCATACGCGTCTCTACGCTTGAGAGCAACAGAATCTACACCAATTCCTATCCACTCCTAGTCCTCACTCGAACTGGATTGAAGAAAATGGGGGAAATTGAATTAGCGGTTCGTTTCGCCTGCCCCTCCCTGTTGCCCGACACGTGTGCAGTTTACGGCCAGCCCCTGCTTCCACGAATGCACTATCTCCGCCCGCTCGGTGTGGCACAGCAGGAGGCGCTGCGCGGGGCCGCCACTAAGATGGTGGCGCTGTGGCTGGCGAGGTCAGAGCCTCCGTTGGGGCACGAGGTAGTTCGATACATGTTGGATGCAGACTCGCACGTGTGGAGCATGAGGAAGAGCAAGGCGAATTGGTTCAGAATAGTGGCGGTTTTGGCTTGGGCCGTTGGACTGGCCAAATGGTTGGATGATATAAGAAGGTGGAAGAACCCTGTTACGACGGTGCTGCTCCACATTCTGTATTTAGTGCTGGTTTGGTATCCAGATTTGATTGTCCCCACAGGCTTCTTGTACGTGGTCTTAATTGGGATATGGTATTACCGCTTCAGGCCCAGAATACCTGCCGGCATGGATACCCGATTGTCTCAGGCAGAAGCGGTTGATCCAGATGAGTTGGACGAGGAATTTGACACCATGCCAAGTTCGAAAACACCAGATATAATCCGAATGCGTTATGATAGGTTAAGAATGCTAGCAGCTCGGGTCCAAACGGTGTTGGGTGATTTTGCAACCCAGGGAGAGAGGCTTCAAGCCTTGGTTAGTTGGAGAGATCCCCGGGCTACCAAGTTGTTCATTGGAGTATGCCTTGCTATAACTGTCACACTCTATGCAATGCCGCCAAAAATGGTGGCCGTGGCCTTAGGCTTTTATTACCTCCGCCACCCCATGTTCCGGAACCCAATGCCCTCCGCCACCTTGAACTTTTTCCGGCGACTGCCTAGCCTCTCTGATCGCTTGATGTAGATTATTCAAATTCAATCGCTAGTTTTTATTTCTTTTCTTTTTTTGACATTTTTAATTTTAAGGTGACATTTTTTTAGGGATGGGAATATTGTTTTCCTATATTGGAGCAATGAGGGTGTGGAAACTTGGATGGAACAGGTAGCTGTTTTGTAGGGATAGTGTTTGAAAAAGGTGTCCTCAATAACATTGTAAGGAGCAAAAAAAGGGTGGAAAGTGGCTAGTTGTCATCATTTCTTTTTGTTGCAATCAAATTGATTTGACTGTGGCCACTGTTGAAAACTCGAAATAAGAGAAAGGGGGATAGTAGGGAGAAGTGGGTGAGAGGCAAGAGACAGACATGGGGAGAGAAATTTTGGGTACTGCAGTGGTTTGGCTCTTCTGTGGTGGGGACTTTTCTGTCAACATGTTTGGGGTGGGAAGCCATATAATACTACATTTGATATCTCTCTCTGACATTTTAAAATTTTAAACATGCATTGCTTCAAAAGCTCCTTTGCTGTTTGTGTTGTTTCTCTATTCTGTTGTCTAATTTTAATTTCAATTAGCACTTTCCACATTTTGGAACCACATGACCTCAGAGTTTCCTTGTTCTCTACAAAAAACTTCAGTGTGTTTAAATATTTATATATTATTTTCATCCTGTGCTTATTTTTTAATATGTTTTAAAATATAAACCGACTTTTTTGTTGTCTCACTTTCAATGTTTTAACAAACTCATTCCTTATTTTGCCTCAAATACACTTTCCTCTTATAAATTATATTACTTTGTATTATGCTAATGTTGATCGTTAAGGTTGGTAAGTTGTGTGCATGATTCCAATATCTAACTCAGACTTATGCTGGGAAATGGGAAAGCGTATGATAGGTGGCATATGTGCATGTGGTGGGAAAGTGAATTCATAGGCACATGACAACTGCAATCAGCAGTGGATCATTCAAAGGCAAGTTTGGGTTTCAGCAGATTTTTGAGGCAGAAAATATTTTGATGGTGCCAGTGTATTGTGTTCAGAGTACTGACCAATTTTGGGTGCCCCTGAATTGCACGAACATGGGCTTCCTCTGTGAACTCTGTGTGATGTATTAATGATTAATAGTCTAACGCGTAAGAAAATGTAAGGCCCCATGACATGGTTACCTAAAAAAAATGTAAGCCCCATCTTTCTTTATAAAGTGTAATCCTTTTGTCTGCGTATTGTTATTTCAATTCTATACAAAATTATAATTATATTTATAAATTAACTTTTTTTGGTTAAATAAAAAATGATTTAGAAAGATAAAAAGTTCAGTATCTACAATTAATAATGTTTGAGCACTTAACATTTATTATTATTTTAGTCATTTAAAAATAATTTCAATTTTTAAATTAAGTCTGAGATAGTAAATGGTTTAAGTCTCGCAAAACAAAAATGAATAGTTGAACTTCAGAACTAAAATGTTAGAAGTGATTAAATTTATGATTAAAATGATAAGTGCTAACTTTAACATAAATAACAATTAATAAATAAGTATAAAACTAAGATATTTCCACGGTCAATGTAGCTTATTCTACCAATATTTTAGAAAATTCTAGTGATCAAATTGAGACAATAACTAACAACTAAACTTTTTCACTGAACAGGAATCAATATATGAATTAAACAACTGTCATAGACTTCATTTACCATCTCTCCTCATTCACTATGAGTTCTAGCTTTATTTGTACCCAACATTGAACAATTTCACCCCTTTACGATTTCTTGCAAGTTTTGATTGAAGCTTTTTGAAGAAAAAAAATTTAATTTGAATAGGCTCTGTAAATTGTTATCGCGAAACCTTATTTATGCTTGTCAGTAGCGGAGGTTAAATAGGAGAGACCAAATAATATATTATTAATAAATATAAAAGAAAGAAAGAAGATGAAAGGTTAAAAAGATAAAATTGTAGATATGTACTTAAATATATTAAATGATCATTAAGTTTGAGGAAAACAAAATTATAAATTATATGAGAGATATAAAACTGAGGAGGGATTAAAAGGATAAAATTGTAAATATATTAAATATTTATTATATTTGGGAGAACAAAATCATAAATTATATAGGAGTTACAAAACTTTGGAGGCTACTCCCTAAACTCCCATTAAAATCCGCCCTGAGGTGCCACGACAAAAAGACAAACAAAGCCAAACAAAAAGAAATAAAACCCAACCAAGAAAGCTACTGAAGTGTATTAAAAAAATGAAAAACAAGCAGAGATTAATAAATAATTGTTTTTTTATTACAGAGAGTTGTTAAATAGTGACAGGATTAATACTTCCAAAAAGCTTAAGCTTAAAGCAACAATGACTTTGCCACAAACAGGTAACGGTTAGATTTCCCTCCACTTCCTTGTTGACCAGCATCTTGGGTTGTGTCCAGAAACAGTAGCAGTGTTTGTGACTGATAGCTTAAGGTTTACTCCTTGTCTATTTGTCATCGTCTTTGGTGTCATTTTTCGAGTACTAAATAATAGGTGCAATATTGGTTCATGGAAGTTTCGTTACATATGCAGGTTTGAATTGAGTAATTTTGTATGGATACCAACAAAATGAGTCATGTTGTACAAGAGGAAACTTCCTTTGCCCTGCTTTCCCTCCCAATAAATTATCATCCCAACAAATCATGCAGAGGTGAAACATACACAAATTTTGATTTCTGAGCATTCGTTTTAGCGAAATGAGCACCTGTCCGGGGATATATTTTGATATTGGCAAGAAGGCTAAAGGTTTCTTCAACTCGTGTTATTATTCTTATTGTCATTTTCCTTTTAATCTTTCAGCAGAATGAATATTTTAACACAAATATTGCTTACTTTTTGTATTAGATGTTCTGCACAAGGACTATTCAAATCTATCGCCAATTCACTTTCACTACCAATTCATGGACTATAACGTAGACCTCTCTTGCCAATGTAATGTGAATATCAACTCAAATCTTTTTCTTCTTTTCAATTCTACTTCTGGTTAAAAGGTGAAACAAGTTCGTGTTTTTTATTATTGTTTAATGTTATTCAGTTGGAAGAAGGGGTCAGTTTATACATATAACAAATGAGTAAGCTGATATTTTGATGGTGAAAAATATGTTCAGTTTGCAATTTAGTTCTCATTTAAATTATATCATGATTCAGTCCTCAAATTTTCAGACTTGTTTCACAGAATGCCCTTCTCTATCTCTGTAAAGACTGATGTAGAATAATTTTAACTAATTCAATTACTAATCGTTTTCATAATTTAGTTCAAGGTTGAAATTGCGAGTTACATTTTCAATTACCAAAACACCATTTTACTTGAAACAAATACCAACTACAGATTTAAAACTCACCCAGACAACTTTTCTGCAACCTTCAATTTCCTTTAGTTCGTTTCTTTTGATCAATTTGCAGTCTTCATGTCATTTGCTTGGAGCATCCAACTTGCACTGTGGGAACCAGTTATTACTCACAAGTCATATAGTCATGTATATTCATATAAGGCATCAATTAGTCCTGAAAGTTTTCCATAATCAATACGAGAGCCTCGTGAATTTCTTAAAAAGCCATGGAATTGCATGCAGCATGTCTGACTTTAGTGTTTTTGCTGCCGCATCCATTACAGTAAATGAAATTCTGCCTGGATTCAGGAGCCTTTTCAAATGCACCATACCTGATTCTGGGAAGGTAAAATTTATTTTCGCTTTCCTACATACTATTAGTATCACCAGACATTGTTTGGTTAAACTTATAAAGAATATATGAAAAAGCAAAATGTTTAGTTTTTCCAATGAGTTAAAATCAACTTCTGCACTTCAGTTTTAAAGAAGTTAAAAGAGAGAACTTTTAGAAGAGTTAAGTACATCAGTTGATTTAGCTTACTTGAAATTCAATTCATTTTATCTTTTGATCTTCTTTTATAAATCATTATTAGGGAATTTATTCAAACATGGTCTAAGCATTTTATTTTTTAAAATTTTTCGCTACATCTGACTATTTTCTGGAATAATTTTAGGTGGAGATACACCACTTGACTAACTACACTGGGATTACTGGATGCATTGGACTAGAAGGAAACCTAGAAAAAGGATATGACCCTGTTCTAAACTTGTCGGGTCTATTGGGAACAAACATTTTGTCCCTTGGAGCCAATGTTGCTTTAGACATACCAACGAGAACATTCAGTAATCTGAATGCTGGATTAGGCCTCAACACTCCCTTCCTTGTTGCTTCCTTGACCATGTGAGATATGTTCTACAAGAAGTATAAAAGCTAAATTTGTCAGAAAATGTATAGTAACATCAATTTGTTTCCTATAAACTAACTAGAGAAAATTTAACCATTACACCTTAGTGTTCTTCTCTGCTACTTTCTTCAAACCTTAAGTTTGGTGTTGTGCAGGCATGACAGTTTTGACATTCTGAAAGCCTCCTGTTATCATGAAGTGAACCCCCTAAGCAAGACTGCCATTGCAGCAGAGCTGAAGCATAGCTTGTCAATGGGGGAGACTAGTGCTACCATTGGTGCTCAGCATGCATTTTTACCGCAAACGTTGGTAAAGGCTCGATTTGACACCTTTGGCAAGGCAGGTGCTGTTATTCAACAAGAGTTCTGGGAGAGATTTTTTGTATCTATGGCTGGAGAAGTGGATTTTAAGAACTCAGATAATAATTTGCATCCCAAGGTTGGAGTCTCAGTGGCTTTGAAACCCTAGTCAATGCAACTGAGATAAGCTTTCATCTCCAATTTAGAGGTTGTTGGATGTAAGGAGACTTCTAAATTATGGCACAACCGGATGAAACTTATCGATTTTCCCATCCATTTTCTTCAATATTCAACAACGGTATGAGTACCGATGTACCATGTCTAGTTCTACTACTCGTACAGAATTATTATAAATAAAATTATTATAGTACTAGGGGAATTGATTCGTGCTTATTTTTGTAGTTGAGTCTCTGAAACAAATAGCTGCAGAATTACTCCTTTTCTTGGGTGAGATGGAAGCTGTCGTGTTACTTCTGTTCTTTATTTCTTATGAATGACTTAATTATTTGTAAAAGGGAAGCAGATTTATATTTTTTTAGGAGAAAATAAATTAGTATTGCATTACAGAAAACCTTCAGTTTCCAAGGGAAATTTTGTAACATAACTTCCTCGGAAACTATTTAATTAAATAGAGACAATGATGACCGGAAGCATTTTCCATTTGTGCAAAAATTGGAAGGCTAGAAAGCGTAGAATTTAATTTAATTATCAGCATGAATCATTGTCTAACGGTATATAAGAATTTTCTTATATGCAACTTCCACAATCTATACAAGTTGTATACATACATAACTGATAGATCGACTGCGCATGAATCATAATAAAGACAACAGAATATACAGTATTACTTGACTGTGAAAGTATAAATAAAAAAGTCCTTAAACTGGTTCTCCCAAGATTTTAGCCAACAAATCAATCCCTCAAATTTACAAATGACAAAGTGTTACCACTTTAGTTCTCTATAAGAACAAATGTGGTAAAAAAATTTATATTCGTGGGACTAATTTGATAACAGAAATCTTTAGAAGATTAATCAGGTGATGCTATAATCTTTGGAGGAACAAGTTAGCATTTTATTATAAAACAAAATCACAAAACACTGCACAGACATACAAGTATATAACCACAGGCGCTACACCTTCACCATACTCCCATACAAACGAAATATAAGATCTTGGTGGAGTAGAATCTACTCATGAGAAGCCTGAAGAAGTCCATCACGAATTTGGCTAGCTACATCGCGAACAGCACCAGGTCCATGTGGAATGAACACAGCAGAAGATTTCGAGGCAGCACCAATTTCTTTCATGGTGTCAAAATACTGAGTGACAAGGACCATGTCCATCACATCTTTTGCAGTCGTTCCAGGTACATTAACTGAGAATCCAAGCACACTATCTCTTAATCCATCCACAATTGCTTGACGTTGGCGAGCAATACCCAGCCCAGAGAGATATTTAGATTCAGCCTCACCCTCAGCTCGTTTAATCACCAAGATCTTCTCGGCCTCTGCCTTCTCATTAGCTGCCATCCTCAGTCTTGCAGCTGATAAAGGGCAAGGGAAAAAAGCAGCATAAAAAGTAAGTGAAACCATGACCAAAGAAAAGATTGCTCCCCCAATATTAGCTTATAGCAATCGACAGAGGAACCAGGTAAACTATAAACACAAAAACAATCAATTTGAGTGCAAAGTCACACTTCATATTATATATATACAACTTTGAGTTTATTTAATGAAGTAAACCTGATCCATAGCATACAGCAAAAATGACAAAATGAAATGCCAAAACAATAGTTCTGCGGTAAGTTACGTTTCAGATCTAATACTCAATAATAAGAGCTTGCAAAGTACAAGTAGCTGCATATAACACAAGGAAAAGGAGCATATTAGTCATATTACAAAAAATATGGTTAAAATTTTTGTCCCATTATTTTTTACCTTTTTTTATTGGTCTCACTATCATTTTTAGGATCAATTTAGTCTCATTATTTGTAAATGTGAGTCAACATTAACACCATTAAGTTATCTAAGGAGAGAGTGCATGTCTATGTAACTAAACGCAATCATACTTGCTGATGTGGTGTTAACATGTACATTACATCCATGTCAACGTGACTGATATGTCATCAATAATATGTTACATTGACATAGATGCACGTCATGTTATATTAGCACCACATGTTAATATCAGGTCAACAAACATGATCATATCAACGTACATTATACTTTCCATTAGATAACTTAATAACACTAACCAAAAAAAAAAAAATATTAACTCACTTTCTAAAAAACCATGACCAAACTGACATTGACATTAATAATGAGACGAGATTGAAGAAAAAAGTTAAAAAATAATGGTATAAAAAACCTATTCAACCCTAACTATAATCAACCCCTTTTGGAGAATAAAGAAATTATGGGCAGAAACTGAATATAGAAGACTCATTTAACATACCAGCGTTGATTTCATTCATAGCCCGCTTCACATGCTCATCTGGGTCTATATCAACAATCAGCGTTTGAACAATTTCATACCCATACGCTGACATAGCCTATGAAGACAATAAAGCATAATATTGAAATTAACATAAATTCACAGTTCATCTTATAAGTAAATGATATTATTTTTATATTTAAAAAGACCTTCTCAAGTTCTTCTTCCACAGCTCTGGCAATTTCATTTTTCTGCTCAAAAGCATCATCCAAGTTGAGTTTTGGAACAGTTGCCCTAATTACTGCAATGAGAATAGAAATTTCACCTTAGCTGATCAAATATGCTTAAACCACTTATTTCAGGTTTCTGCTAGTCAGTAGTTATGGTTACCATCAAAAACATAGGCTTGAATTTGGGTCTTTGTATTGCTAAGTTTATAAAAGGCATCATTGGCCTTCTCTGCCAGGGCACGATATTGAATAGAAGCAACAACATTAACAAAGACATTATCCTGTAAGCAGACAAACATTTAAACTGATCAACTGTAATTCAACGTAAAAATATAAGAAACGTTTACAGAATAACAAGTCATACATAGGTAAAGAGAACTGAAAGTGTCCGTGGTGATTAAAGACAGTTAAATGACTTAAAAGTATTTGGTTTTAGTTGAATTGTTAGGCAAAACCAAACCTTTGTCTTGGTCTCACATCGAAGATCCAATTGCTGTAGCCGAAGAGAGAGATGACCAGCAAGTTGTTTTCCAAGGAACCATGGCAAGCAATGACATCCTGGCTCAAGCACCTTCTCAAATCGTCCAAAACTTTCTTCAATAGCCACTGTAGATTGCTCAACTTGCACACAACACAGAAGATTCCCCATTTAACTGCAATATTCAAATATATCAGCAACAAGATACAGGATATTGCAGGATGACAATTATAGCATGCATGAACTGAATGCAATAAATTTGAAGGATTTTAACCAAACACAACAGCCAATATACTGGCTAATATAGACACAAGGTCAACTGCAAATTATTTAACACTTTATCAAAACCAACAGAAAAATCTATGCATACGCATTGAGTTACAGTCCTCAACAGGAGAGAAACCAGTGTTCATACCAACAAAAGTCTAATACCTCTACTGTAGTACTTCTTGTTTAATTAATTGATATATCAATGCACTAGAAATGAAGGGCAGTAAGGTAGAAGATGAAAAAGCTTTGTTAACCAAAGTATTTTATCAAGGAAACATGTTATTCCCACAGGCTATTCAGTGAAGGGTATGCAACATGAATACGGTAGAAGAGCTTAACCATTAAAAAGAATGACAAAATCTTATTCTTTTTGCTGCAGAATTTGAGAATTCGAATTAAAGGCAGAGTACTGGGCAATATAACTTAGTTATCATATTATGTCACCAACAGTAGTCCCAAAATTATTATCACTGGTATAAAGGCTAGACAAGTATTTATTTGAAAAAGAAAAGAAAGACAACAATCAACTGGCTAAGAAAACAAACAAAACTCAAAGGCAGTATCAGAAAGCCTCGCCAAATTAGTAAATTGACCCCGTAAAAGATTACTAATGCAATCTGAAATCCAAAATCAGATTATTTAATGATCATATTTAAATCATGTAACCATTCTATCTTAAACCAGCTACTCCAGGAAGACTCTTTGATCCAGTGATGGAAATTTTCTTAAGGCACAATTGTTGAACAAGAGGAATGACAACTACTCAAAAACGTTACGAAAGAATTCACCCCAGCTCTCCAAGCAATAATATAATTAGATACTCACATGCACCACATCAAACACAGACCATTATAGACAGGAAAAGTTATGACTTAGAAGCAAAATACAGAGGATCAAAATGACACCTCACAGACAGATGTTTCAAAAGCAAAGCTGACTTGGGAGAGAGAGCTCTTGAACACTGAGAGTAGACAAATACTTTCTATTCTTGATATATTCATCACCACTATTAATCATGACGTATTTGTTTTAACAGTATATTCTATAGCCATTGGCATTCACATATCCATTTTATATAGTCTGTCAAAAACCCAGAATTGCAAGCTAACTGGCATAACAAGCCAATCACAACACAACCTCGTCAAGGAGATTTTACCAATCACAATTGTCCTGATACAACCTAGAAAAATACTTATTGCCTTTTTAAAATTTATTTGTGGGACAAGGGTACACAAAGTCCAACCATAAAAATATATAAATAATTAGCCGAATGGATAAACTCTAACAATCATTTATCACAAACGACGCAGAGATTGGAAGCAATCCCTCAAGTCCTCATCAAAAAGTTAAAGAGCTGACTTGAATTGTTGCAGTGAGAGAACTTTGAATTGTTACCTATTATTTAGTTTCGCTGAATCTGACCCTCCAAAATAATGCAAGAACTGTACTTTCAGGATTTTCAGATTGGTGGAATTACTAAGTGCAGGTAAACCAACGACGACTTCAAAACCAATTCACACGAGAAAACCCTGAAGTCAACATGAATGGGATAATAATAAATACTATCTTTATCTGAAAAAGTTGCTTGTGTAACAGTTCTCTAAGAGATTTCTAATGATTTATCTCATTCAATTTATTTTAAATTATATTTTATTTTTTTAAAATATTAATAATAGTTAAAAATAATTTGTCTAATAATAGTTAATTGGTGTTTTAGTTCGTACATTCAACGGAATGAATGTTTATTTTATAATTTTATATAATTAAATTATATTACAATGCTATTTTTAATTATTTATACCTTTAAAATGTTAAATTTAAGTTAGAAATAAAAATACCGTATGAAAATGATAGATTTAAAGAAATAAGAGGCTAAAATTCTGCACTCTCGTTAAAGAATGACGGATACAAAAAATTATATTCTGATTTTTTTTTAATCTTACAAATTTAATTATAATATAATTTATTTATACATGTAAAAAATATTATTTGCAATAAATTTAAATTATATAAATCAAACTTTGCTCTTATACATGTGTCACATAATCATAACAAGACCACGTAAATAATTAAAGACAACATAAAATTCAGTAGCAATATTTATTTATTCATTAAGAAAATTAAAAAAATCATTTATGAAGGAAGTAGTCTTCAAAATCTTAAAAAAAACAAAAATTAATTAAATATTTGGAAACTACTATTTCTTTCCTAATATAGTATTAGATATTTTTGAAATATATATTTTAGTCTCAAAATCATATACGGTTATTTTTATGTTTTAATTATATAAATTAAAAGTATTTTTTTATTGAAAATTATCTTTGAGAAAATTTAAAATACTAATATAAAAAAATGACAAAATAAATATAACAAGAAAAGAATAATGTATTGTTAACGTGATATTTATAGATTTATTGACAAAGTTAATTTTTTTTCTTTAAAATTTGATAAATAGTAAATTCTAGGGATTTTTTTTTCTCTCCTAGGATTTCAAGATCATCAAATTTAAACTTAATGTAAAAATTTAAATATATTTTTACTTCTTGATAAATTGTTGAATTTTATTTTTAGTCGTTAATACTTTTACATTAAGTATAGGGCATACTCTTATTATTGTTGACAATGGAGCTCTTGAATAAACCAAAAATACTAACTTCATATTATAAAGCAAAAAAAGCTACATCGATGAAATTATGGATGAGGGAAGGTCTTATATGAATAAAATGAAAATATTATTTTAAAATAAAGTTTAATTAAAATCTTCATTACATTAAGAATAGTGATAAATTTACATATTGGAAAAAATTATTAACAAACTAGTACTAATAAAAAAAATAAAGAAACTAATTGTAGTCTTAAAATTCTTACAGAAAATAATTATAATTCACAAACTGTTTAAGAACCTTGAGAAAATTAAAGTACAATTAATAATTTGACTTTAAAATAATTTTATATATAACTTGGTATTTATCTTTAGACTGGGAAAAAAAATGAAACTTCTCACTTTTATGCTGGTTTATAAGATAGAAGAATATGAGATTAAAAAGATATTTGACAAGATAATAGGAAGGTTGTTATTAAATCTTATTTGTTATAATCCGAGATTTTTAAGGAAACAATCTAAAAATTCTCAAATGTAAGACCATTTAAAAGGTCAAATAAAATAAAATTGTTGTGTGTTATAAGTAACATATATAAAAGAGTAGAACCGAGTTATAAAGTTATAACTTACAAAATGGAGAATGTGAACACTGATTTTTGTGCTGCACTAGAGTTAGAACAGGAACAAACACCCACACGGGTCTCTTCTTCTTCTTCTTCTGTTATGGCTTCAGCAAGAGAAGGTGGAGGGTGGAGATCCATTAAATACATAATTGGTAATTTTCTCCAAGTTTTGTAATTTATGTGATAATATGTTCATTCTTCTAACACACTTCGTGGGTTTTGTAAAGGAAATGAGTCTTTCGAAAAATTGGCTTCCATGAGTTTGATATCAAATCTCACCCTCTACTTGCTCACAAATTACAACTTGAGCGGCATGTATGTAGTGAATGTGGTGCAAATTTGGAATGGTTCCTCCAACCTCTTCTCAATAATTGGAGCTTTTATTTCTGACACTTACTTGGGAAGATTTCGAACCCTTCTCTATGGCTGTATTATCTCACTTTTGGTAAGCAAAACCACATTTCTTATTTTTGGGTTTCTGTTTTTCATACACACAGTTTTGAAAATATCAAGGCATAAAGCCTTATATTTAAGTTTTAGAATTTACCAAGTTGTGCTTCCTTTCCTCAAATTTTTAAACTAAATTTTATTATTATTATATATTAAAATTTATTTATATTTTTTAAATGAAAATTGACTTAAATTACATCATTGAATACACTTTAAAAACATATTCTATCACTGATTAAAACATAACAAGAAATTGTAAAATCAAAAGATACACCCATTTTTAATCAATATTAAAAGAAATGTTAAGATATTATTTAAGTGAGTGTTACTCGCTCTTTTTATTATATTCTTAAAATGTTTTATTTTTCAATTATTAATAATTTTAAATATCAAAAAATAATGAATTTTAATTCATATTACTTTTCTGTAATTTTTATATTTTGATTTTGAATAAACAAAACTATACCATCAATTTAAAAAAAATTATAAATTAGTTTTTTATTTTCTTATAAATTTTCATAAAAAATATGCAAAATTTGATCTAATTTTGAAAAAAAATTCCTCAAATTTGATGAAAAACACATGTTTTTCATATTTTCTTGACAAAATTTATATTGAATACGAAACGTTCTTACTTTTTTCACAAAAATATATACAATTTTTTTATTTTTTATTTAATAGTAAACAAATATATAAAAATCTTGAAATAAAATTAACCTAACGTATGTCATAAACAAGTACACAAATATTTTAATATTATAAAATTAATAAAAATATCATTATCATTACATATTAAAAAGTGAGTTTTTAATTTATATACTATTATTAATACCTCAAAATTATTTTTATTTTTCAATATTTACTTATGCACGTACATATATTTTCATTTTTTTAGTCATGTTTTACTTGTCAACTTGAAATGTCCAGTATAAAACGATGAAATATCTAATATACCTTCACGTATGAAATATTTATTTAAGGTAGCTACATTGATAAAGAAAAAAATTGTAATAAATCATATTCAAATTATTAAGAAGTGAATAGGTTTGGTTGTTGAGAGAAGTTTCAAAAGTATTATTTCTTACTAAATAAAGAAAAAATCATAGGTATACATCACACAAGTTTTGGTTGTATTTTCAGGGTATTTTGACTATAACCCTGACAGCAGGTATACATCAACTGAGGCCTCATCCATGCGAAGACAACTCTCATTGTCCATCTCCACATTCCTGGCAGCTAGCAATCCTCTTGTCAGGTCTTGGACTGTTATCCATAGGAGCTGGTGGCATTAGGCCGTGCAACATTGCTTTTGGTGCAGATCAATTTGACTCAAAAACAGAGAAGGGTAGGGTACAACTTGAGAGCTTTTTCAACTGGTGGTACTTCACTTTCACCATTGCACTTGTTATAGCACTCACTGTTGTTGTCTACATTCAGACCAATGTAAGTTGGACTCTAGGATTTGCTATTCCATCTTGTTGCCTTGCTTTCTCAATAACTATCTTCATACTTGGCCGTCACACTTACATTTGCAAGAAGCCTCAGGGGAGCATCTTCTTAGACATGGCTAAAGTCATTGTAGCAGCCTTTAGAAAACGTAACATACAATCTTCTGGTAGAACCATTTATAATCCTGCTTCCACATGGGAGGAAATAGAGTTGGAGGATAAAAAGATTGTTCAGATAAATAAGTTCAAATTCCTCGATAAGGCTACCGTAATAGTTGATCCTAGTGAGTTGAATGACCAAGGTATGGCTAGGAACGATTGGAGACTTTGTAGCTTGCAACAAGTAGAACATTTAAAATGCTTGTTGGGAATTCTACCAGTGTGGGTAACAGGAATTTGTTGTTTCATTGTGATGGACCAACAAAACACTTTTGGGGTGCTTCAAGTTGTTCAAACCAATAGATCCATTGGACTTCATTTTAAGGTCCCACCTGGATGGATGAATTTGACACCAATGATAGCACTTGCATTCTGGATATGCATTTATGAGTGTGTCTACATTCCCCTAATGAGAAGGATTAGTAAAAAGACTCCAAGATTGGACATAAGACAAAGAATTAGAATTGGGATTTTGTTTTCCATCATATGCATGTTGGTAGCAGCATTAGTAGAAAAGAAGCGTCGTGACTTAGCTTTGAAACATGGTTTGTATATTTCACCACTAAGCTTCGCATTCTTGCTACCTCAGTTTGCACTATCGGGTCTTAATGAGGCCTTTGCTGTTGTTGCTATAATGGAATTCTTTACCTTGCAAATGCCAGAGAGCATGAGGACGGTTGCTGGAGCAATCTTCTTTTTCAGTTTGTCTATTTCAAACTATTTAGGATCCTTGATTGTTAATATTGTCCATAAAATAACATCACACAATGGAAGAACACCATGGATAGGGGGTCATGATTTAAACCAAAATAGGCTTGACTACTACTATTATGTTATTGTTGCAATGGGAGTTTTGAATTTTACCTACTTCAATTTTTTTGCCTGTTATTATTGTGACAAGGACAATGGAAAAACAGAGATACCACCTGAGCATTCGAGTGTTTTGGGAGAATCATCTGGAACAAATGATGAGGAGAAGGTATTGGTACAATAGGTACCACATAAAGGTTAACATGTGTAAATTCTCCTCTTGGTAGAATTTAAATTACAAAAAATTCAAGTTCTTTAATGTAAGATATTTATTTGATAGAATATTTTGTTCTTTGAATAAACTTAATGTAATTACATTTTTTGGGTGGTTAAATATTTTTTTTTACCTTTTATCTTTTGTAATTAAATATTAGTTTGGATTTTTTGAGAAGAATAATTTTGTTCTATTGCGATGGATTTTTTTAAGTAAATTTACGATGAAATTGCGAGAAAACATTCATTAACATGAATTTGTGATAGTTTAGTATTGTATAATATAATTTAGTTAGAAAATAGTTTGAAAAAGATAACATCACTAAATTTTTTTTTTCAATTGTTGATAATAAGAAATTAATGACAAAAAAAAAAGATTTAGCTAAATTTGTGTCCAGTTTAAAATAAAAGTAATTAAAAAATATTAATCATCACGAGAAATTAGTTATTTTATTATATAAACTAGCTACAACTTTATTCATTTCTCATTCTGTCAATAGTTAAATATGAAATAATGAAAAATATATTTTCTCGCAAATTTCCGTTGTTAATTAATGAATTTCCTATATTTAGATATAATGTCTTTCTTTTATAATTTATATATATATATATATATATATATATTATTTACCTATTTTTTGTTATAGATATAACTTCTAATTAAATTTTCAAAATTAGAAATTATGTTAAATTATTATCCAAGTCAATTTCACTAAATGTCAAATAATAATAATTATTATTATTTAATTATTCTATTAATTAAATACATATTTTTAAAATATTGAATTATTTCGTTATTCAAATATTATATATAATATAATCTTTTAAAAAATAGAAAAATATATAAAAAAATTAAATTTAATCCAACTTATAAAAGATTAGTTGAGTTGGATTTAATTTAATAAAAAAATTACATAAAAAATTAGATACTATTCAATTCAATCGATATATTTATAGGAGATATATATTTAGCTTAACGAAAACTTTTAGAAAGATCAATTTTATTTATTCATATTTTTCAAATTAGTTTACTTTAAATTCATTTTCCTGTATTTGAAAATGAATTTAAGAGATACATGTTAATTTATTTTTGAAAAAACAAACTTTAATTAGTTGCTTAATTAATGGCCTGAGTGACGTTGTATGTAGATTTAGTTTGAATTTTACGCAAACACAAATGTAATTTGCTTCATTTAGAGGCCTAAATCCGCAAAGTTATTTGCACCATTTTACTTGCTATTAGCTACCAAATATACCACTAAATGGAAGACAAAATATGGGTAACAATGAGACCATTATAATGTAATAATATTGATATTACAAAGGAGAATATAAGATTTACTTTGACGATATCATGGTATTCATAATGGACAACGGATTATTTTATTTAAAATTAAAACTCGTACATTATTGCAGCAAGTCATAGTAGAGTGGAAGCAATAGTTTGGTGCATGCATGGACATGATGAATGTAAACTCTCAATCTCACTCATTATTTAATTATTTGGGACCGACCACAAACTAAGAAGGGAAGTTATGAAGTTACAAGAAACAGTATATATGTACGTAGGTCTGCTCTAGCTAGTATCCAGACTTTGTTGAATGTTTGTATTCGTAGGAATTGGCCCAGAAGAGAAAATGAATGAAGTTGAGTCCACTGAGAACACACATCAACCAGTAAAACCTCTCAAGGTGATAATGATTCAAGTTGGCACCCAAGAGCCATGTGTGTCCAAAAGCTCCTGTGACCTTGTTGATGGTGGACACAAGAACTGTGCTGAGGAAGTACCCCATGGCCAGTGAGGCCCATGAGAGTGCTGTGGCCAATGACCTCATGCTCCATGGTGCCTCTGTGAAGAAGAACTCCATCATGCCAGCCAATGTGAAAAGATCAGCTGAACCAAGAAAAATGTATTGTAAGGCCACCCAAAGGAATGTTATCGGGAGGGGTTTGGTTGAGTCCAACAAACCAAACATGGCAGCTGTTTTCTTTCTCTTGGTTTCCACCAAAGCTGCCACTGCCATTGCCACAATGGAGAGAAATAGCCCTGTCCCTATTCTTTGTAGATGTGTGATTCCCATTTCGGTGTTGGTTACTTTTCTAGCAAATGGAACAATGATGTGGTTGTATAGTGGGGCAAGGATCATGATGAAGAGGACAGGGAACACGGGTAGAGAAGCTGGTGGGACCTTGAAGGAACCAAGCATGGTGTTCATAGTGGCTGACTGTTGGACTGAGAAGGTTGATAGCTGAGCTAGGCAACAGTTTAGCATTAATGTGGACATAAATATGGGAAGAATCCTTACCACAATTTTCACCTCTTCCACTTCCTTTACTGTGCACTCTAACATTGGGTGAACTGGTTCTATCACTGCTTTGTTAAGGAATTTAAGGTTCTCAGTTAGAGTTTGGCCTAGAACCTCTTTTCTAGTCTTACTTTCTTCTCCATCTCCCCCTTCAGTTGTATGGGATGGACTTGTGGCCATGCTTATGACAACATTGCTTGAATTCCTGGGTTTGCAGTTGTTGCATATTGCTCCAACAAGAACCTTCATCACAGAAAATTCAGAAACATCTTGTTTAGCATTTTATTTGACTAGTCATTTTCTTCAGTATCTGTTACTTTACTTGTCCCCATTTTAATTTTTAGTTCCTAAATGAGAAAAGAATAACTTTTAATTCCTGAACAAATTGTTTCTAGTGGTTTTATACAGCAGAGATTTTTCTGTAGTGTTTAAGTCATCTCCAAAGCTTAAGTCTTGTGTAAGAACTAAAAATTCCAGTTTGTCAGGCAAGAAGTAAAATATAGAAAGAAGAAAACTAAATGAATAGTATAACCTACTTATTTTATGTATACCTTGAACATGGATGTTATGGGGCTTCCTGTTGGAATCTTGGTCCTGTATTTGTGCGAACCAAGAAGAAAAACTGGGATGGAGAGAAGTATTGAAGCAGTTGAGACTCCTAAACCCCACTGCCATCCCTTATTGTCTTCGATCCATACCACAAAAGTTACTGCAATTAATGCTCCACATGACAGGCTGAAAACAAAGTAATTGAAAAATGCAGATCTCTGCTTCCTTCCCTCAGGGGTATTCTCATCAAACTGCTCAGCCCCATGAGGAGGAAGTGAACCTTTTATACCCCCTACGCCCAGAGCCACTAGATAGAGGCCTGCGAATAGCATAACTGAGTCCCCACCATAAATTTTATGGCATGGAGTGTCGGTGACTCCCATAACGCAGTTTGGTGGTTTGAGTGATGGCTTGTGTGCTTGTATTGTGAGCATTAGTAAACCCTGAGTCCATCAAATATATTCACTTTTAAAATATGATCTACTTTAGTGATTACAATCTTGATAACCGCAGGGAAATGCTTCTATTATACGGTTAATTTCAAAATCAGCTTCAATTATTCGAGGACTTCATTGAATATTTGACCAGTCTATGCTTCTTTGGTAATGCTGTTTGGTGACTTTTGATAAATCTTGATGATATCAAGAAAGTTATTTTGAACATTGGCTCATTTGGAGTTTCATTTGTTAACTGTTTTACACGGAAGAATCGTGATATTATATAGTAACTCAGAATCTGGTCATGTGAAGCTTAAGCACAACCGAATCTTGCTTCCTGCTGTTTGGTTCACCATCATCTAATCGCAATAAATAATGGTCACGTTTTTTTTTCTCTTTCTTCTATTCTGTCATTTTAATTTTTGAGTTGGTTGAGGATGGAAAAAGGGTCCCATTATGTGGGGATACTAGTACTGTACTACACAGGTGAAAGAAAGTCTATAAAAATCTTGACCCAGTGGTTTATCTAATAATTGTAATCAACGTTATTATTTATTACAGTACAGGTTAATTACCTACCTAGAAGTACAAAGTATAGGTGGTTAAAATTCTCCTTCCTGGCTTTCATCCTAAGTTAGCTCCTCTTTTCTTTTTTTCACTTTTTATTATTGACACGTAGTGAATTCAAAGCTAGTAGAGTAACTTGTATAGACACTAAAGATAAAAGTTAATTATTACGATGGGAACTTACCATGAATTCTATTGCAGCACTTATGAGATAGATGGAGTAAGTGGTGATAAAGGCATCAGCCAGAAAACCCCCAAGAATAGCAAGGAGGAAGGATGTCCCCATGAAGTCAGTGACAATGTTGGCAGAGGCGGATGGTGAAAAGTGCATAAACTTGGACACATATAAAACAAGGTTGCTTGCATTGGCAAGAAATGCTAGGTTCTCCAATACCTCCGCAGCTGTGGTTTACCATGTGGGAAGGTTATAAACATCTTATGCATGCATACCAAAAACAATATAGTAATGTTGTGAAAGAGAAAAACGATTAAACAGTTTATAGTTAAAAGAAGTACATGTAGCTAGAACATTTCTTGGTTTCCAGTTACTTACATCCCAACATTGTGGTTAGAAAATGAGAGAAACATGAAAAGTGTCTTCGGACAGTACTTACCTAAAACAAAGGAAGCTGCAAGCATGCCACCATGACGTCCTTTGATGGCTGGCCTGTTCCTCCAATCTACATACCCTTCCCATACGTGCACCTGTGCTTCTTCCTGGAACAGTTTTCTCAGTGGAGTTAAAAACAACAAAAGAAAGGAGTGCTATACCAAACACTAAGATAAACAGCAAAAGAAACAGGGCGAAATTATGTATGAATGTTTAATTTATACCATCTCTAAGTTTAATTGTTATATCCTGTATTTATCTTATTCGTCAATATGGTTATGGAGGAGAGATTGGGATGCTGGTGCAGAATACTTGATCAGGAACACTTTGTATCATGAAGGAAGTGGTGAACAGAATCGCATTTATAGAGGGGGAAAGGGAATTTCTGATGGGAGAGGAAAGGTCTAGAGTATATGAAAGCAACTATTCATTCTCCTGGATCCTTTCACCATGCATTGATGTTGATGTTGACTGTTTCTACCGTTACTTGTGTTTCTTGGTTTGCTTTCATTTCTATACTGGGAAAGGATGTTTTCTCTTTGGCTAAAGCAGTGTATATATCAAAGTAGTAACTTGGTAACCAACTTTTGGTCCTACATTTGTTTTGAACGTTCTCATTTCTTCTATATGTTTCCTTCCATTTGTTTAGTTGCTTACTGAAAAGATAAGGTTACATAAATGGAAATGCTAATGATGGTAATCAATCCAACTCAATTAAAAATTTAAAAACCGGAGATGTAGGTTATGCATGTTGTGTTGGGAATTTTACAAAGGTGGCGGTAGATAATTGCATGAACAAATGCAGTGTGTTGAAGTTGAAGTGTCATCATATTTAACAAGGCATGGACATTAGGGCACCACAAGCTGAGACAAATTAAAATTAACAAGTGGGCAACATTATTTGACAAAAGGTCATAGTTGCATGATGGTGAGCGTGAAGGTAAAGTTAGGCGGAAGTTTTTCTCAAGCATGTCCCACACCCCTCTTACTCCCACAAGAACCCATGATTCGTCCACATAGTGGTTATAAGTCCACTGTGTCTTTATGCTAATCTGAAATATGAATGATTTGCCAAGTTCACTATATCTCTTAAACTATCTTATGCACAACCTTTCCTGACCAATGGAGGACAAGGGGACCATTTTTCAAATACAAATCTTGAAAACTCTCACTGTTTGAATTTGAGTGCGACTATTACATGTAGCTATAGCAGGCCAGGCCAATGGAGGGTTGTGCAGGTCATGTGAATTTGTCTCGTTTCAATTCCTTAAGATAGCTTTCAAGTTGTGTGTGGATCTTCTCTAAGAGGTCATCAGATTTAGAACAGTGGTAAGTAGCAACCAATTATATTGTATGGTATTCTAGATGGTTAGAGTATGTATTTAAGTATCCTTTATGGCCACCCTTGGGGCCCTCTTTCCTTGATCATAAAAGTATGTGGATGAAGGTCGACAGAGTAATGTGGATGGCTGTTTGAGCAATGCGATCTCCAACTTGTGTGGCTAGGATCCCCATCATAATGGGTCCATGGCCTTGTGCCACCATTGAACCTAACCCCATTTATTGGTACTATGTAACCCTCTTCCGTAACAAGTCAATACAAACATAAGGGGGGAGTTCAAACGAGTACTAAGTGTTAGCTACCATTGAGATATCTACCACATATTACCAACATTAGTCTTTTGACCCAAAAAATATGAGATTTTGTGGCGGAAAATATAAGAACAAGGTAGCAGGTGAATAGCATGTAACTGGTATTGCTTTTACTTTTAGCTTGGTAGTGGATGTCATACTATAGCATTTATCTGCCGTTTGAATCCAAGTCACTGACTCAACAACAGTCACAGCTAGTGGATAACTTAGTACAAGAGATTAAATAATAAAAATGCTTGTGAGTTGAATTGAACAGATACGTTTTATCTACAACTTTGTCAATGAGAATGAAAAAGAATATCTAAACTGAAAATGCAGTTTCAAATTTGGGAGAGCATTGAACTAATCAAGTGTTGATATATTCGTGACAGGAAATAGGATTATACGAACCAACCAACCGTTGGTTGAGTAAGGTTGCCCCTCTGATAGGAAGTGTGATAAATTGAGAGGTGAGACCCCACCTTAATTATTCAAACCCCAGCATGAGGGTATGCTTCCATCTTCTTCTCTGTGGGGACTAATTGTGTTATTTATTTCACATACTGTACACTTTTTTTTTTTTTTTTCAGTTGAAATTGAAAGTTGTGACTCTAGATCAAACTGGGTAGGTATAACAGATGAAGTCCACGTTGGCATCTTCATTTGTCTCCAACTTGCCATTTGTGTGCCTTGGGGTAACAAAAGGTCCAGATAATGATGAACTACCATTACAGAAGGAATGTTGCAATTTGCTAGCCAATTAGTGGAGATTATTGCTCCATCGTAAGTCTTGCAAATTGGCCTCTACAATAAACCAAAACTTTATCTTGTCCACAAAAACAAACCTCTTTATCTTTACTTGTGTTATTTTTGTGTTCATTGTAGAACAATACAATGTTTAGTTGAGTTGTAAACATGAGTTGAAATTTTGAGATAATATTTTGTTAATACTTTATGTTTTCTACATCACTGTTTTTATCCTGTGTTTTCTCCTTAATAATATTTCATCTTTCTCACTCTTAGGAATCAATATAGTCATTTAAACAATTTATTGTTTAACTTTTAAAAGATTATAAAAACAGTCTAGTTTAGTTTTGAATTGAAAATGTATTACTTCTGTTATATATATACATAATAAAATTGAAAAAAAATTATGAGTTAAAAAAAAAGTGGTGCGAGAAAAAAATAATACAAGGCTTATGAAAAATATGATGCCATGCCTAGCTGAGTTTAATCTCTTTTGAATAACGACATGAAAAAGTTTAGAGACATAAAAGTACTACAATAAAAATTTATGAAAATACTCATCCATGATTCCGTTTTATCCCTAATGTTTTAATAGAAAATTAAACCAACTTTGAAAAGTTTATATATATATATATATATATATATATATATATATATATATATATATATATATATATATATATATATGGCAATGGAGTGGGTTATAAAGCTGAAAGGGGACATGGATGAGGTTTGTGAGTTAATAGGTTGGTCCATGGTGGGATGGTTCTTTTTCCTGCTTTTGAATTCAACTGTCTTTTCAGATATGTCTTAGAGAGATGTGGTCCATTGAAAGAGTGAAGTCCTTGGAATTTTACACACCTTTTGGGAAACCATCTTCTCTTTCCATCAATTTTCACTTTTCTCTTCCATTTTATTGCAATACAGAGATAGATACAAGTGGTTTTTTAATTTGAAAAAACTTTTCTAAGTCTTTACAGGGAAAAAGACTTGTCTGTGAACTAATATTTAAAGGTTATTTTCTTTCAAAAATCAAACTTTTACTTCATTTTATTAATATATATATATATATATATATATATATATATGATTTTATTGAATAATGCATTGAAACGGTAAGCAACGTTCCCATCTGAAAATGTTGTTGAGGTTACAGAGTTTCTTGTCCTTCCTTTGTTCCTTTTATTGGTAATTTCGTATGAAGTAGGGAGTTTGCATTGGAAACATGGGTAGTAGTTTATGAAGTGGAGCAACTAAAGCTAACTAAGTCAATTCAATTTATGTGTTCTTGTTTGTTCTCCATTTTCATTATGTCACAGAGACCACATTCATGTGTTTGATGGAGCATGTGTTACATTTGTGAGAACACATGTAATGTTCATGGTGGCGACAAGGCAGTAGGTGCATTTCTACTCGAACTTTCTGCACAGATCTTATGTGGACCACTCACATGTAATGTTATGTGTTTTGCATCGCTCTAAACAACAAAGTCACCTTCTTTTATTCTTCAAAGAATATATGAAATTTAAAAGGTTAAAAAAATAAGTATTATATCATGATTACACACGTTATAAATGACTCTAATATGTCTGTCATATGGGTGCTACTTTTTTCCTTTTAAAAAAATGAAGTGATTAAGAGTTGAGGTCGAAATAACTTATATATTTTTTTATAATTTATTGATATGATTTAAAAAATATATATGATAAATTATATTTTAAAACGGCCATATAATTAAAATACTCCATCTTTTCTTTTCTTTTAATCCTGAAAAGTATCTTTTAACTCAAATATAATATAAGTTCATGGATTCTATATTACTTTAAATTAGAACATAAAATTCAAATTTAATTGAGTTTAAATTAAGTACTTTACAATGTATCTTAATATAGGGAAGTTTTTATCAATATTTTTACCCCTCTCCTGATTAATAGTGTAATTAATTATCGTAAATTGCAATCGATGTGAATGATACATTACCAAGTAAAACTGAATTTAAATATGTATTATCAAATGAAGAGTATAATTATAAATATGCCCTTTTACATTACTTTATGTATATCCGTTAGAATTAATTTTTAAAACACTTTTAATAAAATCTTTTTTGCTGGCCCAAGTGGATCGTTTTCTCTTCTCATTAATCTTGACTCTCCTTCTTTTTGTACCTCCATGTCTTTTTTTAGCACCTCATATTTATTTGAAGAAAAAAACAATAACATTCCTATTGATTCATAGAACTAGTAATTTGAAAATATATTTTGAAGTATTTCAAATTGATAAATTTAAAAAAAAAAAAAAAATAGATCCAGAATAATATAATTTTTAAAGTTATGAAGTATAAAATCTATAACATCATTTAATGATTTAAAAAAAAAATCCACAAAATTTATGAAAAGGTGAATCTGAAAAGTTGAAGGTTGTTGCTTCGTACACCCCCATAAATTCTCCCAGCAACCCCATAATTATATTAATCCATATTTCACCGTTACACTTATATGCATCTTCATCTTTGGAATACATTTTGCAAAGACTTTTTTAGAAATATATTTCGAAACACCATCAGGAATGCATTTTTAGAAAGATTTTTCTGAAAAAATATTCTGAAATACGTTTCTGGAAAATTTAATCCGAAATGCATTTTCGGATTAACACTCAATGCGAAATATATTTTCAGATTGGTTTTTTTAGAACTTAACCTCATTTTTATGATATTATTTTAGACTGAACAATTTGGGTCTATTTATGTAATTTGAGTACATCAACATGTAATTTATATATAATATTAATAATTATTTATCTTTAATTGTTAAAAAATGTTTTCAATAGAGGTATAGAAAAAAAAAATCAAATAATGATGAAGGTGTAGAAGGTATATACAAATAGAAGAAGAAGTTAGAATAAAAAAATAAAATTATAGAAAAGATATTTTAGATATTTAAATTTGAATATGAAAATATAAAAAGAATTATAGGGTGCAGAAAGCAATAACCAAAGTTGAATCCAAAAATAATGAATGTGGGATGTAGGATGAAGGGTGGAACGGGCCTAGCGAAAAAAATGTGGAACAGGCCTCTTCAATGTTTGGACAAGCAGCCGAATATAATTTATTTTGGTTAATGTTGTTACGAGATTTGGTGGTTGACTAAATAAAAGAGGGTGAAAATCACATGTTGAAAAAGAAAGTGTTGGTTGTTTTTGAAAGGGAATAAAATACACACCCACCCACCAAAAACATGAAGATGTATGTGATGAACATTGTGGTGCCAAAAATGAGAAAAAATGTGTGTTTATGGTGGTCATCATGGGTGAACAGCGAAAACAATGTGTTGGTGTTGATTTAATAATGAGGGGGTGGGAGGGTTAAATACGAATAAAATATGAAATTGAAGTGACATGGTGGATCCGAGGCCTGTGAAGGTGGCCCAATGAGGCGTGTAAAAGTGGAGAGGACGGTGAAGGAAGCAGGTGAGATAAAAAGTCAGAGAAGAACACCAATTATAATAACATCATAAATTCAGATCAAAATATATTATCATACAAATCTTTCTTTTTCCAACCACAAAAATCTTTTTTTTTTTTGTCCCTTTCCTTTCGCCTAAGAAAGCGACTCAAAACTCATCCATCACTGCTTTTCTTCCACCTGCGATAAGAGAAGCTATATATCATACCGTTCCTCATTTTTTCTTTTTTCTTTTTTTTTTCCGAAAAATCCCCAAATCCAAATTAATTACCAAACCCGTCCTTTTTACCATTTAATTATAAAAGTGGACCCCTTTGTAAAATATATTATATTCTTAACTAACATTTAAAATAATACAAATGGTGATTACTTGGAACAAAAAAAATTTAATTAATACATGACACAAATTATCGTTAAAATGTAACAAAATTATCTGTATATTATTTTCAAGAACTAAAAAAATAAAGCTAAATCATCCAAACTGAATCTATTATTATTTATTGTTTTCATAAAAAAGTTTAAAACTTACCCAAATTTTAGGCTTTGAGTAGTTATTAATGGTTTTCAAAGTTACTAGAAAAGTAGTATATAACAACCAATTCTAATGACTACCCTAAACATCCGAATTGTGACCCCGAGAAGATCTTATACTAGTAAACCAAAAACAAAATTAGTATTTGGCCTTATAATAATTTTAAGTGTTAAGTATTTATTAAATAATTAAAGTAAGATGAAAAATCAATCACTGAATCCAAAGAAATAAAAAACTTAATTTTTTTCGTAGTTCTGAATTTTATATATTACTAAAACATGCTCTCACTCATCTATTAGTTGATGTATATCGTGTTAATTATATTTTTTTTTAAATATTTGATCCATATAGGATTTAGATAAGATAATATTTCAGTGTTTATAAAAAATAGTTTTAAACTACACAATCAATTTAAAAATAATAATAATACACGCTCATTAAACAGATTAACTAAATTATTAAATATTATATGTATTAAAAAAAATTGATGATTTTATTATTTTTTATAATTAGCAACTCTTGTCATTTGAATTCAATTTTGTTTTAACAATAAGTAGTGTAACTAATTCAGAAAGTTTAAGTTGTTTTTGTTATCTATTAATATTTTGATAATTTATTTTTGTCAATATATTTAAATTTATCAAAATAAAGTGAGTAAACTCTGAATACATTGAAATTAGCATATTAAAAACCGTATTTAATATTCTGATTTATGTGATTTTACAATGTGTTCGAAATAAAAATGGAGTGAGAACGTTTAAACTACATTGCACTACATCTTTTAACAAATCAAATGAATAATCAAAATAACTCGAAAGAAGAATTAATAAAATATTGTATATGATAAGTTATTGGTTATTTATAAAAGTAATACACATTAAGGAGCTTAAATATTAGTACGATAAGTTGATTACCACTAGAAAAAAAAAACAATTCGTTCAAAATTACACGCGGGAAGTGCAATAAAAACAGTAATTTTATATTTGTTTTATCCATCACTTTCATCAGGTTAATTTAGCATTTATACGACCACGTTATCTGACAAAAAAAAAGAAATAAAAAGCGAATCTGGACAAAAAAAAAACTTGAAAGGTTTATTTATTTATGATATTAAATTTGAATAAAAAATATTTGAGTGTTTTTGGTTGAAGTTGAAGTGGGAAGGGTAATTAAGGAGATAGGAGCTTTCCTTCAAAAACTCACGTGGTCTCATCTACCCATTAAGCATGATTGAGAGAAAGGGCACGATAGTAATTCCACGCCCTCATTCCTTCCAACCCTCTTAATATAAACCAAACCAACACTCTTCTTCTTCTCAAAACTACAAACATAAACAAAAACAAACAAACATAGCCACTGCTTCTCTCTCTTTCTCTCTCCGTCTTCTCGATTCTACTCTGGTGTCGGAATTGGGTCTCTCTCGTGGTTGTTGCTGTTCTGAGTGATGGGTATGCCCTGCCGCTGTTCCCACACCTCTCACATCACCGAAATCATCATCACCAGCTTCTTCCGCCACAAGTCTTAGATCCTCACCTCAATTCTTTAACTCCCTTTGTAACCTTCTTTCATGGCCCCTTGAGATCCATCTAGGTCGGAGTAACCAACGCTTCCACACATGGCGGCTGGAAGGCCCTTTTCCGACATCACTACCTTCCTGCGCAACCAAACCGCTCCTCCCACTTCCCAACCTCTCGATTCTCTCTTCCTCTCTTCTTCCACTGCTCCTTTTCTTGGTCAGTCATAGTTATTACGTACCCTCTCTCGTTAATTCTCACCACTCGTCATGGTTTACCTAATGGATGGTGTGTTTGACTTTTTGTTATTTGATTCAGGTTCGAGATCCATGATGAGTTTCGAAGGAGAAGGAGGGAAGGGGTGTAACGGCTCCTTCTTCCGCGCGTTTGATTTAGACGAGAATGGAGATGAGTGCATGGACGAGTACTTTCATCAACCTGAGAAGAAGCGCCGTCTCTCTGCCAACCAGGTTCAGTTTCTCGAGAAGAGCTTCGAGGAAGAGAACAAGCTTGAACCCGAGAGAAAAACCAAGTTGGCCAAAGACCTCGGTTTGCAGCCACGCCAAGTTGCTATTTGGTTCCAGAATCGTCGTGCTCGATGGAAGACCAAACAGCTCGAGAAGGATTACGAGATTCTGCATGAAAGCTTTGAGAGTCTCAAGGCCAACTACGAAAACCTCCTCAGGGAGAAAGACAAGTTGAAATCTGAGGTAATTAAATCAACAACTCAATTTAGATCCAATAAGTTGTGTTTACTATTTTTTTTCTATCGAAATTGAAGTTTGATCTCAATAACAGATGTTTAATAGACCCAACAGCACTTAAGAAACTGCGTATATAAGTTTTGTTCATGTACTAATTAATGTTCGTTATACAATTTGATGACTTTAATTTTGGGCTGACGAGTTAATTTGTGTGTTGCTTCAATTAAATTTAGGTGGCGCACCTAAGTGAGAAGGTGCTTGCAAGAGAGAAAGAAGAGGGTAAGTTGAAGCAGGCTGAAAGTGGAACAAAGGGATTGCAGGACCAGGAACAACCCCAAAGACCTATACTTGATTCAGTTTCGGAGGGTGAAGGATCCAAAGTGTCTTCTGTTGTCGGGGGTTGCAAACAGGAAGATATCAGTTCAGCCAGGAGTGACATTCTGGACTCAGATAGCCCGCATTACGCGGATGGAGTTCACTCTGCGGTGCTAGAGCACGGTGATTCTTCTTATGTGTTTGAGCCTGATCAATCGGACACGTCACAAGATGAAGAAGACAACCTCAGCAAGAGTCTGTACCCGTCGTACCTCTTTCCCAAACTTGAAGATGTAGATTACTCCGACCCCACCGAAAGTTCTTGTAATTTTGGATTCTCGGAGGAAGATCACGCCCTTTGGACCTGGGCGTACTAAGTTTTCTCCCATGTTCATGTGTGTCTGTGCTATGTGTGTCTAGTATTTATTTAGTGTTTGAACTTCTAGTCAAGACTTTATAAATGGGCAAATAAGTAAGATGAATCGCAATAGCTTTCTTAGGATAGACATGGTGGTTTTGGCCGCATTTTGTTACTTGTAATGAAACTGTTTGCTCCGATGTAATTAAATAATGCCTTCCCGTTGAGAACGTAATTCTGGATTTAGTTTGATGAAGAATTGGGACAAACAAAGTAAGAAATTCAAACATGTAATTGAACATGAATATGATTCCTGTTCTCTTGGGTTGTGGACTTCTGGGTCCTTGCTTGGATTGGTAAGCAACCCTGCATGACGAAGTTGACTTGCTTGCAACTCCGCAATACATTCCAAGTTGAGAGCATTTGAGTTTTTGTGACAGAAGGAGTGTCACTTTCGTATGACTTGGCCAAAAATGTAGTGGCTATCTATTCAACGAGGATCACCGACTTCTGTTTTCGTTTGTGTGCTCCATTTCTGAAAAAATTCTCAAGAGTGATGATGATGATGATATCAAGGATATTTGTGAGAACCTAGCATTTAAGAACATTTCTTTTAGCCAATGGGGATATATTTTTCTTTTCATTTTTAATAGCAAAGGCAACACACCATTTTTATCAGCTATGTAATATACTATGTAAATATTCATAAGTTAGACAAAAATCCCAATGGAAGAAATATTAAACATGAGTCAGACGTAGAAGGAAATTGATGATTATTAACATGAGATAATGAAAGAATAAGACTGCCTTAATCTTCTGTCTGTTTTACTGTTCCTGATTATTTTTTATTGGGGGTAATATCAGTTACATAACAATATTAAATATGATTATTTTGAATACACGTTAATGGTAGAATAATAAAAACTGGTGGCTGAGAATTGTGATAAGCATAAGGGTCAACATGTTGTTCACATTAATCTCTTGTGTTAATTATGAGTTTAATTTAATTTATCATAATTTGGAAGGAAATTGCGTGAGGAAAGGGCCATGCTTTACGGCGTGTCTAGAAACATCCATTCACAACCTGCCACGCGCCCCAACCGTCTCACTCTACGTTTCCTACCAACCGGGTCAACCCCACCACACAAAGCAAGGGCTTCACACCGATTTTGCCACGTGTACGGCCACCACGCAATTTTTTTCCTCTCTTCCTCGGTCAAACAAAAAATGGAAATGCAAGCGAGATTCAAGTGCAACCACACCCAATAGCGTGGGCAAACTCCGCACCGGAATCTACACATCATGCTGGGCCCCACCCGACGTTGACCTCTCCTGCGACGTGGCTTTTAATCCGCGATTGTGTATAAACCCACCAAATAAAAGAATCTCCACATATCATATAAACTTACACCAAACCATGATTAATACTCCAAACAGTACAATGTATGTAGCCTTCAATGTTAAAAGGTTTAAGAAAATACAAAGATTGTTTTTAAATGCTGAAATTATTAATTACTGATATCGACTCAGAACCTTAGAAATGAAAAAGAAAATGTACTGACAGATTTTTATTATTTTTTATTAAAATCGATTCAGTTCAATTATAGGTACAATGATTCCGTGGCAACTAATCAACACACCATGTTCGTTTATGATTTTGTTTTGGGTACGGTCGTACATGCATTCAATTATTTATCTTATGATACATCTGGAACTAAAAAATATAAATTTCATTGGTAATACTTAAGAATCGATTAGATTTATAAAAAATAAATGGATAATGAAAAAAAAATTGTACAGGCAGAAATGGAATCATAACGTTTAAGGAAGGAATCAAAACACGTGACAAGACGGGAAGGCCAGGAGCGACAGGATTTAAGGAATTTTTTTTATGGAATTAAGGAAAGAAGTGTAAATGATTTATTACTGTGATGAAATTAGGGTTAAAATTAAAAAAAATATTATTAATAATAGATAACGTTAAAAAATATTCCCCACGTTTAACCTTGAACACGAGATTACACGAATAGGTTGGGTAGCTTTCGTTGGACCCATTGTAAGGCTGTTTGCCAGTACTTCGTGACAGTGTCCTCTTACCCACCCACCTCTCACTCCTTCAAATCTTATTTACCAAACACAACAAAGGAAGTAAGAATGTAGTTTTGTATATCATATGTCTTTGAAAGTAAATTTTCTGTTGGTGGATTAATAAGAAATAATTTAAAAATGGTATGGAAGAAAGTATCGAACTTAGGAGAGAGTTGAAGTGTTTCCTTTTCGAAAAAGATAGTCTTCAAAGCATCTTGTCCAAAATCGAGTTCTATGGAGAATATCTTCTTGGATTGGCATCAAAAGACATCCTTATGTAAGTAAAAGAAAGAGAACACAGTCTACAAATAAAAAGAAAAGAAGAAAAGAAGCAATTGACATCGATAAGGTCTTGTCTATTTTAACACCCACCAATTTGGTTTTATGACTTTATGGTTCATACTAGTTCATAGCAACAAAGACCATAATATGATGTGACGAATTGGAGCATACAAATATTTACCTCTGCAAACTTTTCCAACTTTTAAACATCATACTTTTTCTAAGATTATTCTAGAGTTAGAAAATATATCTCAAACCGGTTAGAATGTGCAACATTCCAAGTTTATGAACTTGACAAAGAATATACATTATTGGTGCAATTAGAGAACAATGTTAATCTGCTTACATCACAAAGTAGTGATTAGAAATGTAATAATATGTTTTCTCCAAAAGCATAAAACTTTAGAAACTTCTAGCTTTCTAACTACGCCTTTTGAATTTTTGTATAGAATATAAATATGATATCACCCATGTTATCACGTACTCTCTAAAGTCACTTCTTACTTTTATCCTTCGTTTCATACAATATAATGATTTCGAAGAGTAATTCATCTTTATTAATTAAACTAAAAGAAAACAAATTTTATATATATAAACAATAATTTTTTATTTTTTTTAAATTGATGTTATAATATATACATATTCGAATAAAAATATAAAGAGAAATAACAGAACACTCTACCCAAACTGTATCCATTAACATCACTGCTCATCATGTTCATGCATCATCCGTGGGCTCCTCCTTTTGATGTATGGTTTAGACAAACTAAAGAATGCGTATAGATGAAGTAGGGTGCTGATTAATGATTGGATTTATTGACCTAATTAACTAGGGCTGCGATATTTCTATAGATAGGAGTATTGTATAGTTATGACCCACTCACTAATAGAGTATTTTTGCAATTAAAAAGAAGTGAATTAGTGATGTTTAAGATCCCACTTTTAGTGAGGTTACATCAGAATTGGCACATTACATTACAGAATCTCATAGCGTGTTCAAGAACCTTAACACCAACCACCCATTTTTGTGCAACCGAACAAAATGTTCCAATGTGGTGTCCCAAATAAAATAAAAGGGAATTTGTGGGTCGTGTGTTTCAACTTTTAGGAGACCATGCCACGGGTGCTGTAGTTGGGTTAGTGGGTTCTTGTTTGTGTGGACTTTTACTTTTAGCTTTATCATTCACTTCATCCTCTTCTTCTTCTTTGCTTCTGTTCAACTTGCACGGGTATCGGATAAAGATTGGCACAGGGTGCTGGGTACTTGCTCTTTAATTTTGATACAGGGTTCATTGAATTTTGGCTCTGGTTTGTTATTACAAATCACATAATTTATAATATCCATGAAACTAATTAAAACTTTAAGATTAAAATCAAATATTTACGACACGATCCACTTCATACAAATGCGATATTTAGAGAATAAAAAAATATGATTAAGTCTTTAATATATTACTAGTAAGAATATTACTGTCCTGATTCATTAGAAACTATTATTCTACATATGATTTTTAAAGTAATTAATAGAAAAATAAATAATCTTGTCACAAGATAACATAGGATTGGATGAAAATATAAATAATCTTTACACCGTCTTTGAATCTTAATTTAAATTTAAATTCTTAACTCAGCTTTTTCTTTTAATCACTTTACATCATTCCTTCTTTACAAGTACAAGTTTAGAATACCTTGTTCTAATCTAATGAATGTTTATTGAGCCTATAAGGAAGTCAATAATTACGAAGATGTTAGATGAGAATGGATTAATATCGCATTCTTTTGTGTTAGGCGTTCCCATGTTGGCCCAATCACTCGCTTTCTAAAAATCTGCAGCCATTGACTGATGCAACAAGTGATGCTTTCAGATAATGTACTGTGTGATTCACTAATTCTCACTATTCTACTCCACCTTGTTCCGGCCTTTGATGATTTTTAGATCCCTTTTACATATGTACACTAGGCTTTGGACCCTCTAATAGAGAAGGCACAGGTTGATATGCAATGTTTACTAATCATTATTGTTGGCAAATAATTTTCGGATCAAATACACTCAATAAATACATTGCAAGGCCAATACCATGCTGCAACTGAGAAAATCCATCTAGTTTCCATTTTTGGCCTTGCATCATGAAGAATAATCTTGGACAAATTTACTTTGATTGGGAATGCTTTCTACTTACAATTATGTTTCTGATCAAAGAATGTTCTTCTTGGCCTTGGGCAAATTAAATTAGAAGAGACAGCAGAAGAGATGTATCAATGTGCAGAGCAGCGGTCAAAATTTGAAATTTTTCTTCAGGTATGTAACCACCTCTTGCTGAAAAAACAGTTGGGGTCTTGCATTGAGTAAACCTTTGCAAAGAATAATTCATTTTAGCATTTATGTATGTTTTAAGTAACAATAGATTCCTTACCACCAAACTGAGCAGAATGCATGCAGCAGCCCCAGGATACACAGCATACCAAAAATTCAAATGATGGAACTTTGGACCATCAATGAAAAGCAATGGCATGCTTGCAGCTGCATGTATCATTGGAATGAACTTAACCAGAAAATTTGGAAGCTTAATGAGTTATTCAAACGACAACAAAGTAACATTGAAGAGAAAATACCTGGGGGGTGAACGGAGTTCGTGCAAATCATGTAAGCAACGGATGCTGCAATACTAGCACTCCTGGCCAACCATCCGGGTCCAAATATTGTCAATGCCAAAACACCAATTGCTGCACAACCTATTTGAGCCATGAACATACTGTACTTCTGCATAATCACATGTGGGTTATTTAGTTCTGAAGTAAAGAATGAGACAGCATATGATTGGCCTAAAGATATAATAGCATTAGCATGCTAAGAGACTAAGTTTTTTTTTTTTTGGGGTGATTTTATTTTTGGTCCAGCTATGTTCTAAACCAAAAACAAAAGAATTATTTTTTTACAATGACTATTATCAGGTCTAAACATATGCCTTGGTACGAATTTCCTAAACTCTAATTGCTAGGCGGAACCTAGTGAGTAAACAAGAGTCTGATAAATTGTTTTGCACTTGTAATTTAGTAAAAAATGAACATTTGTAAGCCTTTATAACAGTTGAAAATGTCCAAGAGCATATCAAAATTTAAACACACAGTGCATTGAATTGGTTAAGTTTATACCCGGGCAGAAGGGGCAGTGGGTGTGGCAAAGAGGACAGTGGAAACCGCCCCAAATGGCGCAAATGCGATTGAGAGTCCTTTTGGTGCCAAAAACTGATCCAGCTTTCCCAATATTGCCATTGCAGCAAATGCCCCTGTTCATTTTTTTTTTTTAATGAAAAGAAAAAACATTTAAAGCTGTCAAATTTATGTAAATTATCTAATTGGTATAATTAGGAAGATCCTACAGTGGTGGTTCCATTTCCATTTAATTATGACTATAAATTTCCTAACACAAAACAGAGAGAGGAAAAAACTAACCAGCAGAGGGCCAAAGAATGTCACTGAGGGAAGGAGTGGAAGGGGCTTTGAGAGGTTTCCATTCATCCCATATAGATGGTGAAGCAACTTTGCTTGATGCCACAATCCCATGTCCTCTTTTCCTTCCTCTTTGAATGTCTTTATGGTTACAATTACTAGATGCCCAATAATCCAACGCCACTCCCTTGGGTTTGATGGTGGTGTTAAAACACAAGGAAGTAAACAAACATGATGAAGGTAACGACAATGGGACCCTATAATTGGTGCCACTATTGGCAACACCAACAATTCCAGACGACATTTGACTCATCTCTCAACTCTTGAATTTTGGATTGATAGCTTAGAGTCTCAAAGTCCCTCTATCAAATAACAGAGAGGGTGAGGTCAGGATCGTGGAAAAGCAACGACCATTGAGAGTTGAAAAATGAATAAGCCTTTGAAGAAACCCAAAGGACGCCCGTTAAGAACATCGAAGCTGTACTAATAAACCAGCCTTTCTTTTCGTTTCCTTTATTTTCAATGCTCTAACTTTTGCATTAAATTTTTAAAACACACTGCACATAATAGAAGACCACCAAACAAAACAAAATCTTATCTCATCCACCACCACTAGTTAGTACCTTGTTTCACGTTCTGGACCGAACCTCTCTACTTGGGTTCTTCTTCGATGGTAACTATAAGCCCAAGTTTGAGATTTTTCTTTTCTTTCTTGAAAATAAATAGTTTTTTTCAATTCTCTCGTAACATAACATAAAATAATTATTATTTAATTTAAAAATAAAATTGCATTACTAAATATAAAAAGAATATATGAAAAATTAAGTGTAAAGATACTGTATGTTATCACTTAATAATAAAAAGTTTATGATAGGAATGCCAAATGTAGCAACAATTACTTTTTCAATCATACATCCGGTGATTTTTAGTTACTAATTTGTTGACCATGTAAATTCTAATTCCAACCGTTCAAAAATCTAACAAAAAGTAGTAAGCTCCGAATTCGATTCATTCACATGAATCAATTTACAGAGTTTGTGGGAGAATTTTGTTCCTTCGGCAAAAGTTCGGAGACGATGAAATGAATTTATCTTTGATAAACAGTTTTCATTGTCGTATTTTTTAAGTTTGTCTGAAGATAACAAAGATTATTGGGTATTTCGTCACATAACCATAGAAAAGATAAAAAAAGCCTACGAAACTATACATCTTTTCCGCCCAGGTAAACTGATGATCTTTTGTTGACCAAAACAAACAGTTGTATAAGAAAGCGATAACATTTCATATAGATAAAAAGAATGGAGGCCATTCCAAATACAAAAACCCACTGCAATATCCAAGCTGTCCCTTTACTTCTTGAAGAGGACAACAAGTGTTTCAGATAATTGATAAATCTATTCACAAGGGATTGCAGCACATTTGCTACAAAATAATCTACAAAGCCACACAGAGGAAAAAGTGACACACAGAATGGTTGCAGTGGAAATAGCAATGACATCCATGATAGGATAGGATTACTTTTGTCATCAGTGATCTGAATGAGACTCATAAAACTCGCTTGGACAGGGAGACATAACCTCTTGTTCCAGCAACTGTAACACCTCGTTCATTGATGGACGATCATCTGCATTTCCATCTGTGCATCTTGCTGCCAGCTCAAGAACTACTTCAAGCGTTCCTGCATCTGCATCACTGCATCTTTTGTCCACCACGTCCTCCAATCTTTTATCTCTCAGTAATGCGTTCACCTGCAAAGAATTGGATGAAGTTTAGTACATTATGTTTGAAAAACTTTCCTCTGTTACCATAAACTTGCTTTGAATGAGTTTGAAAGCTTACCCAACCAACAACATTTAAACCTCTTTTACCAAAGGAAGGATCTGTTGGCCTCTTTCCAGTCACAAGTTCGAGTAATAGAACTCCAAAGCTGTATACATCTGACTTCTCAGTTGCTCTCCCACTTTGTAGATACTCTGGTTAACACGTAAATAATAAACCATATATTTAGAATTCACTTTATTTAGTGCATAATTAACAGGGTCTTGTCATGGAACTACTTTAAGAATTCTTTAACTAGTGTTCTTATAGCATCTTTAGACATAATTAACTAGCATATCATTCAGCACTCTTTTAGCATATTTGGCATTGGTCAGTTGAAAATTTGAAGAATGAAAGAGATATATGGTCACTTTGCACCGAAAAGCCCAAAACAAAGGATAACCAGGTCACCTCAAGTATTCAGAAGAATTAAAGACATACCCGGTGCCAAATAACCAAATGTGCCAGCTACCACTGTGGTAACATGGGCCTCTTCATCAACTAAAAGCTTTGCAAGGCCAAAATCAGATATATGTGGCTCCATGTTTTCATCAAGGAGGACGTTACTAGATTTTATGTCACGATGAACAATTGCTGGGCTGCATTCGTGGTGCAAGTAAGCCAAACCCCGGGCAGAACCAAGAGCTATCTGTAGACGATCACTCCAGTTCAGTAGTCGTGTTTGTTGAGTATTTTCTGAAGAAAGGATTGCTGAACAATTAGAAAATTGAACAGCTACAGAACGAGTCATCATAAACATACAATAGAAAGGATAGGATAGGCTATGATCCCCACCCTAAATTTGATTGTTGTACAATCTCCATTTCTCATTTCTCATAGTTCTCTAGGAAAACATTCTCATTTATAGTTCAGCGCATATTAAAATGAATCATACCATGCAAGAGATCATCTAAGCTGCCTAAGGCCAAATAGTCATAGATAAGGAGCCTTGAAGAAGGAAGCCTGCAGTAACCACGCATATTTACTAGATTTATGTGCTCGATGCTCCCCAAGATCTCTAGCTCCCTTTCAAACACTTGATCAGACCCTTCACAACTTCGATCAATCCGTTTAACAGCAAATGTACCACAATCGTTCATCACCATTCGGTAAACAGTACCATATCCACCTGATCCTACTATATGCTCTTCATCAAGAGACTCCAGGTTCTCTATGATCTCGGATGATGTGTATGGCAGATCACCGTGGAAGGTAATAAGTTTTGTGCCTGTTAAGATTTTATGTTAGTGAATACAGAGGAGGTTGTCTTTGACTTTTTCCTGCTGATAGTTAATAGGAGAATATCAAATTTGAAACACCACTGTTCTTACTTGCTTCTGGATCAACTTGTTTCTTGACTTCAGTGTATCTCTTCGCAGCTCGTTCCTTCTTCGATGACAAACGAGTCCAGAGGAATGAAAGGATTATGACAAGTGCGAGACCCATAGTTGCCATTGCACCAATTAGCAACCCCTTCATGTAATGGGAAGACCTTTTGGTAGGGACTGCACATATTGAAACGATAAGGATTATCATACTAATGTGAGCCATAATTCTTTAATATGCATTTTAGTTCTAAATTGAGTAATGTGGATAGTATTAAGAAAAATCAAATCCATGGGTGTGACTTGCCTGCAGCTTCATCACTTTCAGCATGGGGCAGCACCACAGGGAAACCAAATGATGTCCGACATGGCTTTTGGACTTGCCGCCCACAAAGGTCTAAATTTCCATTAAACCTATTTACATGCAGTGACTTTGTTAATACAATACAATACAATAAATCCAACTTGCTGCTCATAGTGCAAATATATTAACATATTATCAGAGATTGATAAAGAAAAAAAAAATGCAAAATTCGTTGTTGATAAAAAGTAAGCTCTCATCATTCAAGTTCAATCAGAGCAATTATATGCTGTCTGCAGTATTCACATGACCTAACTCCAAGAGCCAAGAAAACTTAAAAATCACAAAACGTATTTTTGATATTTCTGTGCCTAACATGTTAAAAAGATAGAAAGTTGAAGTTCAAAAATCAAACGTGAAATATTTAGTTCAATAATTGCTCTAAAATTTTCACCATTCAAATTCAAATAGTTTACAATTAAGCTTATCACCTACTATAATGCATAAGTACCAATCATTAGTCTAAAAGTTACAGCGCATAATTTAAACTACAATCAGGAAAAAGAACATACGAGCTCTTGTCAAAGGTGCTTAGTATTCCAATGTCGGGAATTTCACCGGAAAAGAAATTCGTAGAAAAGTTCCTAAGACAACAAGGGTCAGCATAAACTGAAAATTGAAAATATGAATATCATTATGCCAGAGGTTTAGGCTAAACTGACTCACAGAATTTGCAAATGTGAGAGACGGCCAATGGAGGAAGGTATAGCACCTTTTAACGAGTTACTTGATAAATCCCTACATTTATGTGTATTAAATTCCAAATAAATTAAACTGCAGCTGAGAAACAAAAGCTAGAAAAAAGTTCAAATAATCATAAAGGAGTAGTTATAAAAACAAGGGACTAGGAATTACAGTATATTTAAATATGAAAGATTTCCAATGTTTGACGGTATCCCTCCTTGCAAAAAATTACCCCTCAAGTACCTTTCAATAGAATCAGATGAGACGCATCACCATCAGCATAAGAATAAAACAGTGAATTATTTAGGGATTTGATAAATACTTCTTTAGAAGTGAACCATTTCACTTACAGTGCTCTTAGCTCGGTACAATTGGTAAGTTCATTAGGAATGGTTCCGTGCAAGCTGTTCTGATGAAATGCCCTGATTCATTGCAAGCCATTGAGTGGAATGAAAATGACAAAAGTCTCAAATGCAAGTTTACCCATGGTGGGAGGACCATGTTTTCTACTTACAATCTTTGCAGTCTACTGAGTTTACCAATGCTGGGAGAGATAATTCCTCCAAGTTGCATGTATGGCAGATTTCTGAAGAACAAAATACAAAGTGTCATACTCAGCTGAGAAAGTGGGAAAAAGACTATCTGAATGAAGTGCATGTTGTTTGCATACATTGACCGCACTCTTTGTTCATCACCAGGGTGACAAGAGATACCAGTCCATGTACAATGAGACTCATCAAACTCTTGCCAGTTGCTCAGAACATTCTTAGTATCATTCAAACTACTTTTGATTTCCAGCAACGCCTGACCTAACATATGAAAGAAAATCGCTTAAAAGAGTTTAAGTTCACAACTGTAAACTTCATTTTTTTCACATGGAGAAGCATTTCACAGAGATTCGGAGAGAGAAAGATTGATTCCCAAAGTGGGAAGCGGAAGGTGAAACAGGAAAACTACCCAGACTGCATTTATTCTCCCCCAATAGAAGAACAAAAATAGAAAAAAAAAAAACTCAACACAGCATAGATCGGGATTTGAAACGGAGAAATAAAAATGGGCTCATAGTTCTAACCATCCAGGGTGAGAGCAAATGACGAAGGGCAGAAAACTGTCACCATAATCACCAAGGAAATCCATGCTACAGTCCCAATTTCCATTTTCCAATGTCTCAGCAGATTGAACTTTGAAGTTCTATGGGTGAAAATGAAACTAGTCAACGAGGCAGTGACCTTTAAAGTGATGATTTCAGTAGGAAAAAAGCGTGGGTAGGGTTGGTAGTGTGATCAAAATGTAGACCCAAGTGTTACCATGATTTTAACTTCCAAGTTTGAACTCAAAATGAGTACTATACCTATACAGAAAACAGTGAGAATGATACTTTCATGCAACAAGGTAACACACTGCTTTCATCTTACTCCAATATTTTACTTTATTTTATTGGTAGGAGACTTAATCACTCAAATATTTTATGAAGATGGTGAAAAAGGACAAGTATTTTGAAATTCGGTATGAAAAGTGGTGCAGGTTGGAATAGCCGTTGTTCAGAACGAAATTCAAAAAATGAACCTCTTGAACCACTCGCGTGTGTGGGTGTAAAGGACACTGGCCAAAAGTAAAAGAAATTGTGATTGGTAAGAACCAATCGGAAGAGAAGTGAATGACCACGTCAGCAATATGAGTACACGTGTAAAATGGACAAAAGAAAGTTTTGAAGATTTACAAGACTGGCGCGTGGTGTTTTTTATCTTGTCTGAGATATGTCAGACATTTTTAATCTAATTTAATTTTTAAATTTTAACAATAATATAAAAGGAAGAACTGCATTATTACATTCCCAATTCATTGACACAGGGAAGGGTTTGGAATAGTTTACATTTTTTATTTTTTTTACCCGCTTCTTTTGAAAATGGTACATACTTAAATTTCATGTTAAATTTGAATTTGTAAATATTTGCAGAAATAATCAATACTAATATAATTATCGATTGATTTTTATATTTATTTATATTTTTATTGTCCTTTCACTAGTTTTATAACCTATCTTGTTTATCCGGTTTTAGTTTATTGCTTACCTTAGTTCTTTTTATTTACCTTTTATCATTTCTCTTTTTATTTTATGTTAAAAATAAAATATTTTTATATAATAAGTATGAAAATATTTATAATTAATATAATTAAAATATTTTTATATAATATTTATTATTCTGATAATTTTTTAAATCATTGTAAAAATAATTAGTTTTATATCATGTGAATCATTATATGATATATATATTTATGAGTGTAGTTTTAATTAGATGAAAGTTTAACTTTATATAAAGTCATAATTAATAATAAATGTTTATTAAAATTGGAGAGGTGGAAAAGTTTCAGAAATAGGTTGAATTAAGTTAAAAAATTATTATTTAAATTAAATAATATTTATTTATATTTGACTTGTTTAGATTATATATTTATGAGATAATTTTTTTATAAAATAATAATAATTTTTTAAATAAATAAAAATTATTATTTTATCATATATATATATATATATATATATATTTACAAGTTAATATAATAAAATATTTATTAATTTTAAGAGTAAATATAAGAAAAAAATTATCATATCTATTAAGATAAATTATTAAAAAAATTAAATAATGATAATAAAAATTATTTTTTTATTCTTATTTTGGAACTAAATAAATTTATTTTTCTTATAATTTATATATTAAATAATTATATTTGAAATAAAAAATAATTTTATTAATATAAATTAAAAATTTTAAATATATTTTTAAATTTTATTTAAACATTTTTAATTAATTATTTTTATATAGACACGTAAACCATTTTTTTTCAATCAAGTCAAAATTAGTTCATTAGTCTGTTGGCTTAAGATAGGATTAGGCTAAACAATAAATGATTGTTCATTTAAAAAAATAGGTTAGATTAAATGATCAAAGTTTTTCAATTGGCTTATAGAACCAAATCAAATTAGGGTGGACTGACCGTTTTGTCACTCTACTTCCAACTATGCTTTTATGATTATTTCTTCTTGCACCCTCGTAATTAAAATAAATCCTATTTTAGCCTTCATCAAAACATGTTCACATTTGCGAAACTTATTTTTGGAATAGTCAATCCAAAGATGCATTACAAATTGAGTTCTTTGAAACTCACTTTAAGGTTCAAAAATGCATTTTAGATTGAGCAGTTTGGATTCCTTTGATCACTTTCAGTCCATTTTTCATATAATAAATACAAAATGTTAACAATTTTTCATCTTATGAGTTGAAAACAATATTCAATAGAGATATAACCTCAACACAACGAAATTGCATGAATTATGAAGGTTCATCAGAGATATGGAGGTGCAGAGGAACGAAAGGGAAACAATTCTTAAGTTTTAAAACAAAAATTAATAAAAAGGTATTTCAATCATTTACATAAAGTATGAAAATGTAAGAAGAAACAATGGAGATGCAAGAAGAAAAATTACTGTTATTATATATCTTACGACCAAGTCAAGCTGAAGTGCATATCTTAACTTGTAAATCCTTGATGAGTCCTTCAGCTACTAAGGCATTACCATTGCCCACTAACACTTGAAGGTTAAGGATAGGTTCCATTGGAAGTTTTAAACAGTGAGCAATTCGGGGCTAAATAAAATTATCTGAGCTTCCACTATCTAATAGAACATGAACAATCATTCCATTAATAAACCCTTTAAATTTCATAGTGCCTAGTCCTGAAGAGCCCTTTAATGCATTGTACGAAAGGTGGTGTTCCAAGATTGGTGGGTTTTCAGCCTCCACAAGGTCCTCAGGAGGGTCATGTTGAACATCAAATACAACGTCTTCATCAACTTGCAAGACAAAATAGTGCTTATTGGGACACTTACGAGACATGGTAAATTTATCATCACATGTAAAACATAGTCCCTTCTCTCAATGCAATTGCATTTCTGTAGCAGTAATCTTTTTAACAAGATTAGTTTTGGTGTTTAAAATGGTTGTGGAGGATTGAGGGAAAGATAACAAGGGTGGTAAACTGATAGATCTTATGGATTGTGAGGTAATTGAGTTTGTGTTTGTGACTTGTGTTTTGGGATAATAGGTAGGGAGTGCTGTTGGAAAAACAATAATAATAATAATACTTATTTTGATTAACATGTTGTAAACTAAATGCGAAAGCGTACCTGAATTAGTCATAACGATGATGTCTTTGTAGAGCACTATATTGATCTTATGGTCTTCCACCTGAAGAACACATGTATTTTCCTCTTGATTTTCTCTCTTGATGGGGATAGAAAGAAAGGAACAGGAATGAAACTTACGTTCTGTCTGTGTGTGCTCCCAGAAGGGGACCACGACCCCTTAAAATAACCAGAATTAAGTTAATTACTTAAGTTTTAGTATTTCCAATTTGGCCCCTCATCAAATTAGAAATTGCTCAATGGTCTCTACACAATTTTATTTTCATGACATATGTCTTTAGCCAAAACTTTAATTTAGTCAGATCACTTTATTATTTGGCTTAATAAATAATGACCCTAACACATTCAAATTATGTATCATATATATACATGACCCAAATTTTGCCAACAATCTCCCACTGGTCACAAATATATATGTCCTTACAATCTTACAAATGTGTTAGACTTTATGAGCTCAAAATTGTCATTATATTCCTTTAGCATATTCCAAAAGTCCTGTCCATTAATCATATCGGAATATAGAACTAAACCAGCTTTTCATTGCATCATCGCAACTAAAACCAACAATGATTACTCATCCTGACATAACCAAATGACATGGATTCATCATGAAATGTGTAGCATGAAAAATTACGTGAAGGTGATCTGTACACGTCTATTTTCAACTGGTCCAAACTTTAACTTATCGATATCGATATAATATCCTTAATGTACAAAGTGTAATGAATGAACGAATATCTATAGATAACCAAATATGTCCAAAAAAAACAATGTATACATATATGAAATTAAACATAGAACATAAAATATATGAAAGTGACTAACTCCCACTAAACCACAAATTCCTCAAACTGTAAAACAACCATGAGAGCAACATGCTCATGAAAGACCTTGGGCGGAAGTCCTTTAATTAGAGGATATGATATCATGGAGTTTGTCCTTAAGTGTTCTATGAAAATCTGTCCACTTTGTACTCTTTCCTTAATAATACAGCTGATTTATTGTCACAATATAACTTAAGTGGTCTTTCAATGCCTTTCACAATTTGCAGCCCTGTGACAAAATTTCTTAGCCATATTCCATGATTTGATGCCTCATAGCATGCTACAAATTCTTGACATCCTGTAAAATCTGAGTCAGAAAACCCAGTGATCTCCAACTGGTCTGACCTCTTATATGTGAGCATATAATCTTTTGTTCTCTTTAAATATCTTATGACCCTTTTTGCTGCTTTTCAATGGTCTATTCCTAGATTGTTTAAATATCTGCCTAGAACCTCAACTATATATGATATGTCTGGATGCGTACATACTTGGGCATAGATCAAACTTCTTACAACTGATGCATAGGGAATCTTTTGCATTTCCTCAATTTCCAAATTCCCTTTAGGCACTAATTGAGACTAAACTTGTCTCCCTTTAAACTTGTGATACATACAATCATCAACAATATTCATCTTGAAGCCAAATGAGTTTCATACCTTATGGTAATGGGACAAGTTCCCAATAACCTTATTGTCTTGCATGGACTTATACTTATCTTATTGCTTCAATCCACTTTTGAGAGTTAGAACCTTGTATAGCTTGACGGAAGTTAACTGGGTCATCTTCCATTATATCATTATTTTCCTCATGTTCCTGAAGAAATACCATGTAATCATCCGAAATAACACTTCTTCTTTCTCTAGTGGATCTCTGCAAAGTTATTAGGTCATGATGCACAGGTTCTTGAGGATCTTGAGTTTGTTCTTCATGAACAACCAAATCATCTTAAGTAAGGGGTTCATTAACAATGCCTTGTGGAGGTTCCGAACTTACTTTATCAAAAGTAACTATTTGAATCGGTTCTGAAATTGTTACCGATTCTTCCTCGAAGGTGAAGTTCTTAATCTTATTCTTCCCCCCAAACTCAATATCCTCAAAGAACGTAACAGTTCCCGTCTCAAAAATTGTCTTT